TGCGAATTTTCCCAATTATCAAAACTGCACAAATGTCGTTTGGGGTGTTTTCACGTCGTTCCCTGGCATTTCAACTTCTTGCTCACACATTCACTCACCCAATAGAAGGTGTGGGGTGTGTGTAATATGTGGAAATATCCTGGGTGAGGCGAGAGCAATGTGTGGGAGATTTATTGAAAATGAAGGAAGGCAGAGGAAGGAAAATAATAGAATTTTCTCGTATAAATCAGCCACGCAGGAAAAGAACTCGAGAAAGCTCAATTTTCATGTATGCGGCCATCGAACAAAGGTGTTTTTTCCATAATACGAAAATCTTCTCTCATGCCCTTTGTGCTCACCGTCAATAAATAACGAGTCATTTTTCATAACAGTGCGTGATTCTCACTCTCCAGATGGCCAAATTACGCCAAAATATCAAAAGCCCGCGCTCGCAAGATAGGTGAGGGAGAGAGAAAGAGTTTTCCGCTCATGGAAAAAAGGGAAAAGACCACCCAGAAATTAGTGAGAGAAAATTTCCGCTTTCAAATTAAACCGTTTCGATGTACGTGTTTTTGTTTTTTTTTTCACCCAAACCATCCATCGCGCGCCCAATCCACTTCAACCCCATCGAAAATGTGACGATGAAAAAACAGCGAAACACAGAAGAGTCCCTCGTCATGTCCATCGAGCGATATTTAATGAAGCTATATCCATTATTACTCCTTTCTCCTCTCCATTCGCCTAAGTAAAAAATATCGTAACGCAGAACACATCGTGCCTCTTGATGTAGACACCACCAATTTCGGCCGAGGAAAATTGTGGAAAAAGGGTTCGATGGTGCGAGGCTATTAAATATGTAAAATCGATTTTTATCTTTCCTCTCTTGCTCGTCTGTCCTGAAAACAAGTTGTCCAAAGGCTTGATTCGTCTGTCTCGTGTCTTTCCAATTCCCTTAGAGAAAAAACAAGAGTAAAAAACAAATGAAATGAACAATAAATTTTCAACAAAGTTGCTAAACTCATGTAGATTTATTGAAGATTCTTTTATGTAATTTGTAATGCGAATTATTATCTAAGAATTCTAAGAAGAACAATTTACAATAGAACCAATTTGGAAGACTTTATTATAGCATTTTGCGAGAGCTTCCGAACAAGACTAAGAAATTATGCAATAGAAATAGACTTATGCCATTTTCCATATATTGAAACTTGTCTCTTTCAGTTTGCCATGAAATTTCTCTCTTTGAAATGCATATATAAAATTTGATTGTTTTCCTATAAAATATGGGATTTATTAATTTTCTCTCATAAATGTTTATAAAAGTTTGATTTTGGAATTTGAAAGCCACAATCAGGTCATATATTATACAACTATAAACTAATTTTTGCTTTTGCGGCCATCAGTATAATCTTGAAATCGCAAACCTGAGAATTTTTCTGCAAACTTGTCGAAAAGGCTTTAATTAGATTTGGCAGAACTTCTTCCAGAGTGGCGAATCTGAATTTGTGATTCATGGTTGGAATCTCAAGGAGGAACGCTTTGGAAGAAGTTGCAGCAAAATTGCCAGTGAATCGTGGACTGAATTTTATTTTTGTCTCCCCTTAGGGAGTTCAACATTGTTTGAACTTTAACCAGCTACTTCCTGGGGGAGAGAGACGAGGCCGCAAGATCAAAATTTAGCGTACACTTGAACCCCATCAGAGGATGACATTTCGATGATTCTGGCAAGGACTTTGGGAAGGGGTAGAGTGTATAAATTATAACGTGATGTCATGAGATGGGGATTTGCATAAAAGGATGTGTCGCTCCTTCCATCAATAGAGCGTCTCCCTCTCACTCAAGTCCTGGCCCCATCTTGATCCCCATGGCTCCGTGTGTGTCTCAAGACTTCAGATGAACACCCTGGAGATTCACACGCTGCCCCACTTCCACGGGCGAGAAGTTGAGGAGAGTTTACGTAATAGTGAGTGCGAGAGAAGGGGTGAGTTTAGGGAAATCTTTACTTCTTGAACTTGTCGGAGAGAATGAGCTCCAACATCGATGATGGCATGAAGTTTTCCAACAAATATTTGAATTGGTATTTCAATTTTCCATATATTTCGTACTGTTTCTCCATCCCTTCAATTTATGAGTCGTCAACTTCTCTCTCATTTGCATACTCCTTGAGCTCCATTTCTTCGTTCGCATCTGCCCAAAAGCCATTCCCATACTTTCATCGTCGAGGTTTTCTGCAATTTGTCTCGTAGGAGGAGCGCTTTTTTTCCCTCTCAGCACCCACGCATAAATTACACAATTTCATCTGTTAACAATTCTCAGAATTTTTATGTAAACAATCCGCCGTCTCTTAAAGACTCGGGGCACGTTAAAGTCCCATTTTCATTATACGGTAAATTATTTCAGGTCATCAATTTATGTAGCCCGTATTGTTTGGAATTAATTCCAATTATAGGCAGAAAAAGTGAATATGTCAATTTTTATGGCTCAACGTGTCTCAGTTGGCCTTTAATCATTGCCTATAATTATGTGAAAAATGAGAGACATAACGCATCAAAATTAATATGGGACATTTATATTGATCAATGGGACGTTTGGGTGTGTTTGCTTCTGATGGTTTGTAATTTTAGTGCTCATCCTCATTCCATCCATTCACAATGGCCACCCCAGCGGACTCCACCGGATTAAACTTTACGAATTAATACCGAAAATGTCCCAAAACACGTTAAATTTTAAATATACCCGTATAGATAGGAAATTCATTTTATCCCCTAACCGCGGGAGCACATATGATGCAACTCTCTAGGTATTATTTATTGTATTTTTTCATAATTTCGATAATAAAAAAAAAATACAATACGATTCGAGTTGATGTTTTTGGGTCAGTGGAGAGTGTGAGACTTGGTATTGCGTCGAAACAATCACGAGAAAAGTCCAAATGTTTGTGCAATAATAGTAGTAATTTCCGAATGATGATGACCCATGGCTATCAGAATTTCTGAGTTGTCACTTCGGATATAAGTGCAGGCTGTCATGATTCCATGTGGAATTATCGATTAGGACAGTTAAAGATGATTTCCATGTTCAGGCGAATAGAATGTCAAATATGAAACGAAAAATCTCATCTCTCCACTTATATATATTCATTTAAGGTCAACTTAATGAAAATGCTTTAAACCCCTAACTAATCTACCCATTCTGCACAATCTCTCGCTCACATTCTTGCACAACTGCAGTTGGAATTTCGCGCAAAATCCCTGTTGGGATAGAGTGTTCCATATGAAATCGTTTAGAGGTATCAGACATTCAATTAATCTGAGTGTAGTGCTCTGTTCAGTGGTCAATCGCTCTCTCGAGGCGGCTTCACCCAACAATCCAACATGTGAAGCTCCCCACAAAATACTTTCACACCAAATATTTCACCTCCGGAAAATGTGGAAACCTTCCACACCATAACACGAGAACACGTGAGGTCACACGAACGAGAGAATTGCTCAAAATTCACCCCTAATTCCATGTAATTTATTCAATTCTTGAGTCATGTAGTCGAAGAAAATTGTGCTGAGCTAGAAAATCGCAGAGTGAAACGCAAAGTCTCGATTTTTATATGTTATTCTAAAGAAAAAAAAAGCAACCCCAGAAGGCGTTTTCGTTCTGAATTTCTTATTCAAAGCATTTTAATTATAAATTTTGAGATGAATGAGTTATTTTCAACTTTTGTGTATTAGTGGCAAAATTCTATACGCTTTCAAATTTTATACCAAAAAGACTTCATTGTGATACATGATGGAATATTTGAGATGAAAATTGATTTGTATAGTATCTACAAAAAAAAATTTATACAGAAAAATAAATATTTGTTCACTGCAGGGCGGAAAAATAACACATATCCATGAAAACTCGTTGCATTGCTGGCAAGAGATGTATTTTTTTTTAATAAAATTTCCACACTGATTATTTTGGAGATTTTCGTACAACAACAAAAAATGCCATTTATGTAAAACGAGAAATAAACTGGATGTTTTTCTACCCTTAAAACATTTTGTAAATCTGACTAGCAATTTCAACTACATCGTCACAAGTTTTAGCATAAAATAATAAATGTTCTCGCAAATTTCATTAATTGTACGGTTGATTGATTGGCATGATTGTTATATATTTTCATCAAGAGTCAAAAGACATATTTCAAAGAGCAATGCCGCAAATCAACGTGCATAAATTGATACGTCAATCAAGAACTGCATTTTAAGCAGATTTAATTTGAATTTAAATTAGTGAAAATGGTGAAAATCATTGAGCACACTTGATATTTTTATGGAAATGAGAAATGTGTAAATTTGCATATAAATGAAGAAAACGTGAAAAAGATTCTATGATTTCAGTCAAATAAAAGATGTTTTATTCACAAGTATCTGTGGTTGTTCGGAAAATTGGGCTTTTCACATCCACATTTAAATAAATAAAATGGAAACGTTTTTGTCTAGTTCCCGGTATTAAAGCAATCAAACTAATTTGAACGAGTATTTATCCGTAGTTTCCTCTCGAAAATCCTTCAACTTTTCTACCCTGTAAAATTGCCAAGCTTTTGTGATGGAAAACTCCCACTACACCCTGTTGAGAGAGGATGGAAAAAATTCCGCAACATGTCATGTGAAAATGCTACAAGTTTCACGGAGGATTCCGTTTCACGTCACCACCGGAGGAAACTTTCTCTAAAATTCAAAAATGTCTCATCCTCCAGGGATATGCTAAGTAGCACTGTGACAGATTTGGGCGGAGTGCGCAGGGAAGGTATGGTATATTGTATATTTTTGGGGTGCTTCCAAAGGCACTGCCAGTGAAGAAGTTGATGTGTCGAAAAGCGATTTGGCGACGATAAAAATTCACCAGAGAACCTCAAACATTTGTCTTTGCGCACTTTCTCTGGCGGAAGCGGGAAAAAGGAGATGGTGGGAGTTTTGCGGGTGTGAGGTCCTGTGGGAGAGGTTAAGAAGAAAAAAATGGCTGCTAAAAGGTACAATAATTACCAATTTTTGCTCTCGCTGCCGGAAGTCGCGCCACGATGAGGAGCCATATCCATATAATTGAGGTAATACTGAAGGTGGCTGTAAGTGTCCTTTGGAGGGTCATTTTGGAGCTTTTCATGCCTCTGACGCCCAAGCCAGGCGGCTGCTGGCGACGCTGCTTCTCCAACACTATTTCAATACACGGTATAATATCCCAAATACACACGCGCACACCTCGCGAGGGGGCGGTGGATGTCTTTAAGCAGTGTCCCCTAATTTAATTTCTTAATTTTAATTAATAATCCACCGTGATGTTCTTTCACATTTTCTCCATAAGCACATTTTCCCAAGACGTGCGCCTTATCAGCACAATGAGACGAGGCTCTGGATGGGGCACATGACTCTTTCTCGTTAATATTAATCACGTCTTTAGGACGTGCCACACACTGCCGACGAGTTGATTTGAATTATTTCGGGCCTGGCAGCAGCGATATTTCCTATTATTGCAGCATTAATTTCTTAAAACATCCCATCACTCGGCCATGTTTCTCACACTTTCCATCCACCACCATCGAGACATCACATCGAAACACCATCACCATCCGGTTGTACTCGCCTTGAGAGCTTGGCAAATGGCTGAGGAAATGGCAATAATTTACTCGATGAACTGGATTTGTTTGGTAGACAAAATGAGAAATCCTCGAGGTGTGATAACTCAGAGAAGGCTCTCTCACACACTTATGCTTTCCTTAAATGGGGAAAATCCCCGACAAGAGAGCAGGAAGAGTGAGAAGGGAGAGAAGCGGAGGAGACGAGTTGAGAAACAGCCCAGAATATGCTCAATTCACTCTATTCACCATTTATCACAATGTATACTGCACATTTGTTTTTATTTTCATAATATTCAGTCTCTCTCGCCTGAAAAAAGACAAGCCCAGATGGTCGGAAAGGGGAGCAGAGCGCTCTGTGAAGGATGTAGGTCAAAATGGGGTGCGTATGCCCAAGAGAGGGATAAACCCATAGAGCAAGAAAGCTGAGGTCGCCGAATTCCCCTGAGCTTAATTCAATATCCATATACGATCAACTTTAATGGACTTTAGGAGTGTCTTTCAGAGTGATAAATAAACATATATTTTACGCTTTGTATGCCAGTGTTGATTTAGAAGAAGAAAAAAGAACAAACAATGTAAGATTACAATCAGTTTAGAATAAAAAAGAACAACATCTGACACATCTAACAAATCTTTAAGAATTCCACCCTTATCCAAACTCAATCTCCCCCTGGGATCCACCCTCAAAGAGCCTCTGTGGAAAATTTCATTGTCGTTAATATTGCTGAAGCATGCATCAAACTCCTCATAAATGGTGTTTATTATTTAAAATGCCGCTTGTGAGGAAAAAGCAGAAGAAGTTTCTGCCCCCGAGGGTAATTTTATATTGGCGGCTCCTCGTCCTTTGTAACTCTCGCTGTCTCTGTAAGTTAATCCTTGGGGTTGTTGAGAATTGACGAAAGGAAAGTCCTACAAACAAGTGGTTTGTGTTGTAGGGCGAATCATTCTGTCGGCCTCTCACGAGTTCACTCTCAATATTGAATGAACGGTGAACAAAGAGGAGTATTTTTGGACACTCCATCATTTATTTAATGTCCCTTCGGTCCGATGGCGTTGAGGCGTCTTGGACATGTTTGCGTGCATCAAACAAATAATGGAAAATTGAAAGATGCGCGACGGATAGACTGGAAATGATGTGCCATCCATAAAAATCATCAAATAGGTTACAAAAGGTTATTGAATAGCAGAATAATTTTTCTAATTCAACACACATACACACCGTGTTTGTGCCACGAGGGAAATATCCCTGTCACAATAATGCCATCCACTTTTATCACCTTCAGAACTGTCCTGGCAAATGTTGATTGAATATTTGCGAAAATATCCGTAGGGAGTGTGCAGCCAAATTAAAATTCACACGAAGTAGCTTTCCATGCCATTGATATTAGCCGCAGTAACAATAAAAGTCGACTATTCACACTGTGTGATGTTGATTAATTTAATATTTAACAACATGAACAACTTGTATGTTTGCCATGTTACACACCCCCCAGTGCGCTTCCCACTCCATCGACTCCATCCGTGTATTTTCCACGGTACTATTTGACGATGGGGATTTCACTGGGGCTCTGATGATCGTGTCGGAGAACAAAGTTATGTGCGGGGGAGGAAAAACGCCACGGTGTGAGTCGTACGTGTAGCTTCGAGAGAATTTAGCACTCTTGAGATGTCAAATGCACTAGATAAAATCACTAATATCTCAGATTTCATTTGAGTTGCATTCTAGTCTTGAGAGGAGAAAAAAACCACCCCAAAACTTGACCACAGAAAATTACTCTCGACAAACTTTAATTGTTGCATAATTGGTGGTTTGAAATTAAATTGAAATTCTTCTTCATGCTTACCCGAGAATATGGAAAGTTTTGAAACTCATGACTCGCCATGAAAAGTAGTGAGATGTTATAGTCTTCGCACACAAATCCGTATGGTCGCGGTGCCATTTATGGCCAGAGCATATACTTAAGGAATGCTCATACAACTTAGGATTACATATGTTCCGGAGCATAATTGATCGAGATATTTTAACGCTTCGTATTCTCATGGTAATTTCGTGTTAAAAATTTTATCAATACTCCATGTTTCGTCTTTCAAGTCGTCAAAATTGCTTTTATAAATGGTAGCTATACTTTATGTTCACGTTGCTGTTAAACTTTACTTCAAAAGAAAACATTGCATTGTGAAACCGAAATATGTTTTGAAATATTTCACTTTCTTCATTGTGAACCTAATTTTATGGGACAAGTGACAAAAATTCAAACAAGAATTCCAGTGGAATTCCTGCAGCTCTGGGCAAAATTCCCTACCACTTGAGACACTTTATAAGTCTCTCCAAAATGAACATAATTGTACCGGTGCATTGAACAAAACGAGATTTATGAAGTGCCCAGGGAAACACTATGTGATTAGGTTGTGACTGTATAAATCTCATTTAAAAAGCTCAGAAAATCAAGAGAGAAACGAAACAGGAGAATAGAATATATTCGAGTTTAGAAATGGTTTGTATGTCCTTTTTAGAGAATAACATGAACTGAACACATTTTCGTGAATAAATAAAACATCATTGCATTAATGCAATTGAATAGAATTACCAGGAAAATTCCTCTTTGGCGCCACTCAACGATATTTCCACAATCCCAGCTGAATGCAATTGTTTTTCCACCACCCCCATTGCTCGGAGATCCGCAATCCAGCCAAATCGAGGGCGCCACTTGAGCTTATTTCGCCAGAGTAAATTGGAAAATAAAATTTTGATTACAGCATAGAAATTCTATTTGGAATTCAATTGAGCATCAACTTGCTCTCTCTAGATTCTCTTCTATTTCCGACAGAATGTTAAATACACACCAAAGTGGAAATTACAGATAAATTATAGGAACACAGTTTAACTGATGCAATTTTTAGTCACAAATTTATTACACATTGAGAGATGAAAGCAGATTTCATAAGTATGATACTGAAACCAAAAATAGATTGGCACGATAAATAAACTGGTTTATGGTGAGTGTTTGATAGTTTTAAGCATTAATATTTTGGTGTATAAATTGTTCAACGATGAAAACTTTCCAAAAAAAAGAGATTTTTAAAAATACCATAACAAACGCTATTCTCCCACATGTTTTCGGTTGGACTTTGGGGAAATTCAGCGTCAAAATTTTCCCATCAACAGCTAGAATTGTATTTTCAAGCAACGCAGAAGTGCAACAAACTCGCAATTTTGCCATGCATTGAAAACAGGATTGGATAAAATGTAAAAGAAAACTTTTACTGCGATTCTTCTTTCGAAGGAAACGCACAATTCCATACAGTCAACCAAATTTTCTATTTTTGTTTTCAAATATCGCCAAAAACACAATATCCACGATGATCAAATTGATTGGATAAACATTGGAAATGCATTGGAAAATAGGTCAAATTTGTGCTACAGAAAATATGTATGAACGTGTGCATTTTGGGTTGTTGTTTCAAGGGAGGATGCTGTAAGGAAGTGGAAAGGATATAAATTCACCATGCGAGCGAGGAATACAGAAAAAAAACCGCCGGATGTCCTGAGCATATTAAATTCACATTGATGAATGTTGGTGACCATTAGCACACAATTTAATTACGCTACGTATAAATTTTTAATTGATACCACGAAGCCCTCACCGTTTCTGATGAATTGGAGCTTTAGTTTGATGGGCACATTAAAATGTATTTGATTGCGGGCCATTAACAATTTCTCCTCTTGCCCAGGAGTCACGTAGAGTGGAGCCTCTTTTTCGGGATTTGGCGGGAAAGCCGCGCTGAAGCGCAGTATGAGAAAAATCTTGGCACAGTTTTCACATTCATCCGCCAGTGATATGAACCGAAGAGGAGGACACATAAATGATTCATTGCACGCCATTCCAATCATTTTTGCCTGGAGAAATTTCCAGAATGTCTCTCAATTTTTGTGATCAGAGGAAAAATCCAAAAATAACTGGCACAGCTTAAATTTGGCAAACCCAGTATTGATCGAGTGAGTCAAAGGATTCCTGTGGTTTTTCATACGAAAATAGTGATAAGAGCCATAATAGCTGTTAAGTCACGGAGAAGAGTTGAAGTTGGGAAATTCACACAAAATGCAGCCAAAAGCTGAAAGCTTTGTGGTGCAGTAAGTAATGCTAATGCTTGAGCTTACGCCTCCACGTAGCGAAATGCTTTTCCTAGAGGTAAAGTGAAGCCGAGAATAAGTCAAAATCCTAATGTTGTAATTCTTTTTTCTCTCCAACATATCAATAAAACATGAAAATGGTAAATCTCGTTTGTGGAGATTCACACAATAACCAAGAAGGATGATTTTCCAATTTAGAAGGCTGTGCCTCAGGTTCAGCCGAAGAATCAGACACATTGATGGTAAATCTTCTGTGGGAAGCTTTTGCAATTGACGGCAAAAAAATCCATGCCTGAGGAGAATATATCTTCGCACTATAATTTATTCATCACCACCTCGCATCCCCGAGTCAAATGATTTTCCGCAAAATTTCATTCTAGCACCTTTCGATTGGATTGTGTGCTCCTGGAGCGACCCCCACATATGCAAAATTGTTGTCTATCAGCATTAACTATGCATGAGATCTTATTCGTGGTGTTGCAATGTTGGGGAAAGGCACACCCCGGGACCATTTGAGCCAAGCAACATGATGTGAGAGAGAAATACCTCGAGGGAAGAATGCAGATATTCACCTTCTCTTGCAATTTCTCCCCATTTTTTCAACCATATATTCACTACAAAACACACCCTATATCCATTCACTCTGTGTCATTCATGATTTTTTATCCCGACCACAGCACAGAAAGAGAAAGAGAGAGAAAATCACAGGTGAGAAAGCATGAGTGTGTGAGGAATTAAATTCAGAGATGGGTTGAAATTCATCTCTACAGCGAGGCTTCCAGGAAATTGACGGTGTCACAGGGAAAAAGGCAAGACGAGGGAGTGTAATTGATTTTAGGGGGTGGAACAGGTGTTCTAAATTTCAACGGTGGGACAGAAATCCACTAATGGAAATTCCACGGGAAATTCCACTACACAACACTGATGGCAAGAGACACCCACGGAGCGGGAGATGATTTGTTCACTGACGAAAAAAATATCTTGTTCACAGGTGAAAATAATCAGGAAGAGAAGGTGAGAAAGTTATCCACTGACTTCTCATTTCACACCATCATATTGTGCCCTCCCTTCTCATCAACTGTAGCTATTCGCGAGACAAAACGCTTATTTCAAAACCACCGCGCAGCAGTCGCACGAAGCGTCCATGGACGATGGACTTCCACGAGAGACTGACAAGAGGATTATTGAGCACTTCCTCGAGAGTCACTGTACTGCAATTCAGTCGCCTCGAGTGTTTGCATGCCTCTCAACCAGCTCAGAGCGGCAAAGCTCATGCGTGGCCCAAGAAAGCGCCCAAAACTCCGTTCCCCAGCATTCAGTTCTCACGACACCGCCGGTGGGTTTGTATCCCAGCTAGATAGACTGTTCCCAATTGAGGTGTTCTGTGCAACAGGTGCTATTTCGCCATAAATATTCATATCAAATATTAATATCTGTCGCATTTGCCTCCACACACGCCGTGATGCTCGCCCATCAGCAAAGGGATAGTCATTCTGACGTATTCTGTACAGCTATGCAAACATTTGCACTGTGATCTAAGATCCATCAAGGTCTCGCATGTCCAAAAGCGGAGCATTAGCGCAGAGGTGTTAATTAAAACAACAACACGTTGTACGAAATCGCAATTGAAATGAGCTGACGTGAAGACAAAGGTTGCAAATCGAGCACAAAAGACATTCAAATGAGAAACAAGCCGTTCTGAAGAGAAGTGATAAAATGACAGTTTTATATTAAGATTGTTCTCTTACATTGCAATCACTAATAACAATTTCCTCATTGAGCCAGATTATATGCATTGATTTCAGTGAGTGTGTACACATTTATCAAATAATAATAATTACCCTATCAAATATGTATAATCATTAAGGCAAGAGTGTTGAAAATAACACCTTCTCTGTCTTCTCTGATCGCCACTTGTTATTTAACAACTATAAGATTCACACCTCTTGCAAAGCGTCACAGTCAATCATGCTTCTCATGCTCGAATATATCACACAGTTCCGATCCATCTTTCAGCACGTCTCACCACAAGAATGGAAATGTTCTTTGGTGCGTGTGTGATGCACAGAACACTCACTTTTTCCCGCGGCTCAGCTGTGTCGTTGTTGAAGCAGGTTTTGATGATTGTCGAGCTCCCACTTCGACACAGCAGAACGGGCAAGTTGAGTGTGAGGTGGCCAGAGAGATTCACAGACAGTTAGCTCTTTGCATCCGTTGGAGTCACGCGGTTTCTGCCACAGCGCGGAATTTCAGTTGGAACTTGTGAACCACATTGCGAATTGCATTCAGCGTGGGGGAGGTTTCGAGTGCGCGCATCTCACCCCCAAAAATTTCCAGCACACGCATGTAGAATCAGTGCAAATATCCTGTGTCCACAATGAGACTGTATCCGGTGATTTGTGCATCATGAAGGAATTTCTGTGATTATTCATCCCGTTCGCGCTAAGCAACTGGCCATATTCATGCTGCGAAGTAAATTGCTCTTGATATTCTTGTAGTTTGTGTGGCTTTTTGCATATGGTTCTGGGTCGAAGCACTCTCGCTAGCATTTTCACGAAGCAAAGTAGAAAGAACACTCTCTCATGTATCAAGAATTACAGGCAAGTAACTCTATCGGCACCTCGGCAATCAAGGGAGTTTGCTGGAATGCTTCTATACACCATCTTTCTCTCCTCCCTTTGCCGCGGAGGTGCGTCAATCATTGACCTTGTCCACATGAATGTAAGAAGCATCAAGTCATGCAGCATCATGTTAAATAAGGGACCAATAGCTTCTCTCAAAGTGCTTCACACACTGAAAAAACATGTCTATCGCCAGTCAGAGTGAAAGAATGTTTGCCTTCCGAAAACACTACATGAAATAATAAAGTGAGTTTGTTATCTTATCGCCGGAATCAAGACGTGAATTTGTATGATGGACACTCACACTTGTGGCCCATTTAGTGGAAATAATTATGCCATTGTCTTCATACAATTCCCCAACACTTTCGCCCAGAATTGAGAGAGGAACAGTGGCCCAGAGAATGTCGTGAACATGGGAATATTATTGTTTTACAGTCACATAGAGAAAGAGTCACTGAACGAGCGATGAACAGAGTTGATACGCTTCCAGATATAAAGTGACTCACACTGCGATAACCTTGATTCGCTATTTGATAAACACATAGTCAATTAATTTCAACACATTTCGTAGCGTATCGTCTTAATATTACACGCCTAATTCCCAAAACAAATACCTCCAAAATCTCATGTACCATTTAATCCTCAAACTAACTTTGCCGCAATTCTGTTGCTGAAATGTTTCGCGCACTCACCTACATTATTTCCGCCATTCACCATGAGAGGAATTTTAAGCAATGTGGCCAAAGCAGTGGTTGATGCGGAGCCACATAATGTTCCCTAAGCATTTGAGGGAGTCACGAACGAGTCATCTGCAAAGAGGAGTCAAATGCATACAATGCCGCATGTCCACCTGATATGCTGAAGGAGGTGGAATCGCCTCTTTCTTCATCTCAATTAGACATTGGATTTGTACACTCGGAACCCGTTAGGTTCGTGTCAATTGTCCGGCTGTGGCAGAATCGAAAATTGTGTGTACGCTCACATGCTTATGGTATTTCAGAGCGAACGAAATTGACGAGCAAGGCAATTCAACCTGAGTAGATTCGCGATTAAGGAGAAATCTTCGAATATTTTTCACTGGAAATTTTTTTTTTGCACAATAACTGTCTCTTGAGCCAATTCTCAGCTGTACACAATTAAAATCACCATTGTTCACAGTGAGATAGAACGCCAATTGTCCACTCCTCTGCAAGTGTCTTCGCCTTGAGCGACACCCAATTAAGAGGTAGTAAATGTGTGTTATCGCTTTGCATTGAGAACGGGAGACTTACAAAATGCTGAGAGTTCTCTCGTGCTTGGACTTTCTTCTCAACATCCGAGCACTTAATTGAATAATACGAGCCACTATATCGTCCATAAATTGGCTCGAATGCCTCGAACAGCTTAAAGAATGTGTGTTCAGAAGAATCTCATTTTCCACGTGACATTCAGAAGTTTTTTTTCCTTTAAGTCACACAGACTGCAAGAGATGGTAATCCCATGAAAGACATCTTCCACTAATTGCCCCACGCACAAGAACCCTATTATTAATTTTCTTTTCATTTCTAATGACACTTGAAGCTGTTACTCACGGAGTCAATGCGAATTTTTTTCCCTCCTTTCATTTTGTTGGCAGAACTTTTTACGAAATTCCCGCAGACATTTGCAACTCTAGAGTCTAAGTGTTTATGACGTGGAAATAATTACTTTGGTATTTTCTTATGCAAAATGACTATGCGTGGAGGAGAGTGAGAAATATGGACTTTTAGATTGCTTTTCATCTGCGGCATAGGCAAGAAATAACAATTATGGCTCGCAAATTGCAATGGGAGAAAAAATGTCCAAATTGGCAAGACAATGCCGGAGATTTATTGCAGTGAAAATTGCAAGCTGAACAGATGAAGTATCGGGTATCTAATTAGGCGAAAATAGTTGCTCTTCTTTCACATGTGCTGTACAATGAAGAAGGCACTGTTAATGTAATTGAACGCAGAAGAATCCACCTTTGAATGCTGGATGTTTAAGAAAAAGTACAATTTCTTTCAACTATCTTTCTCAAGTCATGCCATTAGGAAAAAAGTATCCATTAGAAGAATGTTTTTTTTTTAAGAATACACGGAAACAGTCAATTTTCGAAACAATTCTGACTTGATTGATAAATTTCTATAGGAAATAATTTTAGGTAATTTAAGACAAAGAATATTGTAAATAAATGAGAATGAAAATTTCAATATAATAACATTTATTAGAAGTCATAATTGTTTTCGCGATTTACGATAATTCAAACTTATAATTCAATCTATACATCTTTTCAGTTAAAAACAAACAATTTAAGGGGATGTAGATGGAGTTTTAAAGGGCTTCATAGCTATGAAAAGTCTTGTTTTATGGGTAATCCCGGTTATCTGCTAACATGTTGGGCGCCATGTAAATCCAAGAGTGTCTTAACTTTCTCAGTTTATCCACTATTCAGGTCTCTTATTGCAGCTGTCATATTGAACACAAAATAACAACTTAATATTCACTTCAGCGTCTCACTTTGCATGGGGATGTATTCAGATCGCGTTCATTAGTGTCTTGAATTGCTTCTTTTGCGCCGCACATATTCCATCACACTGTCTCTAGAAAGATAACTCTTTTGTGGCACTTTAAACAATTTCTCCGATTTTTTTTTCTTACCCTAATTACACCCTCTGGATCGTCCTCGATGCGTAAAAGGAACACAATAAAACCATCGGAAATGCCCATCCGCATCTCTATCGAGCAATCAAGATCTTCTCATCTTCATTTAGTTGCCCCAGAGAAAATAAATTGCAATTAGTGCTAGTATTACCAATTACATCGGCATCAACATCTCGCAGTTTCCAGTCACTGGCTCTCATGATGGCATTATGTTCTTAGTGCCTTTCATTGAGCATTTTATTGCTTACATCACATCTTGCATGTTTTCGCATGAATTTAAATGATTTCACCTGATTAAAATGCATCCATTTGAAAATGCCACGACTCCTCTCAGCGTCTTGTACTTTTCCCACAGACTTTTGTGGATAGAAATTTGATCCACCAGAGAGCATATTGTCGGCACTCAAGAGGAAAATTTCGTGAGAGTTAATAAAAGAGCAAGATTTTGAGAGATATTTCCGTATGTTGAGCATAAAGTCAGCCGACAAAAGTTCAAATTCAATTAAATTCACTCCATTTTGGCAGACAGTTGTTCTGCAACTCACAAGCACAAGCACGTTTGTGGATCAAATGGCATGCAAAATATACCAAAATATGTCTGCATGATTACCACATGAATTGGGCTTGAGAGAATTTTTCAAGTCGTGACTGAAGAAAACTATTTGTTTTCAGCAAGGTTTTGCGTCTTTCACTTCTAACAGCGTCCAATGAATTGTGGATTAAACTATGCATTTCCTATCAATTTCTCAGTCACTTGGCTATGTCTAATCATGCTCCATTGGTTTGCAGATTCACCCCAAAAGTGTTTTCCTAGTTCGTCACGTAGATATTTCCCTGTATGAAATTTGCATGCCACCTTGTATGACCGCCTCATCAGACTGATGCATTGATTTCCCATCATAACAGGCATTTGCATATATGTAAATTGCAGGAAATCAATTTGGATTCTCAGGAAAACTCACCGACAACACCCTCACAGTGTGGGAAAGCTTCCACACTCATGGGAAAGTGCATATCCAGGGTTTCCACCGGAACGTCACCAAATAGCTTCGGAAGCACTCAGCGCTTGGCCATCTCGGAGAGGAGTTTCGACGGTTCCTGCATTGATGAGGTGAGAGTCTTTTCCACGGGTAGATGTCGCATATATTTTCCCCCGGAATATCGATCAATTGGGGTGGAAAATTTCCCTGAGGGTTGGCGAAGCGCCATTGAGGAAATCTCTAGCGATTGCGCACTGAAGGCCAGACTCGGGAGTTGAAGAGCCAGTGATTGAGAAGAATTTTCACCACGAGGAAAATCCTAGAAATTTCTCAAGTAATTGGACTGGAAATTGGTGGCAGAGATTGTTGAGAAAATGTGTTGGGATATAACGATGGCAAATTGCCTAAAGATTTGATGAAACTCAGTGAAGTTCGACTCTGAATTTCCCCTCATTGATTTTCCCCAGAGTGAAAATTCATGGCCTTGCAAATGTCCTGCAGATTTTCACCCTCGAACAAGTCATTCAGAAGACGAGATACGCACTTTAGTTGAAAGACTACTTTCGTGAGTTTTGTGCAGTTTCTATTGATAAAATCTTCACTTACAAAGTGAAAAGTGACAAAGTGTGTGATTTTCAAGGCACTGACGCTGTGCTAAAGAGACCACAATAAATCATTTATTCAAGGTGGCATTCAATCAATATGGATGAATGCCAAAATGTGATTGAGTTTGAGGAATTTGTTGATGCAATTCAGGACGACGTCATAGACAACATGGTAAAGATCAAGCGTCCATCTTTCTAAACCACGTTTTTCTTTCACTGGCCATAATCATCTCTGACTGGTATCGCAAGAAACTCGCTGCGAATTCCCATTGAAACTGAAATCTCTGCTCATTTTCACTGCAAAGCAGCGCGTTTCATGTGAAAAACCATCTCGCGAAATTATAATTCTACATGCGTGCGGAATATCATGAAACTTTCATTGGGAAAAAGTCAGTCCGTCAAAGCCACGGGAGAAAAAGATGATACAATGCATAATTGACACAAAATTCAGCAAAAAAGGTGTAAATCCGAGAGAATATTCTCTCGTTTTGAATTGTTTCCATATCACTTTTCACTACATTGTCTTTTTACGCCCTCATTGTGAATCATTGTCTCTTCTGATGATGTTTTCTCAAATTGTCACGGGAACGAATACTGAACTCTTCAATGAGCAAATTATGCCTCTATTGAGATAATTTCGTTAGTTTCTTGGCCACACAAAAAAGAGGCATTTGGACATTAGTCTATGTGGTTTTTTGGCATAATTTTGGGGTCAGAAAACGTGCAGAGGTGATTGCTCGGAAAAGTTCCGGTGCGTTTATTGATCATGTTGCAGATGTTAAAGGGGAAAAGCTCTGTAAATTCGGAATTTTTTTACCAATATTTCTTTGCCAAATTTCTAATGATAAATCAGTTTCGTACGACTAAATTATTGTGCAAGAATCTGTACATAAGTTTTAGAATACAAAAAGAGCATCCGGAAGAGTTTAGCATAAATTATTTCTGCAACTTTGTAACGGACTAGAAGACGCGTTTCTCTATGTCTACTGATGCAAGTCAAGCAGAGGTCTATTGTCATAATTTAATATTGCTCGGCAACAATTGAAATCGCAACTGAGATTAGGAATGTAGTGTAAGCAGATGGAAATAATTGTATGACGTTCAATCTCTCCGCTGGCGGAGAATTGTCTTGGAAATACTTTTAAATTACAGTGGATGGAATGAGAATTGGAGCTCGTAGTTGATGAAGCGTTTGCAATGTTAAACTCACCGTAACCGCTTTTTATGTAATAGCAAAACGTCCACGGAGGGAACGTCAGATGAGAAATTGCACAAATATCATCCAGATCACGGTGATTTTCCTGCCTTTGCCGGCCGCATGACTCATATAAACCATTCCACAGTTGAGCGCTCAATTCTTCGTCAAAATTATTGCCGAATCATTATACTTTTGGGCACTGCTCTTACCACGACAGCACCAATATTACAAGCAGTTCTAATTGATGTGCAAAATTTACAACATCTCTCACACTTGTTACAATTTCACAGTGAATGAGTGGAGAATTGATGATGGTGGAAAAAATGGGACTCCACAAGTAACTGTTTGAAGAAATTGACGTGAGATTTCCGCCTATATGTACCAAATTTCAGACAAGAAACCTTACCAATTAAAAGATATCAATGCTCAGAGTGAAATTGACTTGAGTGACCCTTGAGCTCTGAGCGTGCGTTATTGATTGATTCGAGAGGCACGTTTCAACAGGCGCGAAGAGGTTTTCACGAACGCGGTGCCTTTCACCGTGAACAAGTCAACATTTGAAGGATTTACTGAAGAAGTTGCGAAGAAGAGCTGAAATTTACATAATAGTGAAGATGATTTATGCGCGATTGTTTGTCTTCAGCGACTACAATAAAGCATTGCTAAGGGGTCAATAAATCTGAAGAAAAACCATAAATTGAGCCTGAATTTAAGTAAGTTTAAATGAGATTATGCGTCAACTTGCAATGGGAAACAATCACAGTTTCGTCTGTAATTTAAATTTGTCTCTATAATAATTCAACGTAGTGTTTCCCGGACATTTGAGTGGAATTGTATTGGATATTTTTTGCGGTGGAAGTTTTAATTGAAACCCATTTCTTCTGTGAATGGCAAAGCATTGAATTCTTAAATCTCTTTGTAGGGTCAATCGGAGAGTAAGAAGAGCGGCAAGAAGGAGCGCGGAAGTGATGGCGTGGAGACCAAAGGAACAGCAATGTCCTTCGGTTTCCGCAAGAAATCCACTCCGGCTGGGAAAAAGAATGTCGGCACTAAGGAGAAGGAGAAGACCGGACAGGATGTGACTGTGATAGAGAATCGCGGTGTGTTCAACTCTAATCTCACCGACAGCGACAAGAATGGGAATTCAGGTGAGCAAAAATCATACTGCGGAAAATGCCGCAAGCGTTCAAATGCAAAAGGTTGAAGGTGGCATTAAGAAAATCACTTTGCGTGATGAACATTTCTTTCACTGTATAAGAAAGGAATTTGTAGTGCCGCTTTGCATATGCTGAATTTCTGAATACGGAAGTTTGACACGCGCTTCTCCACTTAAACCTCTTGCCAAGTTAAACATCCTCAGGGCAGATGATAAAAAACCCTGCAGCTTATCTGAATTTTCAATCCAAAGTAAAATGTAGAGAATGCTCACGCGATCGCTCAACTCTAGCCGGCAAAGAGAAATTATACTTTCATGGTGTAACCGTGATCTTGGGATTTATCTTGTATACCTTTCGGCGAAGAATTGCGCGGCTAGACTGAAAAAGAAACTTTTCACCGCTCTCTGCTTCTAGGATCGAGGGATTCTCTGGATGAGGCAATTCAGACGGGCAGGTCGACTCCTCGCCTTTCAGCCCCCAAGAAGGAAACCGCCGGGACGAATTACAGAAGCACTCGCTTCGGTTTCCGCCAAAGCAACGCCGTGAGGCCCGCGTCGACGGGTCTCACGCCAAAATTTGCAGACTTCGACAGCAACTCAAACACCACAGGTGAGCATAATGCGCATAATTTATGGTGCAATAGCCTCCATAATTGCCAATCATCTCGTGCCAATGGCGAGTGAGAAGTGGAAGATCATCAAACATGGGGAAACAAGAAGAAATTTCTCCAACTGGCTTTTCAGTCCACGATGGTCAATTGATCGCGATGTGAGACTAATTATAAAATTGCTCTGTGCCAAATACAGATAAGCGTCGCTCAAAGAGTGCTTCGGGAAGTGCATCAGCCGCCCGAGCCCAGATCAATGAGATGCATCAGAAAGTGACAAGTCAGGCACAGCATCCCAAAATAGCCAGTCAGAGTCATCAGCAGCAGCAGCAGAGCCTGAGAGCGGCCTTTTTCGACACGCAGTCCAAGCCCAGCGCCGTGCGCACGGGATTCCACACGAATGACATGTGAGTGCGATCGATGGTCAGACACGATGGACAGTTGGTGTTATCGTGGTTTTCCCATTGCAGTGTTCGGCCGACGCCGCAGCTGGCAGTCGCGCCCGTGACCAAGCTGACGCTGCACTCGGCGAATTTGCCGCGTCCGCAAGTCCCGGTGCCCGTCAGTCTCACCACCGCGCGCACCATGGATCCGAAGGGCGCCAAGCAGGCCCTCAACACCAGCCGTCGCTCCTTCTTCGCGGGCACGGCCAGCAGAGACACATCCCTGGACTCCGGAATTTCCAGCTACGCCAGCAGCCACAACGCGCCGGCGGCCAGGAAGGCGCGCGTGCGACAGCGAAATCTCGAGGTGGTCATGAATGGGCGTCACACGTTCCAGGTGCGAGATCTCGATGACTCCCTCTCTGACGACGCCATTGTGCCGCTGGCGCTGCCAAAGCTGCCCAGTGCGTTTCAGGTAAATGTCGCGGACTTTCTCAGATGAATTTGAATTTAATTGTCGACATCCGCAGGCCTCTCGCCAGCCGGCACCCATCAGCGGCCTCATTCGCATCGATCAGCCACACTATCGTGAGTTTCACAGAGATCACGGATCCCCGCCCAGAAAGCCCTCCATTCCATCCGACGTGGAGAGTCTGGAGGAAGATGCCGAAGAAGGCAAATTGTACAGAGACAAGGCTGCGTCGGAGAAGAGGGTGTCCCAGATGGAGACCAGCAGCAAGCAGTCATCTCCAGGCAGTTCTCGCGCCTCTTGGGGACATGCTGGAGAGTCCATGGCCCACAAGGACTTCAGCAGCCTGAGTCTGAGCAGCAGCGACGATAGCAAGGAGCCACTGAAAGTCTCGTCAATTGTGATCAGAGATGATGACATCACTTCAATCACATTCACACATGATCCATCAATGACAGACTTCCTGCCGCCGTACCGGCCAAAAGAGGCGTCTTTCAGCCTCCGCGAGGACACACAATTCGCCGAGATGGCCGCTGCAGTCAGCGATGTTCTGCTGGATGATGAGACTTCGCCCACGGACAGCCTAGTCAGCAGCTGCACGGACACAGATGAGCTGCTGAAGAAGAATTCTCACGCCAAGAAAAAGACCCACGATGAGCTGCTCATGGTCAAGGAGATGGAGAAAGATTTGGATGAGATATCACCCGAACTGGACGATATTAATCTCATCAGTCCAGTGATGGTGGGAACTCCAACTCACGCCTCGACCTCTCTGTCCCTCTCAGAAGCCGGGCGAGACTTCCTGATCGACGACGAGATCGCCGATCAACCAGCACTGGTATTCAATGACAAAAACGGTGAGTTTATTGCCACTAAAAGTGCCAATCACAGATCTCAATCTTTATTTCCATCCGCAGTCACGCACTCGCATGTGAATCGATTTAAAATTCAGGGCAATCTACAAATAAATCTCTCCATTTAGGCGACAAACTTTTGCCCCTTTTACCAAAAATATCACAAAGTTGTGGTAAATGTTAATTGAAAAGCTGACATTTTCCAGCCCCTCATTTGACATTGGATTTTCATACTATAGTCCAACCTCTAATTTATAGTATTTGTGGCTTATTTCCGTACGCCTATTTGGACAAACTTTATAGTCATAATTCTCAGAAGGTTAACATAACTATCATTTTTGTATGATTCTGTAGACACCGCGTCGAACATGCAAGTCTCAACTGCGGACACAGTGACTCTTCAGGAGGTGAATTCAATGGAGAACCTAGGCGAATTGGCCGCCAGCATGACTCAGTCTGGCCAGAAGCTGCTCAGCAATAGTTCCGCAAAGGCATCCCGGCGACTCCCGCGCTCTGAGTCTCTGGACACTCTCTCGCCGTGTGAGTCCATCGCGTCCGACGATCTCATGATCGACTACCAGAGTCAGTCGAGCCTGGACTCAGTGGACAGGGTGGCCAGGTCGAATGGCAGCGGCAGTGGCTCTGCCCTGCACTCCATGGACGAGAATCAGCTGTGGTCGGAGCTGGAGGCCCAGGGCGGTGAGCTCCTGAGGGAGTGGAGCAGTCTCCTGCGCGTGAATGGCAAACCCAGCACCAGGGACAGCATAACGTGAGTACTGTTGCTTCCCTCTTCCATCGCGAAAACCGCCGCGGTATTTTTTAATTGCATAATCATCGACATGACTCATTCGCAGAGAGCCAGAGTAAGGGGAAACAGAGTTGAAACTGCTCTAGATAGGTTGGCTCATTGTAGAGACACAGAAAATGAATAATTGGTGACAATGAGCAATAAATCTTGGATAAATTATTCCGTGTTCCAATAAGAATCCATTACATACGTAGAAGTTAAGAGAAATCTGTCAGTTTTTACACTCTCGAAACTAAATCGTATTCCCGAAAAATAGCGAAAAGTCTAAAATATTATGATGATCTGTAAAATCTCGCCAGATTCTTATTTAACTCGGATGATGTTTTTGCTGCGTTCTCCCATTATTTCCACTAAAGTGTGTTTTATATGTATATTCAGACAGAGAGAAAGAGAGAAAGATCAGCGAATCGGAACGAAACCAAAAGTAATCGACCTGATGTTTTAATACACTTCATATGAGTGTTTAGTTGGCTTTCAGTGCTAAAACGCGACAAAGTATATTTTTTGCAAATCCCTTGGCACCCACACAATTGTCTTCGCGAATGGGAAAGTGCGGTCTTCCCAAGAATAGCGTCAGAGCAATTATCTTTGCTATTGTCAGTGAATAAATTCACCAGATTAATGGAGTGTTGTGTGCGGCTCTCATCATCGAAGCCCAATTAATCCGAAAGATTTACCACGAAACTTTCACAATTGACTCGCGATGATTGTATTTTTATTACAACTTTATTATATTTTTCATTCAATATTGAGGGCCACCTTTTTCCACCACAGCCATTTTCTCTCCGCGCGCGTCTCTCTTTTTGTTGCACCAACCACGGCAAAAAGAGTATGGTATTACTTAACGAATTCATCCACACACCGTTTTGTTATGGTCTTTACGGTTACCATGAGTCAGTTCAGCGCGAGAGACTGCATCGGTGAGAAGCGAACTCGCGGAGGGTTGAAGCACACAGTGATATTTTGGCTAACGTAGTGACAAAGGGTGTTTATGGAACGTCTTCCATGGAATTTCAAAGAGACCCCTTCGGAAATTGACGCAGATTCTGGGTAAACCGTTTCGTTTCTTTGGCACGCTCTTCACCATCAGCTTTTCTGTCCACTCGCCATAAAGTCAATGTCTTTTTTTTCAATTTCTCGCATGGCTTTACCTTCTGATTTTGTCAATTGAACCACATTCAGTGAGAAGTGAAAGACCTCGAGCGCGGCTCCTTTGGCCAGAATGACTCACACAACGGTCCACGGATTCTCCCGTGAGAGCTATGAGAAAATCACGGTTGTTCCATCAGAACAACCAGCACGAAACCACGAGTGCGGAAGAGATTCAACTCCAGTTTGAACTCGACAATGCTATTGATTAAACTTTCTGATACACGCTTGCAGACGGCTGCAACTATCTCGCTCACGCACACTGCCGGTTTTTTGGGTGGAAAATCAATATTTCGGGAATGGAATTTTCTAACTTAATCGCTCTTGTTTTAAAATGCACACAAAAAGCTTCAATATCACAATTTGAGAAGACATTATTCTTAAGACGAGGAAATTCCGCCCCAATTTCTTGAGTGTGCCGCTCAGGGTAGGTTAGTGATGGATTTCCCACCCACTTTTCCACCCCCTGGCACTGTGAAACCTTGTGCGATTGTGTTGTGGATTCTGCATTTCAAGTTCGCGCATTTCCACTCCGCATGCGCCAGTGTTTGCCAAACTTGGCACCCCGCAAAACTGACCCACTTCCCTCAACTACTTCAGCATTGATCCAGCGATATTGGGAGGTTTTCCGCTGGTCGAATGCCTCATCGATAAAATTAGTCGCGGCTGATAAGAGAAACCGTCACCCAAGTATCGATGCATAGACAGAGAATGGTTGGCTAGTCGTGCGAGAGAACGCGGTGGAAACTGTTGGGAAAACACTGAAATGCGACCCTTGAGTAGCGCAGTAAAGAATTCGATTGACTTGTATTTGGTAGTTTCTTCGCAGCAACAAATGGAGCGTCAGTTAGATATTTGCTGACCCTGAGTAGTAATCCATTAGAGAGACTCTTTTTCCACATCTTCCTGACCTTTAGAAGAGAGAGAGCATCTGTAGAAGTGAGAGACTGCCAGTGAATTTGAAGTGCCAATGAGACCATGAGGTGTTTTTCCTCAAGTGTTCAACTCTGTGAAAATTACCCAAAATGTGGCAAGATATATTGATGTAACGCATCTAATTAGCAGCTCTCCAGATGAAATTGATGTGAATTTGATTAGTGATTATCGCACCTAAGACATTTGCATAGAGATTTCATTACAAACAACGATTTCTATTATATCTTCTCACACGGGAAAAACTCCATGAACTTCATGCCAATATTGCCACAACCACAAGTGTGAAAATAATCAGTGAAAATGCACAAACTCTTATCGCAGTGTCTTATCACCACTCTCGTGCCAATACGTGTGATTAATTAACTTGTGGAATGCGTAGACTTTAGAGCAGTTCGCACAATGGAAATGCATTCGCCAATTGGAGCCAGGAGAGTCAAGACGGATCTCCTGACCTCCGAAAATGTCTTCATTCAGCCTCCGCCCTCGACTGCGAGTCGATCAAAGCTTCCTGTCCATCAGCACCATCAACAAACATTGAGTCCCACCAAGAGCAAAACTACCTCTGCCCCAGACAGGTTCGACAAGAGTTACTCGTGAGCAATTTAGGTCTTTCCAAACCACAAAATTGAGAAGAAAAAGTTCCATTAAATCTGCTTCACTTGTGTGGAGCTTTAATTTAATGAACCAACCCGAGATATGACCCATAAATAAACGTCTGGACGTGAGCTATAATATGGAAACATTTATTTCCAGTGTCAAAATTTCAACTTTGGGTATTTCCCTCTGGCTAGAAATTAACTTATTTATTACTTTGGTTGAGGATGCGGAGATTCTCATTCGGTGACCTTTCAGTGTCTCTTGTTCTGTCTCGAAAAGAAGATAGTATAATAATATTTAGCGGGTCATTTGAATTGATGTAAGCTGAAATATCATTTCTTTGTTCCGCAGATCACAACTCCCCGCGAGAGCGACGAGACTCCTGAACCGCTCCCGGCTGCAAAGCACCATCAGCACCGCCGGATCAGACAGCCCGCGCTCCCTGGACGGAGTTCCGCGACGCGCCCAGTCACTATCCAAGACCAACTCGCCGCACTTGTTCCAGGAGTCGAACACGCGCTCTCCGGAAGGTGTGTACATGGACAAATCCACGCAGAACATCATGATTCAGGACATTGCGGCCATGAAGAAGCAGCTGCTTCGCCTCAAGTGTCTGCTGCAGGAGGTGAGTACAGGAGCTGCAGCCGCAGGATGAACCGTGCCAATGTTACTTGTGCTTTGTTTTGCTTTTTGGTTTTGACTTTCTGTTTTGCGGGTGCCAAATTACACCAGGATGAAGACAATTTGAAGATGGTACGTTTTTATTTTTCGTCAAAATTTCAACCCTCCGACTAACACTTTCCCCAATTGATCTTGCTCATTAACCTCGCTTCGTGCCTTTTTTATTTTATCTCAACTGTGAAGCAATGAAACCACCAAGTCATTGGGACTAAATTAATTCCATGCCCGAATTTTATGGCCTGTGGCGTGTCTCTTTGTCACCCGACTGACAAATTGCGGGCACTTTTTCGCAAGAGCACACGCAAGTTTGGCACGAACTCAGGCAAATCCTGAAGAAAAATTGCATAATCCATTGTCTGATGCATATTCAAAGTGGTAAACTTGATAAAAACTCAAAGACCTGCTTTGAAATGTGCTAAACGAGGCGTTACCATTGGAAAGTTGAACTCCTCAGTGGTCCTCTTCATTGTAATAAATTATTGATTTTATTGTATGTTTATGTTTTGTGAAGAGAATCGTATTATATAATTACCAATTGAGGAGAAAATTAAGTCAGTTTTATAAATTCATGAGTTCATTTTCCTTCTCACTGACGATGGTTGTTTGGTATGAAAACACGTGTAAGTCTAACGTCCCCACGTTAAAACTATGCGAATAATTTTTTAAAAGCTTGTTTTTGGTTTTGTGTTTCAATCATCCTCGAAATAGTTGCTGATTTTCATCCAAAATATTCAATCATTTCTCGATCTTTAATCTCCAGGGCGATCCTCTCAACTCATTTGAACACAATAATGGGCAGATCTTCACAACCTGCGCGCCGGACAGCAACTTAAGCAGCCTCTCGAGTCTCCAGAGTGAGTCAGCATCTGAGGAACCTCACCAGGATGTGGTGGAACTGAGAAGACAGGTGGTTGTTCTTCAGGTATTAGCACGATTTGTGTTCTTTTTATTTTATTTATACCCCTCGATTTCAAGAAACTTTTCACGCAGCCAAAAGGGGCACGCAAAGCCCAAAATCGATAACTTTACACACTTTTAACGTTTTTGGCACACGTAAGAATTAAACCTAGAGCATTTTCTCTTATTTCCACCATGCATGACCATTTTTAGCACAATTCTTTTTTTCCCATGAGAAACTTTGTGATCTCAGCAATTTAAGGTAATTTTTCTTAATCGCCCCATTCGTAGACTGAACTGGATGATAGAGACAGAACGATAAAGATCCAAAAGAATATTATAGCCAAGTACGAGGCGGAGAAGTTAAAGAGCAAGAATCACGCCAACACCGCCGAAAATGCAACTCAAACTGAAAGGGTATGAATTAGAGAGATCATCAAAACCGAAAATTCATCACATTCACCGTTTTCGTTTCTCATTCTGTTTTCCAGATTAAACCCATGGCAACGCTAGCGCAAGATCAATTAGCCAGGTGAGTGAGAAGATTATGGGCATTTGTGGCAAAGACGAATCAAGAAAATTGATATTTATTCACCAGATGGAGATCATTTCTTGCACTCTTTACTCGAATTCATCATTTTCCTCGTTCATACCCTCATTATCGTTACTTTGGCCAATTCTCCTCGATCACTAGTAGAGCTTTCATATACTTCTCCTCACATTTCATTCGGTCATGCACACTCATTCGACACTTCATTGCAAGAATCCCATTCAATATCCTATTAGAATGATATTTCGTGGTTTTCCAAATCAAACGAAGACTATGATAAATAGTCAATATATCGGGAAATCACGAGATTAGGCAGTAAATTTATCCACGAAATATCAAACTAAAATTACTAACTTTCTTCTATTTTGCCGCTAACGGACACAATATCATTACATTTAATCCACCAAAATGCCGGACGAGCAGGATTCAGTTTAGCCAGGTACTTGTGTGTGATTGCCTGATCGCAATAGTAGTTTTGTGTGCCATAAACATCCTCTGCATACTCCACGTGCTTCACACGTCTTTGGGTCCTTGCTTGTGACTCTAAAATTGCGGCCTTTCAGACGAATTTTGCATGCCTTTTGTGAGATCATCAGATATATTTTGGAAGAAACCAAGTGATTGTGATAAGGAACAAGAAGCTGTGGAGTTGAATATAATTTTTTCCTTTAACACTTCTTTTGAACACTAAAGAGATTGATTTCAAGTTTGTAAAGTCCAGTTGAGCATGAGGGAATTTTGCTGTAAAAAAAATGTCAAATCAAAATATTTCAATTACTCTTTCATGCTGCTCTTGAAGATATCAGAGGTTGACGCCCTTAATCTAATCTCTAAAAGTCAAGGATCTAAATGGTATTTTTTCCCACCGTTGCAGAATTGATTCAAACGGACTGACCCCGAATTCTCAGCGAGTCACAACAACCACTTCCATCTCCTTCAAGAGCCCCACTAAGGCCATCACCTTAAAGCCCGTGAAGACCACCCCGATCGGGAATGTGACCAATATCGCGCACTCGCGGAAGTACGTGAGGAGTTTCAGCGTGGACGACACCGAGGCGGGCATCAAGAATGGGCGAATATCCGCGGGACTCATGACGAATGGGAGTCGCAAAATTCCCATTCTCTCAGGCACCGCCAAGAACACCTCGGCCAGAATTCCGCGCTCATCGCTCTCATCATCCCGCAGCGACTCAGTCAATAGCAGTTCATCGAGTCTAAGCGAGACGGCGGACAGGAAATCCCTCCCCGCGAAAATTCTCACGTCAATGGCCAAATGAGAGATGGTCACAAGAGGCTTTCCTCCACCCACATGTGATAAGAGATTCCCCCCTCCCAGGAGGTTAGACGGCGAGAGATCTTCCGCGCAATGAATCACACTTAATACAAATTGCTATAGCATTTATAAATTATTTTAGTTGAAGTTTAAGAGATGTACTGGTTAGCCTAAATGTATTGTATATTTTGTAATCGTTTTGAGCTTCTTCCTTAGAAGAGCATTTCTTCCCTCTGCCCTTTTTTATTTATACTAAACAAGACAAATAAAAGCACATTTTAGCGTGTAGATTAGATTACTTGTTTCCGCAATTCCTGTCACCTAGAGCAGAGCATAATTTATAGAGCGAGACTATATATGTAATATCTTAAGTTCAAATATAACACAGAATAAGAATATTAATCTGCCATCAGTCTTTCAATTCAGTTTTGGGGGAAATTGAAACAAACTCATTTTCATGAAAATATCTTATTTATATAATTTGATCGGTATCTTTTCCCACTCCCTCCCGAGTAAAATTATGAGGCAATCTCACACTAAACTGAAGCCCTGAGTTTGCTGAATGGCCTGCAGGAGTTTGTACTTCAGTTTCTCCTTTGTCCTGTAGCGCGGCAGGTCCAGCAAATTGAAACATGTGTGAGCGACGGGCAGAAAGCGGTCATCCGGCGTGGGTTGAATGTAGATCTTGATGGCCTTCATGCCCTGAATGGGAATACGACTAGATCCGGTGAGGAATAGCAGGAAATTCTTCTTGTCATTGAGACTCAGCTCGTGAAACACTTCCCAGAACCACTGAACCGTCTGATCGCTGGACGAGTAGCCATTGCGATACTGCGCCGTCTCCTGCAGGGCGAACCAGTCATAGTTCTCATTGCCCACAACCATGGCCATCAGTTCACGCGACGAGAAGAGATGTAGAATTCCTCCGCCGCATACCTTCTGGAATCCCAAGTCAAATCCCTTGAAGTGCATCTTCACACTCTCATTCAACACATAGTCAATGTAGAGATCGACAAATTCTTTCTTCGTTTCCTGAGTTACCATGATATTCCTTCCGTTTGGCTTCAAATCCACAGTTCGTTGCTCTCCAAACACCTCCTCAGTGACAGAGAATGTGACGAGGAACACATCTTCAAAGTCATTACCATCATAAGCCAGCATTGTCTCCATTGAAGTGGCCACAGTTGGTGAGAGATCTTTCAAATCCGATAAGTCCACGGCCTCCTGAAGGATCTTCTTGTACAGCACCAGCGGGAAGGGCAGATCAATGATGGTGAAGTTGTAAATGGCCAAACCACACAAAATTCCAATCAGTGTGTACATGTTGGCGGTCTCGAATGAGGCATTAGAGAACCAGATGTACCTCGAATCCTCGTATTCCTTGAACATTCCATATTTAGGGTCCAGAATCTCCTTCAGCAGCAGCATGAAGAACTCTTTCTGAACGCCTCCGGCATCCTCCGCCTCCTCGTCCCTGAACTTCACTCGCAATGGCCTCTTGTACTCATTCGAACTGTACCGACCAAGCTCTGCAATGGTGTCCTGAACAAGGTTCTCCCGTGTAACATTGAGCACGAGGAATGGATTAAGCGATTGCGCTGGTCCGCCAGCCAACATCTGCATGTATCCTTCAGCTGTGGCACTGTGCATGGCGTTCTGCATCTGAATGCGCTGATCTGTCTGCAGCAGTAGCGTCTTCGCCGCCACATCAAATATGAATGAGTAGGAACAGAGGTGGAAGGACTTGTTATCCTTGTCATAGAGCCACATCACGTAGTCTTTCTGGATATCCACAGTCTCGTGCAAATCATTCACACAGAACACCTCATGAGCTACCTTCTGTGTGCGATATTTGTGATTTGACACGAACAGATTGAGCATAAGATTCAGCGCCATGTGAAGATTCTTCTCATAGCCAATCACGAGACGATTGCTGGCATCTTGGCGGTATTGAAAGTTCAGAATGTACGTCACCACACCCTTGAAGCACTCCACTAAGCGCTCAAAGTACTCCACAGACTGCTCTGACCACCAGCGATGCACAATCCGCGATGGGCACTCGGATAAGCGCAAAACTGCCTGAGAAAAGGGCGTGTGAAGTTTAGAGTAATTTTTCGAGTTGATGAACTCATGATAGAGCGGCAGGATCAGATAAATGCGCAATGTCTCCACATCCGGTGGCTTCGCCTTCAGACTCTGTATCAAATCCGTTGTAATTGACTCCCAAATCTGGCAAGAGAAAGTAATCGCAATTGAAGTCAAGACTTCTAATACCAGTTTCACTCGTACTAACCAGATTCTTTATACTCTCATTCTCCACTTTGCGAATGTACTCGAAGGCATTCTCCGCAATGGCCACATCAACTCCATGATTCTTGGATGTGCACGGTCTGTGCTCCTCAGATTCCTTGAGGAATGAAGCGTTAAGGCAAGCTTGATTTTTGAATATCACCTCCAATATTGATATCACGTCCAAATCAACATTACTGTCTTTTGTTAAATCACTAAAGGAACTCGCCAGTTCCAGAGAAAGTTGACAAATTTGCGTCTTTCCGCTGAAACAACGGAAAAGATGGGTCAAAATGGGAAATTTACATTAAAGAAAGGCGAGAAAACTCACTCATAAATGCGTGAATCATAAGATTGTATGTTGCTGGACTTCTCTACAGCGGATACGAGGCAGTGATCTCCGCCAGAAAAAATGCGTCTCACTTTCATACTTGGCCCACCAACTCCGCTTTCGTCTGCCTCCTTGAATGGCTGTCCAGTGGCGGAAATCTGCAAGAGCCGCAGTTATATATCTGCTTTCTTAAAATACATTGAAGATTTCTCACCCAAGGACCACTGACGACTTGAGGAACAGAAACATTCCTGGGTTTCGCCATGCTCAGTTGGCCAGAGTGTCCCAGGCCGAAGCCATAGACTCTGCCTCTGGACGGCACGAAAGCCAGCGTATGCTTTCTTCCACAGGACACTTGGGTGATTGTACTGCCGGCCAATTCCAGCACCATTCGCGGCGTGATCTCGTTGTTGTTGATGCCATGGCCCAGTTGTCCGGAAGTGCCCAGACCGCACGTGAAAACGCGCCCATCAGCCGTGAGGAAGACACTGAAATCGTCACCACACGCGATGTTCCTCACTCCGAGGCTCCTCAGGCCGCGGATCTGTTCTGGATAGGCGTGGTGACAGTCATCATTGAGCCCGAGCTGGCCACAGTTGTTCTTTCCCCACGCAAACACCGCTCCAGACGTAGACAGGGCAAAACTGTGATTCGATCCGCAGCAAATAAAGGCGATCGGGATGCCACTGAGCGCCTCCACGAGCACCGGCTTTGTGATCCTTTCAGATCCCGGCCCAATGCCCAGTTGGCCAAAGTTGTTGGCGCCCCAGGCAAAGATCTCGCCACTGTTGGTCAGCGCGAGACAGTGAAAGTGTCCAGAGACAATCTGGACAACATGCTTAGTGCTCAGGCCGCGCACAATACGCGGCGTGGCCTGGATGGAGCCCATTTCGTTGCCCAACTGCCCGTGAGTATCGGAGCCCCAGGTGAATACCTGACCCCAATCATTGAGCGCCATGGAGTGAGTCGCTCCGCTAGACACTTGCGTGATAGTGTAGTTCTCCAGAGAGCTGATAAATTCTGCAAAGAGAGAGAATTTTTAGTCTTTCCCTTATTAGAAGGACAATTATCACAAGATGAACAAACAAATGACAACAAATGAGGCACATACTAAACGAGGACATACGTGGCCTTTTCCGGGAGAGATCATGCCCCAGTTGCCCGTAGTCGTTATTGCCGCACGAGTACACGGTGCCCATCTTTGTGAGCAACAGCGTGTGAGATGTCCCGCAGGCCGCTTGCTCCAGCTCTGCACTTCCCATCCAGTGAATCTCGCGCGGCGTCAAGATCTGCAAATCAGCGCGAAATCACATCATTCTGTGTCTGAAACTCAAAGAAACACACTCACAATGTCCTCCTCGATGCCGCCGAGGCCCAACTCTCCGTTTACCGTACTTCCCCATCCGTATGTGGCCATTGTCATCAAGCTAGAAACTCGAGCAACTTAGATTTTACATCCCTTCCCAGCAGAAGCTTCTCGAACTCACCTAATTTTTCATGTTCACTATCTTTTCCTGACGATTTTCCACCTCAACCACACCACAAAATATGATATTTTACACAGTAACACGTCGAGAAGATTCTACTTGGTTTACAGCTTGATTCAGGGGATTCAGGGGGTCAATTCGGTTTTTTGCCTCAGAAAATGCACCCAGAAGGCGGAAATTGCGTGAATTGCAACTCCTCTTTGACGTTTTCCCACTTCTTTTTCGTCCGAAAACCACTCCGGAAACCCCTTCACCAACGCCAGCTCTGCCGTGAGTGAACGACGTACTACAGTCAACATGGAGTTTTACTGTTAATTTTATTCTGTGATTTTCTCCACTTTTTCACACATGTAAGTGCAATTATTGATTATACCAAGTGTATTTTTGTGAAGAATGGCTCTTCATACATCTAATAAATGTGAGGGGTTGAAAATCATGGTGAGATTTGATGAGAAACTGTGTGAAAGCTTGTGGGTTGTTTTGACACTTTCTATGCCCCTCAGAAAATCAATATCGCAGAAATAGTGCGAAAAGTAATCTATTTGTGGTAATTTGCCACCTGTTTGACCTTCTAGTCACCCTTCAAGTCGAGTAGAAGCAATTCATGGCGATTGCAAAGACTGGTAAATCGTTTTATTGTTCTCCGGAAAGCTGCACTCTCTGGTGAATGAATTTCCTCATTTCTCGGGCTTTCACAGTCTCTCGCTGAGCTTGTGGGAAGTTTCGCGGGAGCCGAGGGAGTTCAGAGAAAGAGAATGGTACGGCGCGACGGCTGGGAAAAAGTCAGTCTACCGCGAGAGAGCGGCGAGTTCAATTGAACTCAATTACAGAGGCTAGCAGCACTTGAACAAGTCCTTTCCTCACGCTTGTCCTGTTCTTTCAGAGCTCATCGGCCACATCTCCAGGCACTGATCATCTACAGAGGTATGCAAAACTAGAGGACAACAGCCTGGAAGCACAATGGTCTTGATCAATTCCACTGCAATCACGGATTTCACACCGAATCCTGTGGACATCGCCGCTCTGGGCAGCGATGAGGTGATCTTCACCATGGATAAGCTCTATCCGGCCCTCCTGCAGTGCTTCGCCATCATCATCTGCGGGTAAGTTCAAAGGAACGGGACGAATTAGTGCACAAGGTCGTATTAATTTCTGCCAAAACAGCCTAAAATGGGTCAGAGATTGGTGAAAACTTTTCCATAATGATCTCATTCTTCATCATAGACTCGCTAATTCGCAGTCTCATGCGGCTTTTATATCAAAAACATACGACACAGCTCTAATTAATCGATTAGCAATGGTAATTGCAATCCAGTTTGCGAAAGAGAATGATTTGTAAGGCGTCATATAGATTAAATTTACCAGTTGGGAAATTATAGTGATTAACAATGGCAAAATACTATTGAATCACATGTGAAATTGTTGTTTTTTCAGTGATTTTCACATTTTGCGTTCATTTTCTGAACGATAATCACTTACTCATGCATATTTACCTTTAATTCTAGATTGTAGTTCGTCAAGAGTCCATTATTTTGAAGTAAATGTTGTTGCTGATAAAATATTTTCAGTCCAGCGCAGCATTTTTTGTATAATCGCGTGCCGCTTAGTCATTTTGTCATGCAACCACAAATAATCAGCTCGATAAACATGATACGGAAAAAAATTTTCTCCAGAACTACTAAAGTAAACACACGTTTTTCAATGTACAAGAGAGCCATAAAATTCATGTGTTTGCACTCTGAAGTCGTGGCTTTCCATTGAATTTTATAACCCAGTGGCGATCTCGAGTGATATTTTGCACTTGATCAGTCGATTATGATCGCTTCAATAGCGTAATGGCAATAATTCGCACAGTCTCTGGGCATGAATGGGAGCATTTCCGTGGAGCGCACAATGTTCAAGGGTACTCCTTTCTCCTCCGGATGAATCTGAATCTGAAGCCAATTGATTTGAGACACAGAGAGAGAGCCTTGATGTCTGAATGTGTGTCAATTGTGTGTTTTTACAGATACATGGCCGGCAGACTGAATATCATCTCAAATGCAGAATCCAAGGGACTCAACACTTTCGTGGGCACATTCGCCTTGCCATCGCTGATCTTTCTCTCCTTGGCAGAGCTGGAATGGCACACGGTGAACTGGAACTTCCTCCTGTCGATTCTCATCTCTAAGGCTGTGGTGTTCTTTGCCGTGGCCACAGTTTCTCTGCTTGTGGTGCGTCCTTTGAATCTTGGCCGAGCAGGAGTGCTGGCGATATTCTGCACGCAAAGCAATGACTTTGCAATTGGATATCCCATCGTGATGGCGCTTTATGAGAAAATCCATCCGGAATATGCGGCCTATTTGTATCTCGTGGCGCCGATTTCTCTGGCAATTCTCAATCCCATCGGCCTAGTCATGATGGAGATATCAAATATGAGAGCCAGACGACGAGAATCGGTGGAGGAGCAGCCGATCAGGCCGATAGGATGCCCGAGAGTGGAGGAAGTGACGGGAAACCGCTTCTTGCGAGGGAGGATTTTAACAGTGGCGAAATTCATCGAGTCTGTCTTCTTCAATCCCATCCTGCTGATGACTGTGCTGGGAGTTATTGGAGGTGTGGCGTTTCCCAATGGGATTCCTGAACTCCTGATGGGTGTGCTAAAAGTGCTGGGCAACTCCTTCTCCGCCACGGCCCTTTTTCTACTGGGATTGAGAATGGTGGGAAAGGCGCACAAGCTTCAAGGCCCCGGATTTCTCATCCCAGGCATTCTGATCCTCGTCAAATTGCTGGTTCTGCCAATTGTCATCCGGCAAACAGTGAATATCATGAATGCAGGTGCAAATTTCACTGACACGACAGACTTGGGAACCTTTGGATTTCTCTACGGCACAATTCCCGCCGCTCCAGGAGTCTTCGTGATCGCTTCCCAGTATAACACAGAAGTGGACTTGGTTGCCAGCAGCATGGTGGCTTGCACGTTCATCAGTGCGCCGCTGATGGTGATTTCTGCCAAAATGATCACGCTGACCAATCTCAATCCGGCCAAATATCTCAGTGAACTAGTCTTGGTGGCTTTTGACATCAGTGTCTCGGCAATTATTGCCTGCTTCTGGTTGCTGCTGCTGTTCAGTGTGACCAGGAAAATCCGTCGGATGCCCCACAAGATCACCAGCTGCTTAGTATTATCACAATTGATCAGCAGCGTTGGAGTATTGCTGTGGTCAATCTGGGAAACATGCCCGGACTGGCTTATGTACTTACAATTCAGTCTTTTCACAATCGGGACGTACAGTAGTCGCCTCTGGTGTGCCTGTCTGGCAATCACACTTCTCTTCCTCCAGTGCCGCAGTCTGTGCTTCGTACTGAAGCTCTGGCCGTGGTTCGTGGGCATAGCCTGGGGAATTCCAACGCTTATCGTCTCCTTCCTTCTCATCTTTGACTCCAGCCACATTACGCTCACCGAACGGAAGAATCCCAGCTTCCAATACGGCAATGCCCAAGCGGCGATTGCGGTGTTTCTTCTCGTGATGTGCTTCATTGGTAAGTTTTCAATATTTTAATTTAAATATTTATTTTGGTATTCACGCAAGATCATCAAACTAATTTATTGCCATTGCTTTTTAAGTGTTGTCGATTAGCGTTAATAATTTTCTGAATGTTTTTTATCGCTCCTAAAACCTGAATTAAATATTGATCATCACGCGAAACATTGCGGAAGTGGTTTCTTTTGTCAGTGTGATGGTTGGGAAAAAAATCAATAATTGACCAATAAATATTGAAAATGTGTCTCCTGCTCATCTTTCCAGTGACTGTGGGCTGCCTTGTCCTTCACCAGAGGTACAAGAAGCGCTTTGAGAAGTACCTGACGCTGTCCAAGGAAATATCAACACCTGATCAGCAAAATGATGGTGATTTGTCGACAAGTTCCACAAGTAATCTTATCCAGTCAGAGACGGATCTCACGGCGTCTCAGGATGTTGAGCAAGACAATGAGGTGAGTGGATCGAATTGCCATTCGAGCGATGGATGTTGCTCGCAGTCCACGACAACTGTTCTGGACATTGAGGATCTCGTCACGAGGCGCCTGAGTGAGCAGCAGAATGGGCTGTGTAGTGCTCAGTTCAACTGTGCTGGAACATCCAGGCAATCATGTCAGACACTAATCCAGCGATACCAAGAAGAGACGCGCAGAGGGCTTGAGCCACTGGAATTCGACGAGAATGTCGACGACCATCAGACTCTGAAGCACACTGTTCTGCTCATTTTGCTCCTTTGCTCAATGTTTGTGGGACTGGCGCTCTCGATCTGGACGCTAGTGTTGGAGGGAATGTCAGGCATTTATGTGGAGCTGTCCTTCTTGGATGCCTTCCTCAATTTCGGCCAGAGCTTGATCGTTTTGGCGTGCTTCATCACCGACACAGGTGATCTTCTACTGCCCTTCGTGAAGTATTGGCGAAAGATCTGGTATGGCGCGAATGTGGTCCAATTGCCAACTTGGAGCAATCTCAGTGCAGAGACGAAGAATGTCTGCGATCAGTTTACCACGCACCATCTGGAGAATTGTCGGAAGACAATTGCACAGGACAAGAGATGGAGAATCAGGACGTACCGAAGGGTGTTCTTTGGGAACATCTTTGTAGACTGGCTGGTGAAAGTGGGCCTGGCCAGGGATCGCGTGGAGGCCACGAAGTACGCCCGCCACTTGGTCGATGGTCGTGTGTTACGCCACATCAACAATGTGTACCACTTCCATGATAAAAATCTGCTCTACACATTCTGCGATCGTCTCTAAGGTGATCGCACGCGATCAAAATTCACAGATGCGACTTGCCTCAAAAACGCCTATTTTTCTACACTTGATGATTGCATTTGTGAATTTTGACTCACATCACAGATTGATCTTTCACTCTGCATCAGCCATTGGAGTGACGGTGAGATCTTCACGCGAGTTACCAGATTTATCACAAAGTGTGAGAAGTTGTAAAGTGCCAAAGATACTTAGGAAGATTCATTTAGAATGAGTGTTTAGTTCATTTTTAGCTTTATATTTTATGTTTAATAAAAGCAGCTATAGAAAAAAAGTGCCTTTGCTTAATTATCTTGGCTAATGGTGGACGATTTGAAAAGTTGCAAAATTGAAAAGACAGAAATTCTCGCGATCTTCCTTGCAAATCTCGTTTACATTCAACAATCTTGCCGCTCAATCATAAATTTTTCAACCACAATACAACCAGAAAATCATTGTTCTCTCACCCGAATTTATGGACTTTTATATCGGTGTGAATTTTCATTAAAGTCCGAGGTGCTAATGAGTGCCGAATTAATTTAAATATCAGAGTGAATGCTTGTCTTCTTGTTAGCGCCCATCAATTCAAGATCACACTGAATGCAAGAAGAAATAAGACATCTCCTCAATGAACTTCTTTCACTCCTAATTAACCTTTTTTCTTTCTCATTCTCTTGCTCATGAGGCACAAGAGCCATACGCACAAGAAGAAAAAAGAAGACACACGACCATTAAGTTGTGTGACCTCTTTTATTCCTCACATTTGCACATCTGCTTAGCCATCAAAGTACCCCAGTGCGGATCTAAATATGATGTTCACGCGATCGCAAGAAACATAATAATCATATTTTTGATATTTGATAGAAATGCCAAGGATCTTCTCAAATTTTCTTCCGGCTAAAGGTGTGACTAGAGAGGCTCCACAGCCTCGTCATCTTTTTTATCGATCTGCGATTGATCATTTCGGCAATGGCCACTTTCGAAGCACACGGGTGACAGTGGGCCATCAATTGGCGGAATTTATTGAGCGCGGTGCGTGAAGAAATGCTCTTGTTGAAGGCCCCACGCGACCACAATTATTCAATTTTCGGTCAGCATTGCGAAAGATCGCGCCACTCTCGTGATATAAGAGATGAAGATGGGAATGATCACAAGGAAAGCCAGTGATTCCACCTGTGGATGCGCGCCGACTCGCGTGAGTCCTTGGCGGGGCGTCGATCAAGAGATGGTGTTTATCTTGCGTGGTCTGTCCCAAGAGATGCGCCCCAGAAACTCTCTCAGTTGCGTCAATTGACAAGGCAAATGGATTTTTACGGTTAAAATAGTGTCTTTATTTGTATTTAGAAATTGATTTGGTTTTTTTGCTCAAACATTTCATTGTTTAACTGTTTTCTCTTGTGGTGAGATAACATATCTCAATCTCAGGTATACAAATCGGGAGTGGGATGAAAGGAGTGGTTTAGGAAGGAGGAGGAAGTTGGCTTAGAAGAAGCGCCTCACGGGCTCCTCTCGCTGAGGGTGAGTGCGGATCCATTCCAGGGCGCGCAGAACGTGGGATGGCACTGGAGGGGGAGTTGGCAGATGATCACCAGATGGCTGGTATCCGTTCTCGTCAGCTGTGGAGAGTGAAAAGAGCTTTTTCAATTGAGATCCTCGCGGGGATCAGGTGCAGATCACTCACCGCGCCACTGAAGGGTGATTGGCGTGCCCTCGGGAGTGTACCACTGGGCAACACCCTGGGACAGGTGACCTCCGACGCCATTCTCCTGCACGGCAATGCCGTTGGAGGTCTGGTAGCTATACTGGTAGGTTCCATCGGGATTGACCTCACTGCGCTGGTCCAGGACGCGGGCATCGCGATCGATGTGATCAGCAGTGATGGCCACAATCAGCGCACAGAACACAAACTGCAATGCACACAAAAGGGGTGGGTTAACGTAAATCCACTCGAAGGCCAGCGGTGATCCTCACTCACCAACTTGAACATTTTGGCTAGATTTCTTGGGAAACACTCTTCAGATGAATCCGAACTGAGGCGAAAACTTTGACTGATCCTCCCAATGCCTCGGACATGCTTATATATGCTCCACGCGGTGTCTTCTGCGAAGATGACAGAGTCGCACGGGAGATGATCGAACCAGCCTCATTAATTATTTCACGCCATTCCAAAATACTACAATTTTTACTATGGCACACTCGCGGCAAAAAGCAGAAAAAAATATTTCACACACACACGCACACATTGGCCAAATGTTGAAAGTGAATCTGATCCGTTGATGATTGTGGTTTTTTGGGCATTTCTCAAAGGCCACAACATGCAAAATAGCCAGCATAGTGATCTTCTGTGTTCGTTTGATCCACTAAATTGATTTCAATGCCCGCGCAAGCACGAGCCAGATTTTTTCTCAGATTTGCATTCTTTGGCGATGCTTTCCTCCAAACCAGATCAACCCACGCTATTGTCAATGGAAAAGAAAGAAAGAAAGAAAGTGATCTGGAGAATATAAAAATAGAATAAAATAAAAATTGCTAAAGTTATTAAATATAAATATCAAATTATGAGATCACACAAAATCACACTTTTTTCCTAAATTCATGCCTCGCTTTTATTGCTCTCTCGATGTGTGGTTTAACCTTAAGCTCCCATTTAAGGCGATGGGTATGAAAAATGCAGAGGATCGACTTGATGGTAAATCGATATAATTAAAAAATCCTCACTCGTCGTGACTTATGCACATAAATTATGTTAATTTTCTCTACATGGTATTTTAATGCGATAATGCTCCGATGTACCCCAAAAGAGTATGACGCAATGTTAATGCCGAGATCAATGTCATCGCGGCAATCGAGGGAGAGAAGCATCCGGAAAAGCGATGGCTCTTGAGACAATTAAAATTCCTCCCTCCACCGAAATGATCACGATCGCGATATGGCCAATTTGTGAAGGACACGCGGTATCTGCGATATCGTAAAAGTGTGACGAGCGCAAAGTGTGAGAATCAGGGATTGTCCCATAAAACGCATTTCGCAATTTTATTGATTTCGAATCATTTATAGATCACCATTGGAAAAACTCGATCCACAAGTAACTCGCACAGTATTTTTATTGTCCGTCTAATGGAGTGTTTTACTTTGATGATATAGAGAACGTTTCGATGGAGCTTTCACTGAGCTCGTGATCTTTGCTTCGCATGCGAACTGCCAATTAGCTTGGCATTTTTTCTAATTCTTCCTCACACTGCAATTCAAGATCATAAATGTCTCCAACTCTCTTGCACTCACCTCGTGCGGTCTCTTATGGGTGCACTCGGTCATTTTGCCATCTTCGATGTGTGGTTCATCTCTTCTGGATCATCAATTATGCAATTGTGAAATCTGGTAAGCCAATGGCAACACAACTCCGCAATAGTGGGTATAATGAAATCTGGTTTATTGGAATATCATCACCAATTTCCATCTCCTAACTTTGTTGATCATGATCGCGCCCAAACAAGTGCGATCTGCCCGGGAAAATGCCATGGTGTGACATTAAAATCGTATCATTTTCCTTCGAGATTATGTGAAAAATTCGTCAATCGCGTGCGTCTCATCTTGATCGCCTTTTCGCATGAGCTCTATATTTTTTTTTACCTTGTTTGCGATCTTTCGGCAAAAACCTCATGTATGTTAATGAGCGAAAAATCCACAGAATTAGCACTCAATCTGGTTGTTGATGGCAAAAAAATTAATTGATCCGATCACTTCAACGTGTCTTCAGGAAGTGAATAAAATATAGATCATCTCTGAAATTGAAAGTGGTTGATTTTATAGAGAAATTTCACACAAGGTGTCGAATGAAAAACTATTAACCCACTTGGTGAAACATTGCAAAATTCCACTCTAAATTATATTTAAACCCGTGTCCAATGTTGACCTTTAGCAGAGACTCTGCGCCAATCTTCCTCAATGAATGGCCGTTGTTTGATTTCGGTGGGTGGGCATCACAAATTTGACGTTATAAAAATTCATAGTTGCATCATTTTATATGGACATTCTAATGAAATATGACACTGTGTGGTCAAATTTTTTCACATGATCGTCAGAATGAAACGAGATTGATTTTGTCTACTGGTTTTTCAGTCGCTAATGTAGTCAATAACTCACAGAGATGAATATTTGATTGTGCGGAGTCCACGTGCTACTATTTTCAAGATTACCCCGAGGTTTTCTGTTGGAAACTGTGGCGAATTATTTTAGGAAATGTCGCAAATATGATGTGATCCGAGCACACAGACGTAATCAGGGCAAGATCAAAGAAATCAGCACGAAATTCATACTAATTTTCGCATATTGGAGAGAAATTGTCAGAAAGGATGAATGATTCCAAATGTCAAGTGGAAACTTCAGAAGCATTTTTGCTTTTTCAGTTCAGGATCGTGATACAAACAAATATCAAACTAAAGTGCATATAAAATTTCTGAATACCTCTCTTGGCTCCGCCCATGATTGAGGAGCGATCGCGCTGAAATCATATCAAAACATTTCCCCCGGGGGATTTTCAGACAATGTTGAAATACATCTTAATCTCCTCACGAGGTTGATTCGATCTCAATCACACATATTTCGATGAGCTTTTACATCTCGCAGTTCCTCATGATGATCGAGAGTGATGAAATTTCCATCACGTTAATCAGGTGATCTGCCGAAATCATAGGGTAGATTAGCCTGATTTTCCAGCAATTGTTTAATGCTAGAAAGGCCATTCTGATGACTTTGAATTTCTCCTAAAATCATGCTGTCTTATGAGGAAAATTACCGTCTATTTGCAGGTTGCATTTACAGTCAAAACTATCACGACTTCACTCCCATTCCCAGCTCAAAACTCCCGCGCATTTCTCCCGTGATGCAAATTGTCGATGGACCAGCACGAACTGTCGTGCTTGATGAAGGGAAAATAGGTAGGAAAATTGCTATGGTAGAATTTAGGCCACTTCCCTCACAATTAACCGTGAATTTGAATGCAATTTCCCACGGTGACCCACTTTCTGGGCAATGGATTTGAGATGCGCGCGCGCGAGTCTCCCGCAACTTTCAGCTGATCGGAGACGAGACAATTAGCGATAATTCATATCTAGGAGGACTCCAATGATGACACCATGTGACCATCTGAGTGGCATAATTGCTGAGCACTACATTCCGATGTGAAAGAGCACGTAATTCTCAAAGTGTCATGCGATGGAAAGTGGAAAATATATGTAACTTTTCCATTGGGTGAGGATGGAAAAAAATGTTATACATTAATTGAGTGATTAACGTCACATTTTCTCATAAATGCCCATCTTCGGAAGTCGCTCTTTTTCTCTGCTGTAACAATTGCCATGTCACCAGCAATGATCGCTTTTATGGTGAGAAAAACTACTCATTCTCAGCATTTTCATCGGCCAAGTGTCAGAAGCAATTTGCAGAATGTATCAGTCGAAATTCTTGTTAAATGCAACATAATGAGCACACTTTGTAATCTATTTTAATGAACTTGAACTCAATTTTGCCACACACTGAAGAAATTTACACGTTATAATCTGGCTTTATTGCACGGTTTAATTGCTCATTAGATGAAAATAATCTCGAGATGCTTCAATTAGAATGTTCCTCTGAGTCTGCAGGACATTTCTGCGCATTTCTGCGTAAATGAGACGATTCAGCATAAACGTATGCACATAACATTTTTGAATTATTCTCCGCGAGTAATTCGACGATTCCAGACACTTTGTGAATAAATAATGAGGAATTTTCATCATGAAAATGCACTCAATCAATTCAATATTGAGTGTATGTGAATATTTTCCTGAAAATCACGTCTCAGAGCGACTTTCCGCGCTCTTACACAGACGAGAGAGCCAAATACAACATGAATTAATAATAAGAATATTTCTCTGCAGGGTTGACAAATAGACATTTGTAAATATATTTTCAAAGAGCAGCAAACCAATCAACCTGAATTGCAATTCAATTTTAATTGAATATATCGAAACTTGAATCATTTAAATGTTTTACTATTTTTTAATCACTTTATTAAAATCTTGCAGACAAATTCAGGTTTCATCTCTAACTATTTGTCCTCCCCTTGACTTCTTTCCTGTGCAAAGCGCGTCACATTCAACATTATTGAAGTCGTCTCCAGACATTTTCATTTATAATGCCAAATTCCTGAAACGTGATGAAGAAATCCTTTTACCATTGCGTGATTCTTTATTAGGTACCTAAAAAATTTTGACAAAGTGCGTTTTTCATCAGAGAAATGACTTCAAAGTGACCCACTTTTGTCGTGAATGCAGCAAAGTCACAATTCCAACTGTGAGACACTCTGTATACCTGTTTCTAGTCTCGTCGGTTTTGTCAAATCGCATATAAATCATCTCTCCGGATGAAATGTCCGGCGTGGGTGAAGAAGCAAAGCTCAAGTCTGATGATGAAGGCGAAGAGTCAAAAGGGAAACTCAATCTGCATGATGAATGGCTGTTTCTCCCTTTTCTGTGTAAAAAATAATATTTGTTACATCTTCAAATGGGCAACAATTGCAATGCGGTGGGTAATATAAAATTGATTTGTGTCCATTTCAAATCCGTCTTCTCGCTTAAGTGTTTCTATTTTTGCTCTTAATTGCAAAGACTCAGAAGATGCTGAATGGGTTTACGAAGAAAGAATGTATTTATCACATATGGATAGAGTTGAGAAGGTTCTGGATAAAAGGCTAGATAGCACAAATCAGGAATGTATTTTCCTATTCCTGTGTAATCAATTGTGCTTCTTTAGGTGTTCTATTCATAAATATAAAAAGGTGATCATTTATATTGATGAAAACTACTTATTGGGAATTTAGCAACTCTGGCGAGGAGACAGACTACTTTTATAGCCACCTCGGAGCAGAAGATCTCGCGAGTCTTCTTCTATTTGTCCCCATGGACTTTATAGCTTCACCATCAAGTGGCTCGATGAGAGCCGCGCGGCACAGGAATTGAATTGGAAAAGTGACAGACAGACTTAGTACAAATTGATTTTGATCATCTACCATCTCACACGGTGTTTGCCCTTGTATGGTGGCAGAAGTAATCAGTGTTTCTTGGAAGAAGAAAGTCTCTGTGATGCGTCTAATTTGTTGGCAAATCAGATCTGGTGGAAATTCTTTGGCTCTCTGATACCGATCAAGATTGTTAGTGGCACCTTTTCAATAATTTGTCATTTTATTTATGTGCATTTTGATATTGTTAGTCTCCTTCCACGCTATAGAAAGTTGATTATTTCTCCTGACTCGGCCACACTTTGAGAGCACCGGGTAATTATTTATCGTCACTCACGATGTCTCCGCGGTGCACGCATGCAGCTCAAACTATGACTTTTATGATGTTGAAAATAAATCAAAGTGCATTCGAGAGACGCAGGAAGGCAGAAAAAAGCGTATCGCTCGTTTCAGTGTCAATTAATCATGTATGAGGAAAATAATACCCAAAGATATGCGCTCAAATATGAGGAGATGCATTTTTCGGGTGTATTGAGTTGTTCGTGAGCTTTGTAACCGTTACTCACAGAGAGCCAAAAAAATGAGCATAAATATAAAGCGTCAGCGAAAAGGCAAACACCTGTCTCACCTTGCAAGATCACAAGCGAGATGCCACTGCAGCGTGGAACAATTAATCAAGAAGAGAAGCAACAAAAGTGGTGCTGAGGGAAAAGCTCCAGTGCGTGGGCCCGACAATTCTCGGACGCTGCTTCTGACAGAGAGAATGTCGAGGGGCGAAAAGCACAGATTACTAAGATTTGTTTTGAAACTAATAAGAGATTCACATGAAATGAACAGGCGATCTAAAATGGGTTCAAGATCATCGATATCAGTCAATTACACCTGTTAATTTAAAAATTTGCCTATTGGTCTGGAATTACAATTCACCCCAACCATCTGGTCAATTCTCTAGCTGAAAGAGAAGTAAATTCAGGCTGTCCGTTCAAGTGATTCGCCCCTCGACTTTCGAATCTCTGAGGGGCACCACAATGGAGCGCGCGGTGTCGAAAAAGGGCACAAGAATTGGCGACTGCGGTATGAATAATTCAGTTTTAGTGGATTTGCATTAAATAGCCACTCGTTCTGTGCGATTCTTGGAAGAAAGTCTGGCAGATTTGTGAGTCAAATGTCGCGAAAAGTAGTTTCAAGTTGCCGCGAGTGTGCGGCAAAGCGCCAAAAAGTAGTCAGATGGCGGGGAAATGTGGGTGGAGAGAATTGAATGATGATGGAGTGCAAAAAGTCTGCACGAGATTCTTTTCGTCGCTGTTAATTGCTGCAATTTTCCCTCCAATTGTTCCGTGAGACAGAGGCCTGTCTCACCTGTATTTACGTAACAGGAATTGGGAGTTTTTTATTCTGTCGAGAAACAGTGTCACGAGACTTGTGTATGATTCTTATTGCTGTGTGTTTTTCTGACCGCAGAAATGGGTTGTGGAATTGTTTGATCTTCATTCTGTTTGCTCGATTCGCGGTCTCAATTTCCGTGCAATTGTGGGAGAAGAGTAAAAAAGAAGACACAGAAAGAGGAAATTGCAATTGACGATGATGAGTGGAAGGTGAAGGAGGTGCAATTGAGTGTGGGCATAGAATTGGAGATAGTGAAACACTTTCGATGGCCAAGTTGTTTGTCTTAGACTGAGGCCATGGATGGAGAGTCATTGGGAGTCATCTCCTCATTAAAGTGAAAAGATATTTGTGGTTTTTTGACCTATAAAATTATAATAAATTATACGAGATTAATTACCTATATTGCAGCAGAACTGGAATTCATCCCAATTGCATCTCACGCCCAATCTCATGATGAATTCCACACTGCGTCTCTGCGGCACAATAGAAATGCATATCAGTCTTCTTTCCGTCCCGCTGCCGAGTCTCTTTCAGTTTCTATGCACACCGGGTTGATTTTCATTTTGAACACTCTCCATTGAAGAGGAAGGCGTATCTGAAGAAAAGCTCTCAATGTCGAAGAGAGAGAAATACAGCGTGCAGAACGATTTTCGGTACACCCGAGAAATTGTATTGATCGACTCTCGAAAAACACCTCTCGGCTCTACATTAATGCTGCCAACTGTGTTGTGATCTTTCTTCGTGGTAGTAGCTCAACATTGATGCATCGGCGCTCTTTCGGATGTGCGAGAGTTATTCCTCTTTGTGAGTGAAAGAACTCCCCAAATATTGGTCTCTCCAGCGACTCTCTGGCGTGAGATGAGCCCAATGAAATCCTTCAATAGACCACCTCAAGATCCCTTCCCCTGGCCACTCGCGCTGCCTTGTGGTGCTCCTTGGCTGGTTGGAAGAAGTCCCACTCTTGCACGAAGATGAAAAGAGCATCGAGAGTGAGCTGAGAGTGTGACACAGTTTGTGTGGAATGCCAATTCAAGACAGAGAGCCAACTATACAATTTCTCTCTATAAATTCACAAAGCCTTGGCAATGAAACTCATTCTTGGTTCGTTCTTCTTGGGCTCAGCACCATCGCGGATCGTCTGTGGGGATCACCATTGGTACCAGACCTCTCTAGGGAAATTTACCGGAGACTCCTTCGACTATTTGTGAGCTGTGATTTTGTGTCATTCAAAGTGTTTTGCCGCATAGTGTCTTTCCGGAGGACGCGCGCACACGATTCACTGAGTGTTGTTCGAGGACAAGAAGAAGTGTATCTTCACGAGAGTATATTTTGTGCTTGAGGAGTAAAATCTTGTGCATAGAGACAGAAAAGTTAATTAGCGAAATGTGGAAATTTATTCTCATCACTGTGTTCTTCGCACTGAGCGTTGTGGCGGATGGTATGTCGATATCATGATCTTTTTGTGTTTCTCTGCCCATCCATAGGGAGATTTTGTCTGCAAATTATGCTAATACCATTGCTAAATATCACACGTAGCCTTGGCCAATGGTCTCTTTGGGAACTTTTTTGGGCGAAAAAGCGCCACTCAGTCAATGAACTTGCGAATAAAACCGTTTTTTCCACCACACACCATCCAAAGAGATCAATCCAACCTCTTTTCTGTCCAATATCCACATCTTATTCGCGTGAAATGAATAAAAGTGCCAATGATATTTCCAACTAATAATCAAATTGGGGCTATCATGCAAACGACAGGGAAGAGAATCGCCGTGATGCCCTGCAAATTATACTGAAAATTCATGCGGCCTGGTAAAGAAAGTGGAGCATCATTAGTCAGTAATATCGAAATTACTCTCACCACAATGGGAGGGCATTGAGAGGAGAAAAAGGTGAGAAAATTTGTTCTCCGGGGCCAAAGTCAGTTGCAAATTTTCGTATTACTCGACCATCTGTTTGTTTTTTGGCATGCAGATGCCTTTTTTGCGGTCCAACCATCATTACATTGGCAAATTCACAGCATGGTGTGTTACAGTGCAAGAAGATTCTCGAGCCAGCGCATTGATTGATATAATGAGGTGAATTGGTGATAACACATCCGTTACGTTCGTCAGGTGGAATTACACCTGAAAATGTACCTTCTGGGGGTCCTCCCCTTGCGAGTTGGCAAGTTTGTTAAGTGATGAGAAGAGCGCGAAATGGGTGTAATCTTAAGTGAGATTTTCTCCATTTGCCACTCTTGCAATGGGGAGAATAATTGCAGTTTGTTCTACTTAATTAACCACTGCAAATAGTGCTGTTTTCAATTCAAAGGCCTGCAATTAGATGAAAATGAAAGAGAAATCTCTGTCTCGATTTGCTTCAATCAAAGCCCCTTGCGGGTTTTGTTTTAGTGGATAATCTCTTGGCCTCGGTGCCTCATTTTATGGAATTGAGGCGCAAGTCTTAATTTTATGGCCATTTCCAGAATTAAGACATGAATCTTACAGTTTGTTCATTCATTCTCTTGCGGGGTGTTGTTTACAAAATTACTTTAAAATATTGAGAAATGTTTTATTTCATGATACGCGGTTTGGTCATAACGTGAATTTTGAAAATTGACACACTTGAATATCATTGACAAGATGGATTATTCTGAAATGAATATGCAAAGATTCGCGAAACAAATCCACCTCTTTGACTCTCTGGTATATTCATGACTCTCACACTTAAGCAATTTATTTAACTCAAAATAACTTCTGGTAATTCAATACGAAGCCTGAGGTTCAGAGAATGCCATAAGCGTTAATTGGCGGACAATCTTCATAATCACCTTTTCGAGATCGCGCGCACTTCTTTGCATGCGAATTTACGTGGAATTTGTTCTTCTCATTTAAATAATTTGCTCTCCCAGAGAGACCATTGACCCAGGCAGACAAAGAAGTGCGTTGCATTTTCAGCAATACAATGAATCTGTATACGATCATGTGATGATAATGCTCGATGAGTGAGAGTCCAGCACATCAAATGGGTCAATGTCGGTTTTCACTCGTAAAACGACTCGGAGATTAATGTGGTAGATTAGTAGATAAATCTTCCTTCCCACTGGAAGCTGCATGCCCCTCGGCGAATTTCTCTGGCGGCAGCGAAAAGGTGTCTGCTGTAGGGTCTTGCCGTCACTTTTATGATCACTGCGCGCCAGTGGGTGGAAATGATCGAGAATTGCCAAGAGTCCTCTTATTAACCATTCCACTGAAAGAGTACTTCCTTATTGCTTCCTATACCTGCAATTGTTGTAAGTCGGAGATAACGGGAGGAATTTTCGGGCATAATTGCGACCTTTGGCGCTCAATTTCAAACGTTAACTGTGCTCACGAGTAAATTGCACCTCGCATTGTCCCAAGCGACAAGAAAATTGGGTTAATTTCGACGCGGGAAAGAGGTCTTGAACCGCCGAGACGAGTTGTATGGCAAAATAGTTCATGCTGGATGAATCTTGTGCCTGATTCTTGTTCTTGTCAGTCATTATAACAGGAAATTTCTGCCTTTTGTTCAATCGTGGCGAATGGCAAATTTTGCGTGCGCACTGCACTTTTTCCGCACACATTGGGAGTGCGCGCGGAATTCCATTGAGGGCAGAGACAGGAGATCAAGATAACACCCATCAACTGTCCGAGTCTCACTCCTTCAGTGTTTTATTAGTCATTTCGCGCGATCACTGTTCCGCATCCTCCCACGCAGAGATACTAGCAGGAGAGTCTAATCCGCGCGTTTAGGCTCAATTCGTGGCACTGCTCTGGTGCAAATTGTGTTGATCTTTGATCAGAAGATAAGGTGTGTACCGTGGAATAAGCAAGAAGTTGGCAGCGATATGGCCATTGAACATCAACTAATTAAACCGTACAGAATTCTTCAACTGACTTCTCTTGCCCTTCCAGATAGAGCTTCAGATGCACTCAGGGGAATCTGAGAAGAGATATTTTGGAAGCTACATTCAGTCATTTTCACGGGTATTTCACCCCTAATTTGTGTGATTGAACTATTCCCTTGTTTGTGTGCAGAAGACCAGAAAAAAAGAGCAATCGAGAAATGTTGTGAGAAGAATTGTGCTGCCACGGCTCAATTTCTAATTGACTTGTTCGCTCCGCCGCGGCCGCTCAAGCGAGTCCAAATGATGACCAATTGCAGTGTTGAGATAAGGAAAAAACTCTCGCTGTCACAATTTAGCTACCAGTGATCAATCAGTTGACTATAAAAGCTCAAAATTGACTACTCACTAGAGACACATTTCAGCCTTCTTTCTCCATCAGTACACCTGTTGCGCACTGTCTCTCTCCTTTGATAAATCGCCATTCGCAAGATTGAGACAATAAAGTGAGATTTCAATTTGCATCGCAGGCCAAGGCTGAGAAGCTGTACGACCACAAGAAAAGCTCTTGATGGGTGAGAGACGGGTTTTGAGAAAATCCCCCAGGCACTTTGGGAGGGGTTTCTTGGAAGATCAAACCTCAAAATCACCTTCAATTCACATCTATTCGCATCGCGGAACATGATTTCTGATTGGTATGTTTCCTGATAAATTTAATGCCAATGAAATTTGCATGAGAGGCGCTCACAATATTGCCTTATCGCGCGTGAGAGTCTTAAATTCTGCATAGATTTTCGACACATTATTAAATACACGACCGAAAAGGCCAAAAAAGTGTTGAGACTTCCGAAATGAAACAGTGGCTTTGTACATTAATTCGAGATAGCAAAGTGATAAATGAGGGGAGAAAAGAGTGGAGAGATGGACGGAAAAAATCAGAACTCGCGTACGGAACTCCATGAAGAAGGCAATTATTTATTCAGATCGAGAGATAAGTGGATGCTTATATGAAAAACCGACCTTCACAAGTCAACACACTTTCTTTCACTATGATGCGAAAATCACTCTCACAGTTTGGTGGGTGCCAAAGGTCCATCTTCGCTATAATCCAGATTGATGAGTGCTGTACCGAAAAGCTTCTTATGCAAAGTGGGTCACCCATATCGCATTGGATATCCTGTCTCTCTGCACGTTGAACTTTATTGGTGTCTTTATGAGCCAACATCTCGAGTGGAAGCACATCTTTGGTGTATTAAAACTGTCAATAAACATATAATGAAATATCTTGCAAAATTTATCTCTTGATGTAAAATCATGAGAAATTCACTCCTTCTTATTCTTTTGCCAGTGTGACATCCAATTTTGAAGTATTAACACCAACAAAGCGCGGATAATAGATGGGAGAGGCTGTCAAAAGAGTGGGTTTGGTATGCTGATTGACTGGGGAATTCTGGGATTGTGTCTTAGATGGAATCTTTTTTGAATGCAAAAAGAAATGGAGAAAGAAATTCCTCTAACACTTAATGGACAATCGAAAGTGATGTGTCACTCGATAAGATGACCACATTTCAAGATTGGCGAATATTTGTAGCAGTTTTATGTGATAATACGGTTTTCAATCGAAATGGCAGTGAAAGTCTCTATAATCTTAAGAAGCCCATTAGCGAAAATCTTATCCGAAAGAGCACTTCTATTTTAATTAGTGAAACTGATTGATTTATCTCCAAATTTCACTAAACAGCTAAAAATAGAATAGTTTTGATTTGGCTGATTATCGACTGTCAATTTTCACTTTTTACCCCTGGCAAAAAATCATGAATAAATTTTATGGATGAATTTCACCTTTTGCCTAAGAAAGTCGATGCTTCTGATCTTAAATTTTTTTAATGATCCTAATTTGATGATCATAATGTTCACACGTTAGCTGATTACATATAAATCAAGTGAGACACGAGCATTTGTGGGGCTTTTATGCGAATGTAAATGAGCTTTTATGTGAATCTATTGATTGATCCCGCAATACACGCTTAGCTTATCCATATAACACACTGACCCAAAGACTTGCACTCAATTGCACTCGGATTTGCGAATCCGAGTGCTGGTCAAATCGCACGTGCCCATCAAGACAAGAGTGAATTGCATTCGCTGCGATATGACAAAGGGGCATTTTGTTTCCCAGGAAAGTGATTTGCATTGCAAATACCGTGATCGATTGTTGTGATGCTGGCCTGACCATCGAGATTAGGGATGGACAGTTGGAGGAAAGAAAGTAGAGTATGGCTGGTGAAACGTGTTTGTGTGAATTGACTGCATAATTTGCATCTGCTGAACGCGTCTCATGAAGTCGCAATTGAGAATTCTCAATTGAGACGATAAATCTCCACATCTACATCGTTTACTTTCTATTTTATTTTCCCATGTGGATGTGCGCGCGCGCACGCGGATTTTTGTACCTACAAATTTCATTGTGAAACTGCCCATGTCTAATGTTTGAGGATTGGATGCTGTCCAGCAATTGAAGATTGGTCAAATACAAAATGTATATTGATGATGTGCAGTTGAGAAACCAGTTTATCACTGTATGAATATTCTTCTAACACACTTTCTTTGCTCCTCATTTAACTTTTCCCGCCATCTGCCATGGGCAGATTGAAGACAGTTTGTCATCTTATCACTTTTTCGAGGTAAAATTCTACAGCGGCCCGTCATTTCTCCTTGCGAGCGGAAAATGTGTCTCTTCCAGCCTCTTTCGTCACATGTTTTGAAAGCCTCATCAATGTATCTGGTTCAGCGACCATCGGATTTCCATCGGATGAAATGGAAATTCAAATTATTAATAATGACCACTCAATGCCGCCCAAAAAGTCACTCACAAATGAGGCTAATCAGCCCGGTGTCTTTGTCCATCCCAACGAGATGAAAGTAAATTGGCAAGAGAGTCAATACTCCATCTCAATGGCCTCTTGTATATCTCACAGTTATATTTTACATTTCATCCATTCAGTCTCCGACTTAATTAGGAGTTCTTGAGAAGTTCTCGCGGTTGGTGGCTTTGTTCCTTCATCATTTTCGACGTCTTGCGGCTCAAAATTCATGTACATTTTAAGTGTGGGACAGTTTTTGGTCACCAATGTGCGGTATTTGCTTATTCATGAGTAATTTTTGCGATATATTCTTCCTCCATAGCACAGTGTGAATTCTACCAAACATGCTTAAAAGAAATATAGAACATTATTATGTTTTTGGAGAATTCATTGTTCTTGTCAACGTTTTTTGAACTGAAAAAAGAGGATTTGAAAACAATTTAAATAAATGTTTGAAATGAATATTGCAAAAATATCACCTTTCGTACGTATATTTTTCCCATAGTATAGAATTTTTCAGGCGCTCCCTGAAGAAGACTTCATGAGCTCTTTTCCTCGCTTGTCTAGCAATTACCCAGTGCGATCATGTGTTGATGATCCACCCACATGATTGATCTCTCGTCTCCCGAAAATTAAGCACAGACGAGAGATCATCGTGAATTGGATCTTTCACCATATGAAGTAGTGTATAATTGAGATTGTGAAATTCCAGTGGAATTTCCCGACCTCCATGAACTTCTTTGTTGATCTCGATGGTGAAAGACGGCGATGGTGCAGGCCGCCCATTTTCCCTGTGCGATTGTGTAAATTAAAATATTGAATCAATTAATTGATTGATTGGTGATCCGAGACTGTGATGGATGAGAGGAGGCGGCCAACAATTGGAGAACGAGACATGTGGACGTTGAACTTGGCGAGATTTGCATCGGCTTGTCGAGTGTGTCTCAGGCCAGCAAAGTGAATTAGTCAAATGCGGACAGTGAGCATATCTTGGGAATTGGAGCTGAAAGGATTTCTTTGTACACTGCAAATTCTTGGGCATATCATCTTCTCAAACGATGCCACTCGCGGATGATGCAGACAGAGATCCATTCACTTCTTCACCTCATTTCAATTGACGATTAATTCACTGTGACGACTTTTCGGTATTCCGCCGAGGGGCTTTGCTGTATTTGTGTGTATAGAAAAATTCCTGATCACTCAATGGGGAATAAATTATGCCGGCGAATCTTAAGATGGTTCATCGACCAAAATAGACCAGAAAAAAATCGACTGTCTTTAGCAATTCATATTTGGGAATTCGAGCCGCACCAGGTGCTGATTTACACACAAATCCACGCAATAATTCAAAAATAAATTATGTCACTGCCTCTGAAATGTTTTCTTTCAGTGTATTTATGAGCATATGGATTTCACGGTTGGGAAATGAGGAACGTGATTTACTGCGATGATCTCTAAATTGCACGATTCCATTGAATAATCAAACAATTTGTCCCATCTATGCAATTTCACTCTGTTCCATCACAGCGATAGTTCTGAAAGCCGCCAATGTGATAAAAGATAAATGGGAGAAAGTTATACTGTGTGTGCGCGCGCTTCTTTTGGGCCTTTGTTATTTACAAATGCAAATATTGATTTGTGGTGTGAGAAAAACATGCAGCTGAAGAGCCCTTTATGTTGCTTTCTGGCCTTCTTTGGCATCACTCTCTCCACACCAACAGTCGCGTTTCATCCAACCTGACCTCGTGCTGTTTATTTATTCGCCCCAAATCAATTACAACTCCTGATCATCGCACAAATTGACACACTTCCGCGATTTGGGTATTACTTTTCGTTTCACCCCAACAATATAATTGTATATTCTATGCCGCTGAATCTTCCAGAGAAAAAGCATCGCTTCACGTGCTGACAAAGAGTCTTTTGTGGACGATATCAAAGTGCCGGAAATGAGAGTGGATTTCTTACAGAAATTCGACATGTTCTGGAGGCAATTTCAAAAGACACTCAATGCGATGTGGGTCAACAAATGAGGATGAAATTGATCAATTTTGGACTCCTTTCTTGCGCTTTTTTGCACACAAACACATCACATTTCCCGCAGAAGTGGACTCTTCGTTCCACTTAAATACCATTGAGACAATATTTGCTGAGTTATTAGGCAAAGTTGAGAAAGAAATTTTGGACAAAAGAGTTCTCGCGGGATTTCCATTCTTCGAGTTCAAATCTTTTTCATCACCATCCAAAGCGCGCTCTTGATACAGAAAGTCTATTGACAATTTCACCAATTTCACTGTTTATTCTTCTCACAATGCGATGGCATTAATTAGTGTATGAGTTATGGAGGTCTCATGGGATGATTTGAAAGTCAAAGGAGCATTTGAAATGCATATGCACAAAATCTCTCTTTTGCAATTCAAATTCTACACACACTCCATGTTTCTCTCCTCTGCAGACACTGTCAAGGCGAATTCCACGGAGCGCCAATCTAGAGCCATTTCGACAAATTGCCCAAGATTGTGTCCCCCGCTGGGAGCGTCTCTGGAGCCCGTTTGCGGCTCCGATGGCTACATCTACTCCAATCTCTGTGAGATGAAGAAGAAAACGTGCTCCAAGACAGGTCCCAACACCGTCACTGAGGACGAGAACGGATGCGAGCGAGCCACAGGCTCCAAGTGTGGCAACCGATGTCCATCTGAGAAGGATCCCGTGTGCGGAACCGACGGAAGGACATACCTGAATAGGTGAGGTGTACGACTGATAAAGAGTGAAAATAGAAATTGAGTATTGTGAATTATTCATGAGGACGGTCATTGGTTGAATAGAAGCGCAAGATTTGGCGAGGTTTAGCTTAAATGTTAACACCCATTAGGCTAAGTTTATTGCTTCACTAAATTGCCGACTCAAAGAAGATGTCAAACTGTGTTATTTTCAATCAAATGCCAATTGGAATTACAACTTAAATCAAATTGGATATTTTGATGATGGAAATTTTCGCTAATTACCACTCTCGGTTTACAGGTGCATGCTTCGCGTCCAGGCGTGCCGCGTGGGGACGGCCGCCGTGTCAATGGCCCACGTGGGGCCCTGCGCCAACATCAGCGCAATCAGAGAATCGTGTCCCGTGGACTGTAACAGGTAATAAATTACCATCGCCCCAGACAGCGATCAACACGCAAATACTTGCGATCGATCGCACTTCCGGCTCTCGCACTCCTCAGGACACTAATCCCTCAATTGTCACACCTTTTTAGTGCTCCTCAAGATGGACCAGTCTGTGCCTCCAATGGAAACGTGTACAACTCAACGTGCCAGATGAAGCTGCAAACATGTGGACAAGGAGTGGTGAGTGGACGCCAAGCGATTTAACCATTAGGCTTTATTATTGAAGTGTATTGGACTTATAAAATGCAGAGAAGATTGTCAAAAGCGCAATTTTATCGGAAATATTTTGTTCTTCTGGCTTCTTTTTACTCTTTGCAGGTGCGTACCAACCGAAAGCACTGTCAGAGCACACGCAACTGTCGTGAGTCGTGCTGGCGAGTGGCCAGACCCACTTGCGGCTCCGATGGCCGGATCTATCCCAGCGCTTGCAAGATGCGCTCCGCCAACTGCGGCCGCCACGTCTTTGAGGTGCCCATGTCCTTCTGCATGTCTCAAGAGCGAGCCGGATCTGGGAATCACATCGAGGACTGCCCCACCGAGTGCCCGACAGCCACGTCAGAGGAGGAGATGGTTTGCGGTAGTGACGGCAACATCTACTCATCCGGATGTGAGCTGAACATGCTCAACTGCGGGTGAGTGTTTGCGGGTCATTCGTCGGACAATTAGGCGCTTCCAGACTCTCAATCTAACACATAAAATGCAGTCAATCTCACTTATGACAAAAAAAACCGCCTCCGCTCACTCGAGATGCGCTCTCATCTTTCGTCTCGCTCTTAACTTGGCGAATTGCAAATCCTATCTTTGGCTTTCTGCTGAGAATCTGTATCGAATCATTTTATTAGTTGGCAAATAGCATGATCTTCTGTGACACTGTGATGATTCTCTCTGGAAATCCAATGATATGAATTGCGTTTCTGGGCCATTCCTTTAACAGGAAAGTGGCCTTTCTTCGGCTTCGCGAAATTAACCTAACGCTTCCTCAAACATTAGGCATACCTTCTGTCTCTTCTGGGCTTTCATGCCATTCTTCATCACTTTCGTTCTACTTTGCAAGAGTTATTTTTACTACCAAAGCAAATAAAACATTAGATATGGCTTCTCTAATCATTCAAAAAAACGTATCATCATTGATCACTCGCGATCGATGTTGAGTAGAAAATTAATTGATATTCATCATGAGAGTTTTGTCACTCTCTCGACGCTTCCTATCGCCTGTGTTGAGAAGCTAATCCGCACTGTCGCTTCTAAACCTCACTCAAGATTGTTCATCTTCGTTGTTTTCTAATTGGCATAACCACTGTGGCAAAGGCCAGAACATGTTTTGGATCAAAAGACAATGTGTGAAAAAAAATGTCTCTGTCTCTTCTCGTGTGCGAACCCGTGCAATTTTCACCCACTTTAGAAGACTCACCACGTCAGAATCCTACCAGAATTTTTTGGCTGGCCCCAAAAATCCTCAGTCGACGCGCATCAGGTAAAAAATACACATCATTTTCAATCAACCGCTTAGAGGTCAACAATTTCTGTGACCAATTGATGTTGAATGTAGAGAAAAATCTTACAGGCAGTATTTTAATTATCAATTTCACTGCATGATTTTATTTCTCTGAAGAAAAAAAGAGTGCGAAAGGTGCTCTCTTGAAGCCACGTGAGATCACCTTCGCGGGTGATCTTGTGTGTGGAAAATTGAGACTCTAACAATCTCTTCTCATGTTCGGCGTGAAGCACCCAGCGGAAGCCCGTCCAGATTGTCTCTATGACACGGTGCCAGACGCGTATGAATCGCTGCAAACACATTCCCCAGTGCGATGACTTCCAGGACAAATTCGGCGGGCTCTTCTCATCTGCCCAGAATGATCTCATCTGCGGAACGGACGCCAAAACCTACTCCAATGAGTGTGAACTGGCTCACGCCACTTGCTTGTAAGATTACAGTCAAAAGTCCTGAGACTGTTGAAACTGATCCATCTTCTCTCCCTAGGCGCGGAGTTCAGCTCGCTCACATTGGTCCCTGCACCAAACTGAAGCCCGCCCGATACGATTGCAGTGCCGAATGTTCGCCTGACGAGGAAGCTGACAATCCCGTGTGCGGATCAGATGGCAATGCTTACCGCAACATGTGTGAAATGGTGCAAAGGACCTGCGGAATGCGAGTGGTCTCCGTGTCACAGAAGCACTGCGCCACCACAGCTCACTGTGACGCCAATTGCGAAGAGATGGAGGGAAGCTTTGTCTGTGGCTCCGACAATCATCTGTACAAGTCAGAGTGTCACATGCGGAAGGAGAATTGCGGAAAGCACATCTTCGTGGTGCCCATGAAGCGATGCCTGGCCGCATTCACATTCAAGGGATGCTCACGCATGTGTCCTCAGGTAAATCACTCAGAAACTCAAGGATTTCCCCTTTTATTCACACGTTCCTTGGGAATTGCAGGAATACGAGCCCGTATGCGGCACTGACGACAAGACATACTCCAACGAGTGCTTCCTCAGCATCGAAAACTGCCGCTCCCGCAATGTCCAGATGAAGCACTATGGCGCGTGCGGCAGACCCGAGCAGCCGTCCCACAATTATCTCTACTAGCGGCGCTTCCCTTGAATCCGACCCCTCGCCTTTGTTGTACAAATAATGTTTTTTTGGAAGCAATTTGTGTCTCTTCGCTAAGCGCCACGCCTTGGGAGATTTTGTGTAATCTACCACCTTTATACGATCAATGTACACTAGTGCTAAGTTATTTATTTAATTATTAACTATTTAAATAAACAGTGTTTTAAGAGGATGCCCCAAAGTATCGTTGTATTTATTGACGATTTTCTACATGAAAACAGCTGAAAAAATCGATCCTGAAAGTGATATTTTATGAAATTACGGTTTCTTATTCCCTCGCGACTATTTTGGGATGTCTCGAAGTAAGTAAACATTTTTTAACAAGAATTTATTCACTGTCTAAAGTTTTATGGCTGTTGTAGCGACAGATAAAATTGCGAATTGAATTTTATAGCAGAGAAACTCTTCAATTGTCCAGTTGTTGAAGAATAAATTCTGCTAGAAGGCGCTGTCGGCGGTGGCATTTTTGACCCGGCGGTAATTGTTCCTCGCACTCGTAACCACCCGCTAAGTTCTGCAAGAAAAACGCTGTGATCGATAGAAAATGAGCATTTCCGTGTGCTTTATAGTAATATAGTTGCTGTGAATGAAATCTTATCCTGAATGTCTTCCAGATTGGATGAGAGTGTTCAAAAGGGCAACTGCTGACACGTGTGGTTACGGGTGGTTGCGAGCAGTCTGCCGGGCGAGTGTCGCTGGGCGACTTGTCAGTCGAGTTTGAAGTGTCATGTGAGCTGCATCGCAGAAGAGAATTGTAACTTTGTGTGCGGAAAAAATGATGATTTTGTGCTCCCAGCGGCCCATGGCGTGCGTGAGCTGGTAGTGCGGTGTACGGGAAACAGTGGCGAGTGGATCAGTGTGGCGGTGGACAGTGTCCAGGTGGTGTGGGAGTGAGATTCTCAGAGTGGTCTGATCCCGTCTCGGTGGCTGTTGTCGCCCCAGAGCAAGATGGCGGCCAGTCGGACCCGCATGCAGCAGAAGAACATTTCGTCGATTCTGTCGAAGCTGCACGGCGCCTTCTCCGAGGCGTGCGGCCCGCAGAAGCTGTCCACGGACAAGAAGACGCTGGACAAGACGTGGAAGCTCATGGACAAGGTGGTAAAGCTGTGCCAGCAGTCAAAGATGAACCTGAAGAACAGTCCGCCCTTCATCCTCGACATCCTGCCGGATACGTATCAGCGTCTCCGGCTCATCTACTCCAAGTACGAGGACCAGATGCACGTCCTCCACTCCAATGAGCACTTCAACGTCTTCATCAACAACCTGATGAGGAAGTGCAAGCAGGCTATCAAGTTGTTTAAGGAGGGCAAGGAGAAGATGTTCGACGAGAACTCCCACTACAGACGGAACCTCACCAAGCTCAGCCTCGTCTTCTCTCACATGCTGAGCGAGCTGAAAGCCATCTTCCCCAGCGGTCTGTTCGCCGGCGACCAGTTCCGGATCACCAAAGCGGACGCCGCGGACTTCTGGAAGAGCAACTTCGGAAACAGGTGAGTCTCCAATGCGTCCGGTACCGTTAACATCGGCTCGCCACCTTCCGAGGCACAGCTCAGTGGCACTCTTTCCACTGTAGAGTTGAGTTCTTGCCAAATTCCCGAGGACGCGACGCAGTTTCTTATCACTTCTAATCAGACATCAACTCTGAGTGCTTTTCATTTGCTATGGGCGAGTCGTAAAAGATTGAGCATCATAAAACACATTGATTTCCTATGTTTTGGGATCCTTTTCTTGCGCCTAATTCTCCCGTGTTGTCCATTAGAGGTATTTTTATGACCACGATAAGTGTCGAATGTTCTCTGTTCAGTCAATTCACTCAATTTTCAATGGGGAGAGAATTCAGTCACGTATTTGTCACATATTTTATTCGACGAGTTCTGCTTGGAAGGCGAGAAAGAGTCGCCATAAGGCTTTGCCCTACGCTGTGTTCTTTTCTTATTTATTATTATTCTCTTGCTATCGCGATTCTCTCTATCGGCAATGAATGAGAGGCCAGTGATCTCCCTCACTTAATTATCCACATGTCCATCGACTTGTCTTGCACTTCCAACGTCGGCTGCCCTCCCTCGGGGGGCAGCGAGAGAGAGAGAGACTGTCGATAGTGAATGAGGCGAGTTCTTTTCTTAAGCAACAACAGAGAGATTAGTTGCAGAAATTGTTGGAAATATTGGTCTATTAATAGGATACACAAATAGTCTGGGTAGAATTTGTTTGGTGTGAATGAAAGTGATTTTTGTTCACCTTTTTTCCACCCACTGATTGGCGCCTCTTGGGTATAAATACAGTTTTTTGCGTGGCTCTTTTAATGGCTCTCCACCTTTCTTTTTTCCACCGTACGTCCGGGAAAATTAAAAGGATACGTAATTTAATGGGAAGTCGGGGGAGGGGAGAGGAAATTTATGTCAGTGTTCGGGATTTATCGAGATGGTAACTCTGGTATTTAATTGCTCAAGTGCGGAACAGTGGCGTCTAAGTGTGTCAATATAATTTCACAATGAAATTCACAAACTTTGTTTCGTGATCGGCATATCTTCTTCGTATTTTTTCGCCTTATGCAAGCAGGAATACGCAATTTAGATTACAATTTGCCAATTCCACCCCGAGCAAAAAGTAATTCTACGCCACTGCGGGAAGGGTCTGTAAGAGGGTCGCTGAGGCTCTTAAAAAGCACCGTGTGTAAATTGAGATGGTGTCGGATGGAAAACAAATAGAGAAAATTACAGTCTTGATTGATTTGATGGGAAATAAAAGTTCAATGAAACATTTAATCCGTTACTTAAACTGAGTTTTCTCGATATTGCTAGGGTTTAAATTGAAATAATTGCGATTTATTGAGTGATGTTTGTATGACTTGACGAAATAGATTGGCTTCACACCATGCTCACATTTTGCACGGCAAAAGGTAGTGAATAAAGTGCCGCGGAGAGAGAGAGAAGTAACGGATGGGGAAGGAGAAAAAAAAACACAGTTCTCCGCATCACTAGCTTAGTCTGCATTGTGTCGTTGTGACTAAAATTTAATTATTCACGTGAACAATTGTTTTGAAGTAAAATATATTTGTGGATTCTGCAGTGCATTTTGCATTGTTTTTTTCTAGTTCGGGGCTTATGGGAAAAGGGTGACTGTGAAAATGAATTTCTTTCTGGGCGGTTCTTTGTCGGGTCGTGACAATGGATATTCATTATAAAAATGGTATTTATTTTTAGTACATGATAAGAAAATTAATATGAAATGAGAGAGGCGTTTATTATGGGGAAATTTCTGCGAGAAATGATAATGCTGAGCAGTATAATTAATTTGCTAAGCTCGGCACCTTCTCTTATATACATGTATTTTCATTCTATTGCCAATGAAAATGGATTCATTTGACGCTGGGTTCTAGAAAAAGCTTCTCTCTCTCTCTCTATGGAGATTACCAATAAAGCCTCCTTGAACTCTCCCACTTGCAGAACCTAATATAATCTCAAGCTGATTGTTCTATTATTATCTCCCACATAAAGTTCTATTGCAAATTAGAGTATTTCTACAGTAAAATGTCATGATTATTTCTTCTACAGAGATGACAAATTATTTCAGTAGCAAATTGCTGTTTACCCATGTACATAGCAATGCAAGAGTGATGGTTATTCTCACAAATTTCCTCAGCAATCTTGCTCATTTTCTAGTGGCAATGTTGTTTTGTTCACATCGCGTTTATCATAAAATATTCATCATGTTTTTCATACACTCTTTTATTATAATTCCAAGAGGAGTTATTCTTGTATTCATGTGTATTTTTTCCTTCGGTAAATACCATTTGAGATAATTCATAAATTGTATAAGCCTGTGAAGAGAAAAATATGCTGAATGATTTCAAGGTATGCCATATCAAATAATGTATTTCCTTCTTAGTCATTGCATTTTTCTCAGATGGTGTATAAATGTATGTCTTTTTCCCTATGCATTTCTTCTCGTTCAACCTCAACGCGGAGAACAGTGAGGTTGGCTTGAGAATAGAATTACATGATGCAATTGAGAGGAAAGGTTTTGTATTCACACAGCGATTGTTTTATCTGCTGAGATGAAGAAAAGGAGAAAAAATGCTCTTAAATTCAACCAATTTCTCAGAAAAGACGCCAAAGAAATGGCAAGAAAGTGAAAATCGATAGATATGGGTTGAGGAGCTTTTTGTTTGATGGTTGAAAATGCGATGTAGGGTGGAAAATCAACACTTATAGCATATCATAGTATTGTATAGATGCGTAGAGACTGGAAATCCGTGCTGATGCCGTTGGTGGGGGAGGAAAAACAATTTGGGAGGATTTGAAGGGGGATAACATTGTCGTAATATTATGTTGCATGTTGAAATGCAATTGGGAAATCCTATTGCAAATCTGCCTTTTGCATGCACTTGCTATTTATCATATTCCAAAAGGGGAAAAGTAGTGTTTTGAATTCCACAAGGGGCGGTTTTCACGGATCATTTCTATTCTATGCGCGGGAGTTTTGTGAAAAGTATGCTAAATCCTCAGGAGAATCCCTGAGAAGCATAAGCGATAAAGTTTTAGCATGTTTTTGTGCTATTTTTATTCTCTTCCTCACCTTTTTTTCTCTTGTTCCTTCAGCGAAGCTATTAGTCATTATTTTGGATACCACGATAAAGAAGAATAGAGACTTTGTGTATAAATATAGAATGGTAGATAAAAGGAAAGATTATTGATTGTTTGCTAATTTAAACAGTGGGGAACAGAAATTCCTTTGTAATCTTTTGGATTAAAAAAAAATAGAAGAGAAGAGAAAGCGCAAGGATGTGGAAATTGAGTGGAGTTACAGTGTGTTGTGCAAAAGTGAAGCATTTTCCTAACATTTTGTAAAAGGCATTCTCGAAATATTTCTTCTCGCACCAAACCATAATCTACCTCAACATAAACAAAGGTGACACCTCAATCCGATTAACTTAATATCAAAGAGTGAGAATGGCGGGACAAAACGGAGAGAAATGGTGTTTGCGACTGCAGAAGATCATACAAGCTGATTTTGACTTTTTCCACTTCACGGTAACATGCATTTATTTGGTAAATGATTCAGTAGTTTTGTTTTAATTTGTTCAGCTGGCGAGACGTCTTATCTCATTATTAGATACGTATTTTTTCTTATGTAATTCATTTTTTCCCAAACACGCAACTGTAGAACATCTGAGAGATGGCTATATGATGTTGATCGTCTGTGACTTTTTCACAGTCTTTTGCAAATTGGAAACTTTCAAAGCCTTTTTGTCGCACGTGTTCCTCATTTGGACAATGTAATTAATTTTTCAGTCTGCTGGATTTCTATTTTTCGACGCTGAACGCCTCTTTACTTTTCGCAAAGTTAGTGAAGAGAGAAGAGAGTGGAAAACCCTTTTCCGTCCTAATTATTCTCTCTTTCTGTGTAGGCAGTTGACCTATTTGAATTCAGTGTATTGAATATTAACCCCAATAATATATTCTTCCCTCATATATTGAGGGGTAAAGATAAAGCAATGATAATTCTAGATAATAAATGTTTAGTCCTTCCATATTTTCCAGTCGTTTTTTTTTAAATTGTGCTCATTTTCTGCCCCATCAGGTTCTACGTTTCTGTTTCCTTGAGGTCGCCTTTAGTAAAACTAAGGCAAGATTTATTTTGAGTCACAATAGTCTTATCGGGAGCAATCGATGTATTCAATTTTCTCTCATGGCCGTTCGTTTATTTATGGCAGAGAAAATCGGAAGTTATATACACTTTTACCTCTTTGTTTTCTCAGAGAAAAATCAGGCTAGATTTACTGAAATGCGTCGAGGAGCATGATTACGGTGATGACTGAACAGTGTGTTGTGTCTGCCTGTATAAAAGATGTGCTGTGTATATTTTATTTAGTTTCTGGCATTGTTGATTCCTTCGCCATGGCTTGGAAGATTTTCCCTCGTAACAAAGCGCTAAGGGGGATTTTCTCTGTCGCGCCGGAAGAGAATAAAAGGGCGCGGGGGGGATGGGGAGAAAGAAAATGTGGGTCATACGGAAAAGTTCCACATTTACACTCTTGACTGTTGGCTGCGGAGGGCGGAATAGCTGATGATCACTGGGATGAGTGCGAAAAGCTCATCATCGTGGAAAATGTTTTGTGCTTCTTCTTCCCATTTATCAATGGTTGCGAGGATGTGCTCCACTTCTTGTTGGCAGACACTAAACGCGATATGGGGATGTTGGACGCTTCCTCTAAGTATTGTACATTGGTGGCAGTGTGATAATTCCCTCAGGGTTTGTGCCTCTCTCACTTTTCATCAGCTAATCTTAATGCGAAGGATTCCACTTCTGGTGTATTGAAATGTAACTTAAACTGCGACGCTAAATGGATGAAAGCTCTCTCCTGAAATATACATTCAATTTCTGAAATGGGCGCAACAGAGCGAGAATGAAATAAGAGAAATGGTTCGTCGGGATGATTTGGCGAGTTGAACAGAGGGAAGATTAATGCTTCATTGTTGTCTTTTGGTTTGAGAATGAAATTTTCGGATGAATTGTATCGCCCAAAAGTGGTTCCAGCACAATTTATATGGATTATTCTTGTGCGGGTGAGAGAGTGAGCGAGAGAAGAACGGAGAAAGACACTGTCTTCTGTGTTGTCGGAGGGAAAATAAATAAATGTGAGAGTTTGAAAGTGTGATTCTGTGTAAAAGTTTTATTTTTGTTCAGCTCCTTTGTTGTGTGCGATTCTCTTAAAGCACCTGTCGATGTTTAACTCATTTAATTAAGTTAAATAAGTTTATTGCCTCTGGTTGTATGACACATGCCGCCACCCACGAAATTTTGTCGTGTATGCTTTATATATATTCTCCTATCACTTTTTATTGGCGACAGGAGAGGAAGATGTGTGTTGTTTTTCATTTGAATATTCTGTGAAGGATCTTGTGAGCTTTTTCGCCTAGGCTTGATATTGATTGACTGTGACAGGCAGCTTTGAAGGTGTGGGCCTCATCTGAAATATTTCAAGGCATTATGCTCTTCTTCTTTCAGTCTGTTGCCATTTCAGAGAGAATGGAAAGTGTGTAGAATTTTGCAAAGTCCACACAGGCGCATGGAAAAGTCTGCTTTCCTCAATGAATGTGCACGTGTGAGTGTGCCTTTGGTTGGAGTGCTCTAAATTAGAATTGACGCACTATTCTGGGTGGAGGAGGGGGAGAAGTGAAAAAAGGCACCCAGGAATGAGGTGTAGAGTGAGAGAAGCACGCGCGAGGATGAATGAATGAAATTTGGCGCGGAGGTGGAGAGAAGAGTGAAATGTGTGGAAGCTGACTGGCGCAATTTTAATCACACAATTAGACTACGGAAGTGTTCTTCCGGTCAATGTTGATGATTCAATGGCATGTCGAGAGATGCCGTGATGTTTTTTTTCGGTCAATTATCATCCACCCATTATCACTCCCACGCAAATCTTTCAATTCATCACCGCACGAGTGTGATTGATACTCTTGCCTTTCAGCCCTCATTCAGTCAAGATGTGAAATTTATTGGGTCGGATCTCTCAATTTGTGTCCAAAATATATACAATTAGTATTGATCTTGTCTTTAGTGGTGGATTAGGTGGAATATTAAATGGCAAATTTACAGGAACGATGCTATCCTAGGTGTTTAGTTTAAAAATGTAAATTTTGTAGGAATTGTGATTTCTGAAGAAAAAAAAAACACACACACATTCCCCAAACACCATGACTTGGGTTACCATTGACCGTGACTTTGTGACGGGAATAGAGGCGCCAGGAAGGGTACGCAACATTAATGTTTATCAATGTCATTTATCATTTTTTCCTCTGTGAATGCTTGAATATTTTCTCTTTGGGCAATGGTTGAAAAAGCCTATCTTTAATTATACACCACGCGCTTTTCCGTCTCACGTGGGGGGAATTTGTAATAGAAAAATCTCGCATCCCGATAAAATATGCGACACAGACAGAAGAGGGGGAGTATTTAAATGACTGTGCCCGGGGTTGGACGGAAAATTGTTTCCTAATACTCGTGTCGAAATAGCCAGAGGGGTTGCGAGAGGATTTTTGTCCAATCATGCGAAATTTATGGCCAAATCGGATCTGTGATCAATGGGAGAAGAGGTACATATAAATGAATGAGTGAGAAATAGCATTTTCCCTCCGTCTATGTGGACTGTTGTTGAGGCGCAGAAGGAATCTTTGGGTGGTGGCGGTATTATTTACTGGGCATGTAGCAGAAATTGTATGAATGGATGATAATGTGAGACGACCGGAAATAAATAGGGCGAGACCATTTTTTTCTCCTCCAGTGTCATTCATTGGATCAAACAGCTTCCACGGAAAAGCCAGTACAGAAGCTATTTTGTATGTGTGTCGAAAATACTGTAGTTCTTCTTCCACCCAGGGCACAATATAATTTTCTGGCGTATTGTTATTTATTACATTTGCGTCACATTCATAAATTTCTGTGCTGGCGAAATGATACATAAAACACACTGAGTGGCAAGCTTTCAGGGTTTTTTTTCAGTGTGTTCATGCCATCAGCAAATGGTATATGTGGTGAGGTTTTCATTGTGAAATTATTAAAACTTTTCTCTATGGACGAAAAGGTCAGTTGCAATTTGTGTGTCGGCAGAGGATGCAAAAAAGTGCACGTGATGTGGCGAATTATCACGTTGCAGATTTTCCACGATAGTGCTGAACTGCACGCAAAATATGGAAAAGTTTTCCAACTGTGCGGAATTACAAGGTTTCTAGATTTCCATCATCTCATTGACACATTTTCACAAACGAGGATTTCGCATGAGCTTGTGAAAATGGGGAATTTTCATGATTGTGGTTTTTGTTCTACTTAACCATGTGTTAATTGATTTGTTATTGCAGCGAATAAAGATGCTTAAAGTGGTATGAACTAACCTACATTGAGAGATGGAATTTCCTACTTTAGATTCTCTGTGCAATTAATAGGAAAAGTCAGTGCAGCAAAATTGACTAAACTCTGATGGATCTTTGGTCAGAGTTTTTGAGCATTCTGAATCCCAGTATCACAAGAGCTGAATTGAATGAAAGCTTATCAACATTATGCTGTTGCTTATTTGTGATCTCTGAACACGTTGCTTTCTAGCTGTGAGAAAGCAATTAGGAGATTGTCTTTGACTGAGAAGCCATACATATGAAAGGGTCGGTTGAGCAATTTGGGAAAACACTTCTTGTGGTGAAAATGGGAGAAGAAGAAAGTTTGAGTGGAAAATTTTCCGAGCAAGAGAAAAGTCTTTATTGAACTAATGAGGGTGATGATACAAGTGGCGAAAGTTGTTTTCATTCTCCTTGTTTTTCTTACATCCTTTCGTTCCCCCTCTGAATTCGCCACCATTGCGAAAATGTTGCTCCAGATGATTTTAAGTGTATATATTGAGTGCTGAGTGAGAAGGTATTATGTATCTTATGTGTTTCGTTATTATTATTTACTGCTCGAATTCACACAAATCCTCACCCTCACGAGTCGATGGGGGTTCAACTTTTGTAGTCTTGTCGAATTGTGTGCTGGTGGCATTTTAGAGACGGTCCTTTGACGAGGTGGAGCACCCGCGGAGAAAGTGAGAAGCATTCTACGGGGGTTTTCGCAGTTTTCATCTGAGCGAGACACAAACGATGGTGAAAAGACGTGATGATGGAGGGTTGAATGTGTGTGGAGAGATATTGTGTATAATAGGGAGTGGCGGAATCGCAGCTCCAAAGGGATACACGATGGGTTGAAATTTAATTCAGACACTTTCAGCAGTGAATTGGATTTATTCTCAATACATAGTGTGGTGATGTTGATCTTTCTTGTCAAAGTTTTCAATGTGGAGGGTTGACAAAGATTGGAGCTGCCAATGCTTGAGACATTTTGCCAAGGTTTTGGCCTAGAAGAGACCCTCATGAAGACAGACGAATCTGTTTACTATGGTTGATTAACTTAAGCTGATAAATAAGTTTTCGAGAGCCTGTGCTTGTGCGTACCATCGACAATCACTTGAGCCCATTTCCTATGTCATTGAAATTTTGTATACCTTGATGACATATTTTGCGACAAGGGTTCGCAATGAGTTTCTGTACGCTGTGTTACTCAAGTTAGTTGAGAGGGAAATTGAATTTAATCAATGACACACCCACGCTTTACTCCTCCCAAAGAGTTACTCAGTATATTCTCATAAAGACGAGTCTACGCGTTTTTCTGTACTACACATTTTCCAATAAACTTTCTTCCCGTCCCTCTTTAAACGCCACCAACACAGTACAGCTCAGGGACACTTTCAATTGAGAAATAAAGTTTTATGCCTTCACTGGCTTTGCTGCAAGTTAATGAAAGTGCTTGTGATTTAAATGTGTGCCACGAGAAAGGAATGAAAAAGGGAAATTTATTCAAAAGAATGTGTTATTGTCAATGATAGGGGAAAACTTCAACTATGAATAGTTAATTGATTGAAGAATTGATTTGTCTTGTTCTCTCTCCATCGCACTCTTTCAGAACCCATTTATCACTGGTGTGGCTGTGTTGTTTTCACAAAAATGACATGAGAAAGAATCTCTCAATAAATCCGAAAATGCTAATGCAAAATTAATAGCTCAATCATGGGATTATAATGGGTTTTTGCCTACAGTATAATGTGCTTTCGATGATATCGGGATTTATGAGATGTTGGAAAGAGTTTTCCACAGAAGGCAATTAGTGAAAATTGATTTTACAATGAAATTTTTCCTCCTTCTTTGCAGTACTCTAGTCCCATGGAAAGTGTTTCGGCAGGAACTCTCCAAAATTCATCCGATTTCTTCAGGCCTAGAGGCAATGGCACTTAAAACAACGATAGATCTAACGTGCAATGACTACATATCGAATTTCGAGTTTGATGTTTTCACGAGGTAAGTAATTTAAGATAAATTCAAGTTCTCAAGTTCTTCTTGCTTTGCCACGCATCATGGGAAAAAGGAGCAATTTGATAGAAAGATCTCTCAATAAGTATAACTGTGTGAATATGTTAATTGTGGGTAAAAATTGTACGCATATGATCTTTTTTCTCAGCTGCCTCTTTGCATTATAATGTCTTTTTTTTGCTATAGATGGAGTCAAGACCAATTTGCTTCGTTTTACTGTGGATAATTTTATTCAATTTCATACTCATACATCTTATATAAAAACACCCTTTTTATCAGTTCGCTTTTCCGCTAAGAGGAAATGACATTGTATATGAGAGATGAGGCGCAAAAAGGTGGCATTTTGTTAGTCAAGAGAGGTGTTTTTCTGTGTCAATTTTCATAATGGTAATGGAATACATGGAATAAATGTGTCAATTAGCATTTTATTAATGATACAGGTGTGTTTTCGATATCACTTTGTTATTTCATTGAGTAAATATTCCAGTCAATGCGTGGAGAGATGGTTGTTGGGAGAAAAATGTCAATAGAAACTAACCTAATGTATCTGTAAATTGTCTTTCTGTGTCAACAAATCATAAAGTATTCAGTAAATCTTTCTGTTCTGTGGAGGGATAGAAGAGAAGACAAATAAAAGAGGCAATTACCCACGTGTTTCAATCAAAATTGACAAATTCACCCTCTATTGATGGCAAAATAAATGTAATTATTGTAACTCAATTGGCGTCTTGGGGAGACTTTTGATGGTTAACTTTGCAAGACATCAACTGTCCGTGTTCTGATGCGATTGGCAGATTCACAAATTTTCTCTTATCGTCTGTGCCGTGTCGTTTTGGGGTAGAGCTTGTTCCAGCGTACGGCAGAAGTTGTAATTTGTGAATTTCAACCCCTGAGGCAATGACGACAAAAGATCAAAGTTGCTAAATTGCCCCGTGTATTTTGATTTCGAATTAGGTATACAATTTATACATTTTTACAATTTGTCGGCTGAGCGAATAAGAATGTTGCAAGCGATTGAAATCATATGATTTTGGAACAATTTATCTTCACCACGTCAACTAATATGCTTTATATTTTCTCCTTTTTCCAGACTGTTTCAACCGTGGAGTACACTGTTGAGAAATTGGCAAATTTTGGCTGTTACTCATCCCGGCTATGTTGCATTTCTAACATATGACGAGGTGAAGGCACGACTACAAAAGTATATTCACAAAGCGGGAAGTTATGTATTTAGGTGAGTGTCGGCTAGAACACATTCATAAGTGCGTATTTATATGATATTCGTAATTTTTTGCGTGATGCACAGAATAATTGCAGTACATCATTTGAATAGAATGATGCAAAACGTTATTCTCTTTAGGTCGGAAAATTGTTATGCTTGTCGTGTGATAAACTTTAATAGGTGTTTCTATCCAATTTAATGTTCGTAATCGTCATATGATATTCACCTGAACGATACAGTATTTAGAGAGAGAAATGATGTTTTCCTAACGTTGTTGGAAATAATGGAATTTCGCTTGGTATTTCGCCAAGACGTTTTATTATCATGCAGATTCAGTGAAAATCGTCATTAGCGTTGATGATTAGTTTTAGAGTAATCGTCAATTTTTACCACTTCAAAGGTCGGCAAAATCAATTAAGCAAATTTATTTGATTGATAATGAAAATGGAAAATGGCATGCAAATCTTGGATATTCATCGATTTCATTAAACGTTATATTGTTATTGATAAAAGTGAGGATTTATGAGTTTTGTTAATTCACTCTATCTTCGATGAGTTGTGAAACTTCCTTTATCACTGCATCCGTTTTGTCAATGAGTCGTGTGCGGTTTTTTTTGGGTTCCATTTCGTTTGAGCCCATATGGAGATTTTTGTTTTATTGCTTAACATTCTAAAAATCACTTTTGTCAATTAACAATCAGTAAAACGGTCGGGAATGATGTTTTAAAAATTGATAATGCATCCATAATGTTCCACCTACGTGGAGAGAGTCTCATAAACAGTTGATTATTTTCTTTATCGCATCTTATCTCATTCGCTCCTTCGAAATATTTCACTTTCAGAGGGAGAGAGAAATTGATACGCGGCGTTATGTAATTCCTCCGATAAATAACCTTTCATTATGACTCTTTGCTCGTATTTCGAAATGCTCTCTAAAGTGGTTTTTTCTTCATTCACGGTGCGAGCGTTGTGTTTTTTTCTCTCTCGCAATGATACGATTGAGAAGTGGAGGAAGGAAGGAAGACCCACGCGATGTCTCTAGTTGACAACTTCCATTGATTTTGGAATGTGTTTTGTTAAATTTATACTTTAAAGAAAGATGCCACAGTGAAATTACTCACGTACGCATCGGACAAGGCTTATATTGGAGGCGTGGAGTAATAAAGTAGGATGAGGGCTTTATGATAATGAAATGTGCAACACATTGACCGCATTTGGTGGGCAACGTGACATGGAAAACACTCAGTAAAATAATATTTTAATAAGGACAGAAAGTCTCTCTCTATTGTTTTTGATCATATCGATTGATTGATTGATTGATGGCAAAATCGCCGTAAAAAGTCAATGCGAAGATTTCACTTGAAAACTTTTTTTGGGTTTCAATTAATTTATTCAAAATGCCTGTTTTGAATGATGATGATGATGATGATGTGTCTCGATGAAACTTATATGGTACATTATTTTAGGCAAATATTTTATAAGTTTTCTAGCAAAAAAAAGCAAAATGTGAATAGAGGAGAATGTTAAACTCGCGCTCTGATGGAGTTTTGTGGTAATTTTTGCAATGAATTTTATATTGATTTTTCAAGCCAATTTTCCGTGGGGGGCAAAAGTTGAACTTTTAAATGGCAAATTGTGTTTGCTTTTCACATTATAGCTTCAAATAAAAGAGTCGCTATATACAATTGTTGAGCATGATTATGCGTATATGTGTTGGGTTCATTGTGGAGAGAATATTGCCGAGTGGAAAATGTTAATTCTTCCAGTTGGGAAGCAATTTTCACGGTCATCATGGTATGAATAGATGGGAGAATGCGCATGATTATTATGCATTTGATAATGCTGAATACAAATCATATGATTGGGTAATTGGATAATTTTGTATGCCTAATGTAACTAATGACTTTTGCAATGGTAACGATGCTTGGAACAGAGTTTACTGTCATTTTTCGATTTATATTCCTTGTGTATAACATGAAATTAGCTTGAAATTGTTACAAGATAATTAGATTTCCCGTGAAAATCTGCGAAATATCACCCTCGTGAAGAGAGAGCATCATACTGAAAGTCATTAAACGTTGCTAAAGCAATTCTATCAGAAAATTAATTTATATGGCATTTTAGAAATTGGGTGGAAGTACTTTACTTAAGGGAAATTTCTTCCCTCAACGTGACGAGAAAATAATGAAATACACTCGGGAGAATGTATGAAAAATGAGATGAAATCGTATGATTCAGAAATTCTTCTTTCCCTTTCAACTACATATATACTTAAACAACAACGCCTACATTTTTGTAATAAATATTTGAAGGCGATGGCGAAGAAGAATGTGTGTTAACAATAAAGGTTGTCAACTCTCTTCTGCCTGTCTATTCAGGTGATAATAGACAAATATACTGATGTTCTTGCGCCCTTTCTCCATCAGGTTATCGTGTACTCGATTGGGCCAGTGGGCGATAGGTTATGTGACGGCGGAAGGTGAAATTCTTCAAACTATACCTCAGAATAAATCCCTCTGTCAGGCACTTTTGGATGGGCACAGGTGAGCGTCGTGAATAGATGGATTTTTTCTCTTTTCTTCCCTGAAGGAGAGAATGAATGGAATCTTTGTCTTACAGAGAGGGATTCTACTTGTATCCAGATGGACGACTCACAAATCCGGACTTATCCTTCGCTGTGCAGAGTCCAATGGAGGATCATATAACTGTGACACAAGAACAATATGAACTTTATTGTGAAATGGGTAAATATTGTCTTATTCAATTTATCTTTATTTTTAATTTTTCTCCTCCGCAATGCGAAAAAATGAAGAAGGTTATATATATATATATTTTTTTTAAAGAGAGTAGAGAAGGAAAGAAAACCTCGGGTGGTAACCTTCGTGACGAAAATCATTTGTGGTCAGAGTTGAGATAATTTTCTGTGACAATTTTGTGTATAAGAGCTTAGAAATGCTACGTAATTTATCTGGTAAACAGCAAAATCTCATCAACTCTGATGGCCATTCGCAATATGCTGGGAAATATTAAAGAAGGAGAAAATGTAATTCTTTCTCTGTGCGAGTCTCGGAGGATATATTTTCTCAAGAATTATTCATAAATTTTTTTGTCCAAATTTGAGATGAAATAAGATATTTGATTTCCCTTTTCTCTGCCCACACTTCCTTTCGCAGGAAGCACATTTCAACTGTGCAAAATCTGTGCGGAGAATGACAAGGACATTCGCATAGAGCCGTGCGGGCACTTGCTCTGCACGCCGTGCTTGAATGCGTGGCAAGTAGACTCGGAGGGGCAGGTGAGTGTCAAAGATGACCAGAGGTTTGGGTGAAATGGGACATGAAATAATGGGGAATGTTTTAATTTCAACCCCCGCAGGGATGTCCATTCTGTCGGGCGGAAATTAAGGGCACGGAGCAGATTGTTGTGGATGCCTTTGATCCGCGGAAGCAGCACAATAGGAATTCGGCAAATGGGAAGCAACAGAACATCGATGATGACGACACTGAGGTACTTTAGAAAGGCACGATATAATTATGAGAGAGAGAGAGAGAAATTAATAGGGAAAAAGAATCAGTGAAATGTTCTTTCTGTTTGTTTAATCGTAATTTTAATTCTCTTATTTTCTCTTTTTTTTGTCTGTAATTTAAAACTAAAGATGAATGATAACGAAATGTGTTCTCATGTTAGTTTAGTAATCTTCCGTTTTGCGCAATGCAACTTCTGCTATTTAACGGAAAAAGAGAGAGAGATTGTTTTCTGCAGTTTCTTGTATTGCAATTGCCTCACTTGTGAATATTTATTTTAGAACAATCACTGACTTAGAAATTGTTTCTTTATTATTATTACTCTTCTAATGGAATTTGAATGTTTGCTCAAGTGAAAAGTGTGGCAAAAGTATAGCACGATTTGTTGTATTCAATAATGCATTTTCTCTTTTAATTTAATAATTGTTTTGCAATATTATTTCACACCCGTAATTGATTGAATCACCCATAAAACTCACACAGTTACTTTAATGACGGAATTTCTCTTTAACAACAAAAAAGTTAATCCTATATCACACCCACAATTTCAACAACTTGAGAAATGTTGGCATGATTTTCGATGCGTATGTTTACTTCATTGCTGAAATGTTGCACTTTTTCACATATATATATATTTATATGTGTATTTTGTAATATTATATTCGTATTATCACTGAAATGACGATGAATTTGCTTTAAGTTTAAAATTTCACTCTACGTAATTACTTACTGTAAAATGAATCCTAGTCTTAATTGATGAAAAGTGACGAAGAATAAGCAATTCCCAAGTGAGAGGGAGAAAGAGAGAGTAAATTCGATAGTGAAAAGTTGTGAAATTGGTAATTTTGCATTCCCATATAAAGTTGTGAGTCACATCTGAATTAGTAATTGTTGAGACAGTGAGTTTAAAAGAAGTGATCATGCAATATAACACGCAATGGTCTTCATTTGAGTGATTTTCAGTTTGTAAATTATTCCCCATTTGAACTGAAGTGCGCATGATGCTTGTAATTTCAGCAATTATATGGAATTCATGGACTTTTTTCTCCATTATGTTATGTTCTTGCTAGAGTTCTCACCTGATTCACACGAAATTATTTTATTGAGCTTGCTTTATTGATGAACTCTTGATGGTCATAAGGCGAAACGAGGTGCGGATTAGAGGGAAAAGGCTATGAATTGGTGATTTTGTGGCATCTTCTGAACTAAACATAGGTAATCTAGTATGAGAAGGTTGACTATTGATATTTAGATTTATTCAAATAGCCTCTTTTGGGCTAATTAACGCTGATTTACAGATCTAATTGGGAAGATATATAGATCATGGGCATTTTATTGCTTTATGATTGTGTGTCCATAAATTTATAGTCAAGAAATTGTGTTTAGAATATAAATTTGCTATTTTTTATGATGAAACATAGATTTTTTGTGGGGTAATCAATGTTGAAAAATCGAAGAAATCTCGCAAACACCCACCTTCTCATTAACTTAACAACATCGAATGCTTATCAATGTTCTCTCTGTTTTATGGCAAACACATAACATTTCAATTTAGGGTCGTAAATTTAGTTGTGCAGCCATAATCAGAATTCACTTGACACTTCAGGGCTAACTTTTAGCAATTTCTCTTTCGCATTCTATTTATGAGTTTCTATCACTTTGAAGTCAAAGTTTTATGAAATAGTTTCGTGGATGCAATTTTCAGGTGAATTGAGAAACTTTCATTGGGTTTTTCTCCATCCTTGGCGTGTTGGTGTTTTTCTTTGATGGACAAATTGAGTGTTTCCTTATATTTATTTTATTTAATTCTCTCATGAGAAAGAGGTATTTCTGAATAAGTGTAATGATTATAATAATAGAGATGTATGAAACTTTTGTGATTTATTTTATGACATTTTATAGAGTAATCCTGAGTAATGAATTCTTTAGTCTATAATAGCATTAGAATGATATTCTTCACTGTAATGCCTCTGTAATTCCACTCTTTTTATTATTAGATTTGTAGGAAAGGAGAAATGATAGATTAGTTATGAAAGTGATTGCTAATTGTGGACGATTTACTCTGTGCCTCCCATCTTTGAAATTTGTCTTGTATAGTCGATTTGGGAGGATTAGCGTAAGGTGGAAACAAATAAATACGTATAGCATTAGGTTCTAAATGAAATTAAATATAATTTATTGTGTAGGCGATTGTTGAAAATGAGATGCATATATACGGAAAGAAGGCAGAAATATAATGTGAAGAAATAAATCATCTTTCCCATGGTTGGATACTTCATCGGGGCTGTCTGTGTGTGGAGTGGAAATTGGGAGATTTATGGGGCAGAGTCTCGTGCAGGAATTAACGTTTTTTTCGCCTTTGCTGTTTTGTTCTGGGACGACCGTCAAGATGGGGAGGAAGAGTTGGGGAAAAATTTGGTGCTTCTCTGTGTTTTGTACTATCGTTCTATATAATACAATATATCTTGTGTGTTTGTGAAGCATGAAAATTTGTGCTTTTCTGTGTATTCTCTGCACTCTCTGTATCCTTGCTGTTCATGGTTGAATTGTTGATCGTCTGTAGGCGAGTGATTTTCTTGGTCTCTCTTGCAGGATTTGGGGGACTTTAACATCGCCACGTCGTCACTGCATGCACTCAGCAATAGTTTGTCGCGCACAGAGAAGCAGAGTCCGCACTCGTCGCCGCGGATGCCGCGGAAGAGCACAACCTCCTCCTCGTCGTCGTGCTCCTCGGCCTCTTCGGCCACCAGCACGCAGCATCACTTTGATCTGTATGCGGGGCAACCGAGTCACTCAGGTGTGAACGGCAGTCCGGGCGTGAATGGCGTGGCGTGCACCAGCAAGTCTAGTCGCAGTGGGAGTAGTGGATCACTGCAAGCGCACAATCCCAATAGGATGAGCGCTCCGACGATCTCCAGCGCCGCCATGGCGCCGGTCGGCAAGATCCTGCACAAAGCACTGTCCTCAGATCCGAGTGCGGCACTAGTGGAGGCTGCGCCGCCACTGCCGCCCCGAAAATCCTCCCCGGGCATTGATCAGGTGTCCACGAGAAAGTCCCCGGCGGCATCTAGTCTCATCCAGTTGTCGCCTGACACGCCGACGGCCAGCACTTCGGCCGCTGCGGAGACCATCACGAGCTGCTGTGATCTGGAAGTGCCGCGAACGTGTGCCCCGCCAGTTCCCAGGCACCAAGCCAATCCCGTGGACACGCTGGCGGAAGACCTGACGATGCACGTGACGGTGCAAAAGGAGGAGGATGTTCCCGAGGATGAGGGTGTAATTGTGGGTCCGGCAGAAACCATCTCAGGTATCATTGACACTCGTCCGCTGGAGGCCAGAAAGCCCATCTCCGTGCCGCCGGATCGGGGGAACAACCTCTATCAGCTGAAGACGACACAAAATCACACGCGACATCAGTCCCTGCCTATGAACACGACCACGAAGAGTCCCACGCCAGCCAAGTCCGTCACGATGGCTCAGCTGTGTCAGCCCAGGACCGCCGTGACGACGACAGCGGCCGGCGGCGCGGAGTCTCAGCGCCAGGCGATCCTCTATGAAAATGTGACAATCAGCAAAGACTGCAATGTGCCATATGAGAACATCAACCTCGAGTATATTGCGCGATTGGTGAACGAGGGCTACTCCAAAGAGAACGCAATAACCGCCCTGGGCATCTCGCGGAACAACATCGAGATGGCATGCGACATCCTCCATGAGTTTGTGGCCAAGAGCGGTGTGTGAAGCTCTTGTGTGGGGCATAAGGCAGCTGTCGCGTGAGCTCTTCTCACGGCAAACAATATAAAAGGTATTCACTTGAGACTTACGAGGCAGGAGAGGATTTGCGCTATACAGGAATTATATACTCACTTTCATAACTCTACTTCAAAGAAAAATGTGGACCGATGGCAGGATGCAACAAAGCAATAGACGATATACTTAAAGACTTTTCGATGACATTTAGTGGGAGATATTCCTCTATGTAAGGATTTGCTTATTTCTGATGATTTCCAAGGAGGCCGAGAGGAATGCATCAGAAGTTGTGACTCATGGATACAAAGGACAGACTCATTTCTGGCATTGAAATAGCAAAATGATATCTGAAGAGGTTTATTTTGAATACAAATTAAAGGCAAAATTCTAGACAATATTAGTCGGTTGAGAAAAACACTCTATTCTTCTCTTAACACATGAAAAATCGAATGTCTCGTCCCTTGAGATGCTTCGCCCACTCGTGTCTATTCCAAGCAAGGACAGACACTGAAAATGTGAGTAAAAAGTCTCAAGCCTGCGAAATTTCCTTGCGTGTTGATCTTAAAACCAACAATGCAGCAAATTAACCAGCATTTTGGCTAATTCAGCCCCACTTAGTCATGGAAAAGGGCACAATCCAATCAGTTATCAGAATTGAGAAGGAAATTGCTTTTTCTCCCCTCAAAAACCTCATGTCTGATCATGAGATTTAACTGGACTCTGAGTATTAAACATGAATCTATTGGAAGTTCCTCTTCATGAAATGAATATTAAGCACCAGAAAGTTTCATGGATGAACTACACTGGGAGAATCCATGAGTCTTCCGTTGCCTGATGAATTCCTCTTCCTCGAACCAAAGTATCCTCTTGGGTGAATTCTGCAAGCACTCTTCTCTCGCATGTTTGCGCTGGAGACTCGATGAATGTGTGCGACAAGAGGGGCAAAAGTACATATCACAACATAATATTTGCACGTAAAAATTCTCTGTTTTATTGCCGAATTGCTGAACAATGAAGATGATAGTCTGACGAAGGGATACGCAAAGTCAGGGAAATACGTAACAAGAGATACTGAAGGAGTGTGTTGAATATAGAATGCAAACAATATTTAATGATATTGCGAAGGAGTGAAGTCAAACTTGGTGATTAATTTAGGCTGAATGGAAGTTTTACACAACACAAAACTCACTTCTCACCCACTCAACTTTCGACCGTAGAGACAACACATTTGTGGCTCCGAAAAAGTTCATGGGAAAGTTGCAACTCTGCCCTCGAGGGTGGGAAATTGGGTGTGTTGGGAGGAAAATGCGATGATGATACGCAGAAACTTGGAGTTTTTTGATAGTCAAAGTGGATTCTTTCTTCTTTTCTATAATCACTCTAATGATAAATATTTAGGAGGTATAAAATGAATGGGCGGAGTGGATAAAATTGTATATTTTTTTACGCAGAAAATAAAACAACAAATCACGCAACTTTTCATTTTGCCCATCATCGACCGCGCGTTGATGATGGTGATTTTGTCAAGGTGAAATTAAGAGAAAAAAAACGGCAAGAAGGGAAAGTTCGCATGGGAGACTATATATTGAATAGCCAAGGTATATAGAGAATGCAGAGGAGCAATTGAGAACAAAAGAGAAATTATATTTATACTCTTATATAGGATTTTTCACAATATAATGTTAAAATTCATTTTCAGAGTTTTGATGTTCATTTACACTGGAAGTTTGGGGAGGAAAAAAAGGAACTAGAGATATGAGGCATAGATGCAAAGATTTCTTTTCATTCTTAGATAGATTTCTAATTTATCTCGTCTGTATATTTTGCAATTTAGTCGTTTGTACATTTTTCCCCGCGGGGAGCGCGAGATAAATCAATTTGTATAATTTATTGCGATGCAACAGATGGGGAGAGAATAGCAGTAATCAAGTCCTTAAGATTATAATTCACAGAAATAATTATTGAAATTGTCCTAAGAATCTTATTAGATATTTCAATCAGGAAGTTCATTAGACATTAAGTGAGCGAAGAGAAGGACGAAAAGAGAGAGAGAGAGAGACAGAGAGAATGATGTATAATATTAATGAAGCTTAATAAATTATTAGATGGGAAATGAGTGTGATTTTACTCCCATTTCGCGCTTTATTTCGCCATCAGAAAGGCTGTTTCGGGCAGATGCGCACCAGTGGAATGAGGAATTCACGGAATTCTCCACTTCAATTTGCGTCGCGGTTCACCTTTTAAGGATTTTCTGCAACAAGACTTATTTATTGATATGCTTTTTGCACAAAAGGCAAGACTTTCCAGGTAACACAATTGTTGTTGTTTTTTTCGTCCTCTGCAAAGAAAGCTAATTTCCCGGAGCAAGAAATATCCTCTACCATTTCTCAGTCTTCCCCTTTTACTGTAAATTGCGAGCGCGAGTGTGATTAATCTCTCTGGGTAGCAAATTTCACGGAATATTTCACTGTCAGCGGCACTCACCAGGAGCACCTGCCCGTCCCCTCGCGCGCGCTCGGTCGCCTGGAGACGGCGCTAAACAACAGAAGGACAGCCAGAGTAAATGGCCGAGCTGCACATAATCGGGCAGATTTTGGACGCCAGGGATTTCGAGGAGGAGAATCTCCTCTGCAAGTGGAGCTTCCAGACAGGATCGACGTGGAAGGTGATCGAGGGCGTGGCGGAGGGACAAACGGCCACGGACGCGAATCGTGTGGAAAAGTGCTCAATCTTCTCGCATCCTCTGGACCTCCACTTGTCCACGCGCGCCCTGCAGGGCTGGCCGAAGTTGCACGTGGAGATTTGGACGTCGAACGCCCTGAAGCAGTGCTGGCCAGTGGGCTTCGGCGTTGTGCACGTGCCCTCGCGTCCAGGCGTGCATCGCCTCACTGTGCCCACGTGGAGGATCGCTCCAGGCAACGTGTGGGACGCCGTGAGGGAGAAATTCCACGGTGGCGGCGTAGCTGTGGCCAGGAAGGAGCTCATCCACTCGGCAGCAGATCGCTACAAGCTCTCCACGACCTCCTCAGCAGGCAGCGTGACTGTTGAGTTGATGCTCATCTTCAAGAACTTCAAGAAGTTTGGAGTGGAGTTCTAAAATGCAGACACTCTTTATTGCCCTCCTGGTTGTCGCGGTGGCGGCAGGAGATCGGGCTCTGGTGAAGATTGGTGTGTCCAGGACGACAATTTCCCCAGTGATCACCACTGAAAGCTCAACTACGACCACAACAACTAGTTCCACCACTTCCACCACACCTTTAAACACTTTGCCCGCAAATGTCACGGAACAGACAACTTCCAGTTCCTCCACGACCACTTCAGCTCCTCCTGGAAACTCCACAGGTACCACGGAGATCCCAGAAGCCAAGAATCAGACAACAAACGCCACTGAAATCGTAAAGATCCCGAGAAGATTGCGACTGCAACAATCAGAAAGTTACTACTGCAAATGTGACTTGAAGGTGAGCTTAAATCATTTCGATAAAAGTATCACAGTTTAGTGCATTTACTAAAAACAGTTCTATTCATTCTCCTCTTTTTTGCGTATATGAAATTAAGCATGAAGAAAATGGGTTTTCCCGTGAAATTTCCTCCCAAAATACGCAATATCATGGAAAAAGCCACTAAAGATTTATATTTCTCCTTATTTAAGAATTTATGAGCCTTTGTACTGCAATTAACAGCGCCTTAATTAAGGAAGAAATGTATTTGCACTCGCTCGTGAGCGACTTTCCTTCCCAAGAATTTCTGTTCGCACGTTAATTGCGGCGAACGAATTCAGGGTGAGGCTGCTGAAACAGGGCTTGAATTAATAAAAGTTGAATTTAAAAGTTCGCAGTGTGGCTTTAAGAGTTCTGGCAGCAAAAAATCTCCTCACTTCCGCGCTAATCAAGAGACTGAATTAGGCCACGCTAATGAGCCTGAAATTGGAGAAGAGCGGAACGGAAAATCACTTCTGCGCCACTTAAATATTCATTGATTTATCCGAAGTCCTGTGACTTCAAGTGTGACTTCCTGCAGTGAAATTTAATATGTTTAAATATCATGAGTAAGTCATAGTCGGAGCTTTTCCAGCAAGAGCATGAAGATAAGATGTGGGATTGAAAATAATTTTCCCTATTGATTTTCCCAGAGTGAAAGCCACAAAATTTGTTCAATGAAGACACTTCGTCACGGATGAGCATAAGCGTAATTTTACTCAATTCATCTTCCTCTCGTCTTTAAGGAAATACTAGCCGACAAGTTTAGTTGCACCACATCTCAAATTTATGGTAAAATATGCTGAGATGAATAGTGCAGCTAAAGAGAGTGTCTCCTTTCTCATATTTTCAACGCAAAGCTTTTAGCAATTCACCTCAAGTGCTCACTTTAAAAAAGTATCAAATAAGCTTTGAGCAAATTCATTGTTTCCATGGCAATATCACTCTAACTCTTTTAAAATCCTCCAGATCAACATTTGCGACATTGATTGCTGCTGCGATATTGACTGCACTGGAGAAATGCTGGCTCAGTTTGATTGCCACGAGCCGTACATTTCCGCCGAAGATTACCACGCTCTGCATGGATTGCCCTCCTGTCGCATCTCCTCGAGTCTCTTCTGTGTGCTCAAGAGCAACTTGCATCGCTACGACTTTGAGGAATTCGACGAGTCGTTGGCAATCCAGAAAATCCACCGCTGGCCAGACGTCTTGGAAGAAGTCTCAGCGGACGCCGAAGGGGAATTGTATCGATTGCACGACGCTTTGGATGAGATAAAAATCCCACTGTCGCTGTCCGGATCAATGTGCCATGTGCAGGAGTCTGTGAAATTCCTACGGAATGCCCACAGCACTTGCTTGCGGCAGAGAGAAGATAATTTCTCCACTGAGTACCTCACGAAGCTTGCAACCATGGAAATTCCTCCCAGACCAAAGATTCCCTGCACCGAAGCATCGAATTCTTGTTTATCAGTTGATATTTTCCGCTGCCCTCGAGGCCACATTCAGAACTGTGAGTCATTTAATGTGACTGAATCTCCAGAGCATTTTCCCTTCGATCTCACTCTCAAATTTACCCATAATTTCACACTTTTGATGAAAATTGAAGCATTCGTAATTGAAAAAACCCTACAAGCAGCTGACAAATTCTATCATCAGCGAATTGAGGTGATTTTCTCAACGGTCAATGAATCCCAAAGTCACACCGTAAGTGGAAATATTGGATATCTGCTCGGGAAGCCCGTAATTTTCACCCACATCAGGAGTGTTAACATCTCTGAAGACAAACAGCAACCCCTAATTGACTACTTTCACCCGAATCGCACGTCAGAAGACGATGACTATCATCTCTACCTTCCGAAAAGTGCTCAAGGAGTCTGTTTTTTGGGAAATTCCTCGCGAGAGAGTGTGAATTTCGGAGAAAATAAGATGATGACCTGTGAAATTCATCTCTCAGACTCTATAAATATCACACAAGAATCAAATTTCACAGAAATTTGCAGGAACTTCCACGAAAAAATCCTTCACCATCTCTTTATGTTTCCCAATACGACAGAACAACTCTCCAGTGAGGAGCTTTTCGTGTCTGAATTTGGAAATCCACGGAATGACACGAGCAACTGGATTCAAGTGGATTTCAGAGGCGTGTCAGACACCTCTATTGAGGGAATTTTTGACTCAACCGATGAAACCATCACTTGCCGCAATATGATAATTAGAGCGAAGCATCTTTATCAGTTTGGACGCTTGGAAGTGGCGGGAAATCGTCATCAAGCACTCATCGAGAGAGCCAGTCTGGATTTTAGTCCCCGAGTTGATCTCCAGTTCAAGATCACCGAGGATTTCCGTGTGCCCATCTTTCATGTCGTCACCTTCATTGATCTCACACATCGTGTGCGGAGTTCTGCAGCTTCCTGGCTAATTTCATGGCCCATCCTACTTATGTGGCTTTCGGGATGGTTATTTAAAACATATTGAAATACTGAAATATTTACTCTTGTACTTAATCTTCTGGCTACTCTGGCAATCCGTACACTACTCCACCAGCTTCATTGTCCTGGCGACACTCATGAAGTCCGTTCGGGAGATGTAGCATCCGCACATTGATCGCTTTCCCGTCAACGATGCCCTGCCGTGAAGAAGTCGCCAATTGTCGAAGATCATCACGGTGCCTGGCGTCAATTTGAACCACCACTCGTTTCGCTTTGACGCCACTTCCAGCGCCATCGTACGAATGTCATCATAGAATTGCTGAATCTTCTCATAAGGCAACGTATTCATCGGCGCCCGATCGTAGAGGTTGAATCTAAAGAGACACAGAGGTCAAGTGTTAATGCCTTGTAAAAAACACCAAACAATTATGATAATAAATGGGGAGCCTAACAGCTGTTTCTTTGGCTGTTTCTGTGTGAGATATCACAGGTCAAATGGCAACACAAACTCACCTGATTTGCTCTACAGCATCGTTGATCTTGTCCTTCTTAATCACTGGCGCTGTGTAGGCGTGATGATACGTCTCGTCGATATACTCAAAGGGAATTTCAGTCGAGCACAGTCTCTCATACACCTCAGGGTGCTTCCTCTTGACATCCCTGGCCACCTTGAAGCCGTCCACAAGGAGCGACTCTCCTCCGTCACCCTCAAATTCCGTGCAGTGCAGAACTTGCAACCCTGCGGGATCGCAGAAGTAAGTGTTGTCCGTGTGCGCGCCCAACGCTTCGTGCGTGTATGCCGTGTCGCTCTCCTTCATCACGCCACTCTGGAATGACCACATCTCGCCGAAGAAGGTCTTGTGGACGGGAAACAGACGCTTGATGGCCAGTTCTGTGCACGAGATATTTGGTGGCACTTTGTCCACAAACGCCACACCGAAACACACCAGGCTTTCGACCACACTCCTGGCAACATCATCGTCACTCATAAAGTCTCCCAGCGACACACGAGCGTAGTCACTCTTCGCAATAGTCGCAGCATCCCAGAGAATTCTGCCTGATTCGCGACTCTTCAGCTCATAAGAGTGTTCCTCGATAAAATCCCAGGTATACTGAGATTCATGGCCATCACTCCCTGCGAAGTGAAGGTAAATAATATTAAATGCACCCACATTCAGTTGAAATCCTGGAAAAGCCACTCTCGCACAGTTATTCGCAGAGAATTTCAATGAGACATTGCGTGCGTGGGCGGGAAAGGGTGGTTTGTAAACTTTTAATTAACTAGCAAACAAACCCAGTATTTGTCTTTTCGCAGTGGGAATACTAATGCTCGTGTGTACTCACATGAAACATCCAGGGATTCATCGCTGAATTGGCAAGATTTCGCTCGCACATCTGGCGCCAAAGTGAGAACACTGAATCTCCGCTGCTTGGTCTCGTGATTGTAGCACTCCAGGCAGCGGCAGTGATCCCTCAACCAGAAGTAGTTGAGCTTGAGATTGCGTGACGGCACGGAGAGACACTCGCTGGACATGACTGGCGAATTGAGACTGCGTTAGCATTGAACGTGAGGAAGACATATTTATATACGCCGCGGAATGATAATCTTTAGCCCCAGTGACCTACATTATCACGCCAGTGGCAAAAATACTCACTCAAGCTGGGAGACTCATTGGGATCCGGCTGAGCTTCCACGACTTCCACTTCTGGTAGATTCACATACATTTTCAGTACTTCAGTCACTCTGTCGTCCACTTTCCGCGTGACTTTCGCTCGCGGCTGTTCTTCAGCACAAGGCAGGATGAAGTAGTGATTCTGTTTGTCACCCTTCGCCGCTTTTGGTGGTGGAGATTCCACAGAGTAACTAGCTTCTAAGATTTTCTCAAGCTCATCAGCCTTCGTCCTCTTTCTGTCCATATTAAGGACTTTCACCGGCGATGAGGACTCCTGTCGCGCCCTCGCCTTCTGCACCGGTGGCAGCACTCTCTGGACCAAGCTCTGCATTGTCTGTTGCACTTCCTCGACCTCTGGCTTGGATTGCACCATCACGGAGGGATCAATCACATTGAAGTTATCCAGCAACTTCAGATTTATCGACGGTACAGCGGTTTTATTTAGACACCGCGACTCTACGTTCTTATAGTCTTGCTTGCGGAAGTGGCGACAGCACACAAAGATCCTCTTTCGTAGCTCATCCACAGAATGCTTCAGCAAATCCGGGATGTCCAATCTGAGGATCCACTCCTCAGCACGCTCCGCGTTCATCGGCAATTTGTGCACCAAATCGAAACGCTCATCTTTGCACACTGGCACCACGCAAGCTCGCTTCTTCTTTTCGTAATGCTGCATGTCTGCATTAGGATATGAAGAGGGAAAACAGTAGAAAATATGATAAACACACGCTCAGGAAATTGTTTACAATTTCCTGAAATGACAACTTCTAACTGCAAGTAGCGCCTCGAGCGACTGTTGCCTGAATCATTTTGCTATAAACCCCAAATCGCGGTTCCACAATTTTCAAATTATCCTTACTTTTTCTTGAAAAATCTATCATTTGAGCCAAAAATCTCCTTGGATTTTTTCAAAAAGTCTCAACTTAAAAAAATGCAATTATTCTGAAAAGGAAATTGATAGTTAAATGACACCATCGTTGAATTCAAACACCAGAGCAGGAGTTGTCAAAATGTTGGTGCTTTCAGTGCTCGCCTGTAAAAATTGTTGTTTGCTCTGAATTTCCCGTGCAAATCCTAGAAATGAAAACTCCCGAGGAGAGAATAATCGAGCGGATCAATCAAGAGATTGGGAGTGACATAAAAAATCTGCACAAATCGCGAAATTTGGTGAAAGAATACGAAAAGCAACTGCAAATCATCCGGTCGACGGTGAAACTTCCACGTTTCACGATTTTCTCGCTATTTACTCACGTTTCCTTATTTTCAGCTCTCCCTGGAGGATGATATTCAGAATTCAGTGATAAAGACCGCCCTCGCAGATGCTGGGAATGCCTCTGAGAGGATAGAGAGTCACATAGCGAAAATCGACTCCTTCGCTGAAGCTCTTGACGAGAAGATTGACTTCCGGACGTCAATCGTCGACGGTGCTGCTGACAATTTGGAGAAGATCAGTGAGCTCACGCATCTTCTTGAGTACTTCAAGATAGTGCGGGATATTCAGGAGATCAGTCATGAGTTGAAATCTTGCGTGGGCGGACGAGATGAGGCGAAGATCGTGGGATTCTACTTGGCCCTGTGCGGCGAGAGAGAGTCTTCAAACAGCATCATTGGACGACTTCAGAATGTTGAGGCGCACCATCTGAAGACCTTCGCCAATCAGACGGCAAACTATTGGCATGACATCCTCCTGGAGAAGTTCTCCAAGGACTTCGAGAGCCTCCTGAAGACGATCCGGTGGCCTTATCTGGGACATGCTTCCGAGGTGCTCAATCCCTCCAAGGATTCCATGAACAAACTTGCCATTCTGGCTGAACATCTGTTCCTGGTAAAGTCATCACACTTCTTGAACTCAATTTGACTGTAATCCATTTGTTGGTCTTTTATTGCAGATTAAGCCTCCTGGAGACCCAAATTCTGAACATGTGGTACTTTCTCCGGGAGTCACTTGTCCCCCAATCAGTCATCCTACGCAACTTCTCATCAAGCCCTTCCGCCAGCGCTTTCAGTTTCACTTCTCGGGAAGCAAGCAAACGAATCGACTGGACAAGCCGGAGTGGTATTTCACGCAGATCATCAACTGGGCAAAAGACAATCACATCTTCGTAGGGGAGAACTTTCAAGTCTCCGCCTCGAGAGCTGGATTGGCGGACTTCAATGTTCGCCTGGAGTTTGTCAGAGGTCTTGTGCAACTCGCGATGGAGAAGCTCTGCGAAGAGATTGAGCTGATAGCTCAAGATGAACACTTATTCGCCCATCTCCTAGACGAAGTGCTGTCTTTTGAGCAAGATCTCAAAGATAGTCTCAAGTGAGTCGAGTAGGAAACCAATGTTGGCTCCAAGGTTAATGAAAATGATCCATTTCAGCTATCCCAACACCTTCCCAAGTGCAATTTCTGTGCTCACTCAGGCACAGTATCTGGTAAAATGGCTGAACATTGAGCGAGGATTTACCACGAATAAGATGGATACAATTATGACTGGTGATTCTCCGTGGGAGTTCATTGAACCATCGAATTTCGAAGAGCTGAAGATTCCCAAGTGTGTCGATCAGTTTTTACACCTGCTTGATGCCATTCGGGAGCGCTACAGAAGTCTGTCTCAGCCAGGACATCAACTGCAATTCCTCCAACTCCAGCTGGAGCTCATAGACAACTTTCGTCGACGTCTCGTGCAGCTCTACAACACTAACATCGGCTTCACAAAGGTCCTGAACGCTGTTAACTACCTCACATCTGTCCTGCGCGAGTGGGGTGAGAATGTTCACTATCTTCACCTCCATGCAGCCCTCGTCGGTCCAGATGCAGAAGAGATTAACTCGGTATTTGAGAAGCCTGTGGATGAGCTCGAACACTGGCAGAGGAAGTTAGTGAAAGAGTTGTCAGGCAGAGTAGTGGACGACATTAAGGCGAAGTCCATGTCCTATCGCCACGATTTGTGGGTCACAATGCCAGAGCAGAACGCCAAGGAGCCTTTTATTCTCAGCATCACAGCCGGCGAGATGTTCCAGATAATGATGCAATGCTTGCACAATCTGGAGACGGATCTCTCGGCGAATGTCTTTGGCATTGTGCTGAGACTCATCGCACACCAGCTGGATGACTTCTTTCTCGACAGCATGATCATGAATACCAAGTTCTCGACGGGCGGAGCGGCTCAATTCCAATTTGACATGACACGCAATCTATTCCCGCTATTCGGGCAATACATCAGAAAGCCAGAACTGCAATTTAAGAGGTAAAACCTGTGATTTCTGCCTCTTGTTATTTTCCAGGTAGATAATTGGATTGCTTTTTGTGTTTATTGCAGCGTTGCTGACTCGTGTATTCTCCTGAATTTGCCCAGAGGTTCTGCTATTCTTCTGCACGAGACTCTGAGAGATTCCAGCGATTTGGAAAGTCACCGAAAGTCACTGAGGGAAGTGAAAGTGGGCAATTTGATGCCGCCAGTTGCACTGGACGTTCTTGAGCGCAGGACAGATATTTGCTTCTGAAGCCTTTTCCTGGTAATTGGGTAAAATATTAGACAATTTTATGGTAACTTAATGCTAATTGTTATTGCCTATTGTTAAAAACCTCACTTTTGGTTAAGAAAATATTAATTTATAGGCTTTTTATCACATTTTCCGGTTCGTTCTTTTGCTTTCGTCTTAGTGGCGATTTCAAAGCTTTCATATCTTCGAGAATCTCATCAAGCGGACGTCCTTTGGTCTCAGGGATCAGAATATACACGAATATCACGAAGAAGAGTGTAAAGACGGCGAATCCCCAAAATGTCACGTACATTCCGAGATTATCGGAAACAACCTGATAGAGCTTAAAAACACCAAAGGCAATGCAACCCGCAAAGGCAGCGTAAGAAGCTGAGGCGATCGCCTTAATATTGGTCGGGAAAAGTTCACTGAGGAGAGCGAAAGGCACTGTGGCCAAGCCAACAGTGTAAAAGATAATGAACAGCATAATAGCTGTGATCGGAAGCCAGGCATGAGCGTCCATATTGACGCCACGGTGGAGCAGGAAGAAGTACAGTCCCACTATAGTGTTGCAAATCGTGGCTCCAGAAGTGGAGATCAGCAGAAGAGGTCTTCTGCCCAGGCGATCGACGATTGATGAGGAAAAGGAAGCTGTCACAAGTTGAATCACAGCCATGATGATCGCCGATTCACTGCCGCCTAATCCGCTGGATACTTGTTCAAAGATCTGCTGTGAATAAGCGATAACAGCTTGACTGCCGCAGAGTTGCTGGGCAGCAGCCATTCCCCAGCAAATAATAACACTCCTCCTGTTGCCGCGAGTGAACAGTTCTCGTACAGTTCCGCGGTTCTCCTTAGCCTTCTTCACAGCGCCGTCCATTCGTTTAAGCTCTTCGGAAACATCCTCGCTCTTCCTGAGCCAGCGGAGGCTCTTCTCTGCTGCTTCATGACGATCTTTCAGCAGAAGGAAGTAAGGAGATTCGGGCAGCCAAATGAATGTCGCAACGAAGAGGACTGGAAGGATCATGAGAATCCACGCCAGGAGGCTAATGGAGACATAGGGTCCTATAGCGTAAGCGTAGAGGATGCCAAATTTCGCCATTACTGTTAACAGAGTGCCAATGGATCCTCTGATCTTGTCTGAAGAGATCTCTCCCAAGTACATGGGCATCGCAGCATAAGCCATTCCATAAGTGGTGCCACAGAAAAGTCTAGAAGCATACAAGACTTCAGGAGAATTTGCCACGAGGACGAGGATGATTCCAATGATCACTGGAAAAGTGGCTGATAATAGAGTGATCTTCCGCCCTATTCTGCAAGAAATCTAGTATCAGAACATGTTGTCATTGAGAGTAAAATACGGAATTACGCACCTGTCCACTATGAGGAACGAGATAATGGGTCCAATCACTCCTCCTATCGATAAGAATGCTACAATCCACGAACTCTGGTCTGCTGTTGTTGGAATTGGCGAATCTTCAGCAGTGAGTTTCGGCAGAGTCGGTGAAGTCCAGCCATAGACAGCGGCTGCGGTGACCATAATCAACGTGCCTGAAAGTGATTTACAGGTAGTAAAACTCCCACGGTTTATCAATGAATGGCACTTCAGATTAGGTATTTAGTCAATTAACCACTTATTGAGAGATAATTTGCAATGAACAACACACAATAAATATCTACTTTGAACTTATAGTCCTTTGGGAACTTGAAGGATTTACAGTGTAAACTAGTACACTTTAGTCTTATTAGATTAATTTATCTACTTACCGGAAAACGCTGCTGTATATTGTCTGAGAAATGCTCCTTTGCCTCCATCCATTTTTATGCTTATTCTGAATGATGTTTTCACCACGAAATAACTCAAGACACTGACTGGTGAATTCGGATCAACGATATTATATACACTTGCTTATCTCACATTGCTCGAAACACATCCTCTATCAAATAAGATTGACAATACCTGAGATATTGAAGCACGGGTTGGTCGAAAAACCACTTCATATTCTGATATGAAATGATCTTACAAAAAATGATGGTATTTTCAAATATGATTCCAATTGCAGCACTGATGAATCAAGTAAGAAGAGTAAGACATTAATAATTTTTTGCATCATTTTTATTGTCACGCAAAACTAGCAAAGTTGGCCTTGTGAGGAAATCCCATTAAACTGCAAAAATGAAAATGCAAATACATCGTAATAAATAAAATAAGGAAAAGGTTTATTTACCTCGTGCAAGCGAGTGCTTGTCGTCAACATTTTAATAAATTTAAGCTACTATAAAGAGAAAAAATCTTATATTTGGTTTTTTCTTTCATTATGTACTGTCAACATAAGTTATTTCAGGCTCAGTTATACTACTACTTCAACTAGAATAATCTGAAATCTGGATTATCTGGTTTAATTATTTCCCCTTGTGTTTTTTCAGCTTATCAATAGACTTCCATTCACAAATCGCTATGATGTCACAATGTTTATATTTCTGTTATCTGTAGTAATTTATGATCACTTTCGCTTATCAAATTAAAATTCCAGATTACCTATCAAAGCTTTCATTGCATTATTAAAAGATCTTGCTTTTCAACAATCTACCAGGCTTAAATTAAAACTCATGGTTTCGCTCTTTACTAAACAAATGCGAAGTGATAATCGACATTGTTTATCAACAGATTTTGATCTTCGCCAAAAGACATGTCTAATTGCTCTCTATTAGGATCCTTATTAGGGCAATGCTGATCAAAAGCCGAGAGAAAATCAAATTCTAGTTCAATGCCTCGATTTGAATGCGCCGTTTGGAAAGCTCTGTAGGACGCTCCCCGTGAACATCGTATGACGATTTCGCGACACGAAGGCACCTGGGTTACGGGGTGCGCATCGACAAGCTGTCAGTGTCAATCATTTGTGAGACGGAGAGTGCATTGTCGGTGGACGAGTTGAGAATTTGGAGAGTCTGGAAGCGCGTGCGAGTGATTTTCCATCTTAACACTGTCACACCCGGTCATCCCAGGTTTCCTCATAAGCTCCTAAATGGCGGATTCCGATACTCCGATTCTGTCGTCGAGCGTATCCGGCGATGGCGTTGCTGCGACACAGCAAGCGCCACCTGTGCAACCGGCTACCAAGCAGGCCAAGGAAGTTGTCGGTAAGGAAAGTACATGGCGGTCTGTTCACTTACCTGATACGTTTGTTTTTCAGCCCTAAAGGTCACAGGCCTGGTGAAGTGGTTCAATGTGAAGAGCGGCTACGGTTTCATCAACCGGAATGACACCAAAGAGGACGTGTTTGTGCATCAAAGCGCTATCATTCGCAACAACCCGAAGAAGGCTGTGCGCAGTGTGGGCGACGGGGAGCTCGTAGAGTTCGACGTTGTGGTAGGAGATAAAGGCAACGAGGCGGCAAACGTGACGGGGCCCGATGGAGAGCCTGTGCGCGGAAGTCCTTATGCTGCTGATAAGCGTCGCCCTTATCGTCTCTGGTATGTCTTCTAACACTCATTTACTCATCACATATGTGGGCAATATTGAAATTTTATTGCACCAAATACCGTCGGAAATAGTGCCCAAAAAATTGGATGACGAAAATAGAGCTCTCCGCCCAGGGGCTCACCGGAAGGCAATTGTGCATGGAGTCGATGAGATTCCAATAGGTTATGTTTCAATGCTTCTAATGTGTCATATCAATTTTGGCAGCTTCACTTCTCCCAACGTTTTTCAAAAATAGAGCATCTAATTCAAGTCGGGTCAGCTACAGAATACATATTGAGTGCAGAGGAAAATGACCCTAAATTATTAATAAAATTCTAAATTACTCAGTCAGCAATAGATAATTTCTTTCAGTGAAATTTTTTTGGATCTTTCTAGAATGGAAATATCCTTGTTTGCCGAATATAAGAAATGGTAACACATTGATAATTTACTTTGCAGGTACCAGCGCAACCGAAACCGGATTGGCGGTGATTACTTCGGTGGGCGCAAGAAGGACGCTGTGGCGGAGGCGAGTGAAGAGAGCGATGGCGGTCCGCAAACGCCGGCTCAGCGGCCTGTCGTGAGGCGCTTCCGGGGTCGCGGTCGTTCCCAGTACGGCGGCGGCGGCGGCGGCGGCGGATATTATGAGGGAGGACGAGGTCGGGGACGTCGTGAGGTACCTGACGAGGGGCCTGAGGTGGCACGTGGTCGTGGGGCTCCACGACGCCTATTTAGGCGCTCCTACCGTGGAGCTATCCGGGGAGGAACGCCGCGCCGGGCTGTGCCCGAGCCTGAAGTGAAGGGTGGCGGTCCCGTCAAAAGACGCGGACGCGGAAAGTGGCGTTCAGCGGGACGCCCTAAGGGGGTCCGTGGGGGTCCCGAAGACTCCAACGCGGATCACACAGCTCAGCTGGATGGTAGCCCCGGCGAGAGCAGCGTCTAAAATGTGACTAATAGTACGCCTGTCTCCATTCTCACGCTTAACATATGTGAGCAATTAGTGTAAGAGAGAGAGGTAGTGAAGATCATGGGACATTTAGTCACAAAATTTATGACACGACTTCAGAGTTATCAATAAGGAGAAAAATTGAGGACAAACATGTAGGGAGAAATTAGATTTTTGAGATACTTCACTTACGGATAAAACTTATGTAGATGTTCTTTGTTCAGGTTTTTCTCCCACTTCATACTACTAACTTCACACTCCTTCAAATCTCCTTATTTTTATTAAATTCCCTGTTTCAATTTATTTTCCCCCACACGGCCACGCTTTCATCGGTCATTTTCCCTGTGTTGCCAAACACAGCATTATGAAATCTCTGACCGCCGTAGTTGCTTGAAGTCCTCTTCCTTTATAGGCATGTCGCTCCTTATACACGACATCTTCATCAGCAAATTCATGCTCTGCCGTCAATGCCGTCTTTATTGCCTCCATTTTTGAATCACTTGCATTTGACTTTGCAGTTACCGAGCAATCGTCACAATTTGAATTAAGGCATTCGTATTTTCCATCCTGGAAGCTGATGGATCCCCTTCCCTTTCGGCTGCACCACTGCCTGCATATATTTCTTTATTGAATTGCTTTTACAATTCTTGCTTACGATCCTGGGAATCATCCCTGATACAAAATTTTTTCACTCTATATTCCAAGTGGAATCAATGCACATTGGATTGAATTCCTATTTGAACAGCAAATCATCCTGCCTGTAAACTTCTTCATGCGAATTATCACCACATTGATCTGCGGCTTTTCATGATTCCTTTTTGATCACACAATTCTTGCTTTCTGTGTCCACTGAATCCAACACTGACCTCTCATCGTCATGCTTTTTGCCTTTCTCTTATGAGACTTCTACCATTGTTTCTCATATCGCTCTAGTCTCTCCTTAAGCTCATCGAGCGTTTCCGCATAATATAACCTCATCTTCACCATCAAATCTTCAGGAATTTCATTGCAAATATGTTCACAATTTTTACCGAATTCATCTGACATGGTTATATCGAAATTGTCATCTTCATCATCGTAATTAATTCTTCGAGGCGTCTTCTTCAACGCCTCTATTGGAAATAAATCCTCATCGAGAGGATCCTCTAAGTTTCTTCTATCACCAAATCACTGTGTTTTGCTCGTACTTCAATGTCTCTACTAACACTCCGGACAGCTTTAGCACTATTCCGGTTGAGTCTCCGCGTAGGGAGAAATGAATTAGATAAAGTATTTGTGTTTAGTTAGGTTTTGCATCCTCTTTTTGTTCTTTTACTAACTTTACATTTTCTCCGTACAATTTTCATTCTCCTGACTTCGCCTCAACATTTTCCCCCACATCAATAAGGAGAAAAATTAAGAACATATGTGTAGCGTATGAGATTCGCCTCGAAGCTGGAAAATCAGACTTTTCCCAAAAGTGACATTACACACATTTAAGGCATTTCCGCTCGAACTACCTAAGCACCACAATATAATTAATAAATTTGGGTCACATCCAATTCTGTTTGCTAATTACAATTTGGTTTCATTGTGACAATGCAAGGAAAATAACACACTATGAATATGCACTTTAAAATTATGATGTATTTGATGTATTTTAAATTAAAAGTACTCGAACTGCTAGAGTGTGAAGCGACGTAATGTGAAAATTGCTAATTTTGGAAGTGCCGAAACGGCTCTCGGGTTACAAGTTAAATGTTTTGTTTTGGTGGAACGCAATAGTGAAATGAAAGAACGATGAAAAAATGAACTCTTGCTGCATACCTTGTTTGTGCAGGGTAGAAAGTCTCATCAAGTAAGTAGAAGAATGATATAAACAAGAGATGTATCAAGCGTGTTTGCAAAATATCGATGCTTGAAGATGAAACTAAGTATTTTGGAATATTTTTCAATGTGTTGTCGAGATGAAAGAGGTCCTAAATCGCGATAGAATAGAGATCAATGTCATATCAAAGTAGTATCAAAGTATAATTTTTACCTATTATTTAATTTGATCTGCAAATCCAATATAGCGATTTCGAGTTAGTCGCATGTGTTGAAGGAATACAAGCTTATCTCACACTGCTCGAAACACATCTTCTATCCCAGAAGATTGCTGATACCGGAGATATTAGAGATCGTGTGTGTTGAAAGATCACTTCAGGTTATTATATCAAAAGATTTTACGGAGTTTTTCAATTAAAATACCAATTATAGAACAACTGAATTGAATAAGACATTAAAATTCTTATAATATGGGCTCTGAAAAGTAACTCCCGTGAAACGCTGTTGAGAGTCTCCAAGTATTTAATTTGAAGATAAATGCAATATGTACGGATGTAGCATATGTTGATTGCGAAGAGCAACAAAAAATGCGAATTCATTTGAATACAATTAACTGATGTATATTGGAGAAGTGATTTGATCCTCACTTTTAGTGTCGTTTTTTTCAATATGTGTTATTTAACAGGCTGAGATACTCACAGGAATTATCTGGCTATTAAAACGTGTGTTTTCTTCTCTATTTTCTCAGTTTATCGACAGACTTTCATTCACGCAAGTCTATGTGAAATCACAATGTTTGTTCTCTTACTATCAGTGATTATCGTGATCTGCTCACTCATTAAGTTGTTGGATGTGTATCAAAAGAGCCTCCCATCTTACAAAGCCTCTATTGGATTAGGAGGTCCTGCTCCTCTAACATTTTGTCAGGCTATAAAGCTGGCACTTTCGCTAAACAGAGGTTTGCATTTGAAAAAGGAGATCATAAAAAATCAGTGATTATATTGAAAAATTTTCTTCTCAGTGAATATCTTTACAAGTTTTCGAGAATATGCTCAAACTTATAAAAAATCTTATGCTTTTTGGTGTCTTGGAACTGCTTACGTCAGGATCATAAAAGCTGAAGACATGGAGGTGATTTCTGTCGTTAGATTACATTTAGTGACAATTATTCGAATGATTATCTTGTTTCTTTTCCGCAAAAATGCACAGAAAATACTTAGTTCAGCGAAGCATGCGAAGAAAGGTTTCGTCTATCGCTTTCTCGTTCCCTTTCTCGGGGAAGGACTTTTGATAAGTAATGGCAAAAAATGGGCTCACAGACGAAAAATCCTCACACCGGCATTTCATTTCAATATCCTTCAACAATTCGTGAAAATCTTTCAGTAAATACCATAACAGATTCTCCTAAATTTTACATACTGAGAAAATTTCTCCTTTTCAGACGAGAAGGCGCCAAACTTACTACTCAAGTGAAATTTGCCGAAAATCCAGTGAATCTCCCAAAGATAATCTCTAAACACACACTTAATGTGATTTGCGAAACAGCAATGGGAGTCACGCTGGACTCTCAAGAGGAGTCTCAAGTCTATCGAGAGGGTATTCATCAGACGGGAAAAGTTCTTGTTCTGCGATTCATCAAGCCTTGGCTCAGGTCTGACTTTGTCTTCAGGATTATGGGCTATGAAAATGTGCTGTGGCAAATTCTTACGCCAATTCACTCATTTACGAGAAAAATCATACGTGAGAGATGTTGCAAGTTCAAGGACAACCAGCCTACAGTTAACAACAATGAGACATGCGATCGCAGAGAGAGACACGCAATGCTGGATACACTGCTGTTAGCTGAACAAAATGATCAAATCGATTTGGAAGGAATCCGGGAGGAAGTGGACACGTTCACTTTCGAAGGTCACGACACAACGGCCTCAGCGATCACGATGATCCTCTTCTCGCTAGCTGAGAATCCTGCAGTGCAAGAAAAAGTTTATAGGGAAATAATGTCAATAAGAGGGGAGAAGAACGGGTCACCACTGGAGATTGCAGACTACAGCAATATGGTTTACACTGATCGAGTGATCAAGGAATGCCTCAGACTGTATCCTCCGGTTCCTTATATATCGCGTGAATTGACAGAAGATCAGGAGATCAATGGATATTCTGTACCCGCTAAAACATTGATTGAGGCTCTTATTTTCGATCTCCATCGAGACCCTGAGGTCTTTCCTGATCCCGAGCGCTTTGATCCGGACAGATTTCTGCCTGAACATGTGGAGAGGCGCCATCCTTTTGCTTATCTTCCTTTCTCTGCCGGGCCACGCAATTGCATTGGCCAGAAATTCGCCCTGCTGGAAATCAAGACGGTGATCGAGAGCATCCTGATGAACTTCCGCCTTTCTCCCATCACTCATCGCGATGATATTGTCTTCATCGCCGATATGGTGTTGAGGACCGAAGATCCCATAAAGATCGAGTTTATCAAGCGACCGCAGAATCAGTGATCTTTTACATTTATGTAAATGCTAATGAGAAAGAAGAAAAATATTTATAAAGCAATTTGCATCTTTGAAGAGCTGGAAATTATTCTATAGGTATGTACATAAATATTTTTTATATACACTGTGAGTAATCGCGTGTGGTTAAATTTTGAGTGGTTTCTATAAGGTAAGTTCTAATTAAGCAAAGTAGAACAACTATTTATTGTGATTTGTTTAACCTCACAAGCAGATGTTTCTTATTGATAAGAAGCTTACTTTTTTTTTAGGAAGATATTCAATTATATTTCACTTACAAGGCTTTTCATCACATTTTCCGGTTCGTTCTTTTGCATTCGTTTCAAAGGCGATTTCATATCTTCGAGAATCTCATCAAGCGGACGTCCTTTGGTTTCAGGAATTAAAAAATATACAAATATCACGAAGAATAAAGTAAGGACGGCGAATCCCCAAAATGTAACGTGCATTCCGAGTTCATCTGAGACAAGCTGATAAAGCTTAAGAACACTGAAGCCGACGAAAGCAGTGAACGCGGCGAATGAAGCTGTGGCGATTGCCTTTATATTCGTCGGGAAGAGTTCACTGAGGAGAGCAAAAGGCACTGTAGTAAGGCCTATTGTGTACGAGATAATGAAAATCATCAAAGTTGTGATTGGAAGCCAGGCATGAGCGTCCATATTGACGCCACGGTGGAGCAGGAAGAAGTACAGTCCCACTATAGTGTTGCAAATCGTGGCTCCAGAAGTGGAGATCAGCAGAAGAGGTCTTCTGCCCAGGCGATCGACGATTGATGAGGAAAAGGAAGCTGTCACGAGTTGGACCACAGCCATGATGATCGCCGATTCACTGCCGCCTAATCCGCTGGAAACTTCCTCAAAAATCTGCTGTGAATAAGCGATAACAGCTTGACTACCGCAGAGTTGCTGACATGCGGCCATTCCCCAGCAAATGATGAGACTCCTTCTGTTGCCACGAGCGAACAGTTCTTTTACAGTTCCGCAGTTCTCCTTGGCCTTCTTCACAGCGCCGTCCATTCGTTTAAGCTCTTCGGAAACATCCTCGCTCTTCCTGAGCCAGCGGAGGCTCTTCTCTGCTGCTTCATGACGATCTTTCAGCAGAAGGAAGTAAGGAGATTCGGGCAGCCAAATGAATGTCGCAACAAAGAGGACTGGGAGGATCATGAGAATCCACGCCAGGAGGCTAATGGAGACATAGGGTCCTATAGCGTAGACGTAGAGAATGCCAAAATACGCCATTACCATCAACAGAGTGCCAATGGATCCTCTAATCTTGTCTGAAGAGATCTCTCCCAAGTACATGGGCATCGCAGCATAAGCCATTCCGGCAGTGATACCGGAAAGGAGCCTTGAAACGTATAATACTTCAGGAGAATTGGCAAGAAGGACGAGAATGAGTCCAATGATTACTGGAATAGTGGCTGATAAGAGAGTGAATTTTCGCCCGAATCTGTAATAAGTCTTGCAAAACATTTACTATCATACACCTTGCCATTGTGAGTAAAACAAAGAATTACGCACCTGTCGACTATGAGGAAAGAGATAATGGGTCCAATCACTCCTCCTATAGCTAAGAATGCTACAATCCACGAACTCTGGTCTGCTGTAGTTGGAATTGGCGAATCTTCAGCGGTGAGTTTCGGCAGTGTTGGTGAAGTCCAGCCATAGACAGCGGCTCCAGTGACCATAATTAACGTGCCTGAAAGTGAGATATTGGTAGTAAAACCCCCACGGTTTATCAATGAATGATACTTTAAATTACCTTTTTAGTCAATTGACACATAAGGAGATTAAATGAAATAAACAACACTCTATAAATATCTTTAATTATTAATTTTTTAAGAGTACTGCGCAAACTGGTTTGAACTACTCTGGAAGCCAATTTAACTGGATTTTCCTCGACTTACCGGAAAACGCTGCTGTATATTGTCTGAGAAATGCTCCTTTTCCTCCATCCATTCTTGTGCTTGATTCTCGTGCTAAATGTTTTCACTGTGATATGTTTTGAACCACTGACTGGATGAGTGCAGACCACAGATCTTTTATATCACACTTATCTCATATTTCCCAAAAATTAATCTTCTATGTCATACGAAGATTACCGATATCTGAGAGAGCGTATAATGGAGATAGAATGACCACTTCAGATTACGATATCAAATAATCAAGACAACTTTGTCAAAGAACATTCCAATTCAGTTCGTATAAGTGGATAAAGTAAAGTATTCACTATCATATCATGTAGAATCAGTTTCAAGAGGACTGATTGTAAAATCTCTGCAATGATTTATTTTCATCAGAAAACTATTCTTTCCGGTCAATCGATAACCCCTAAATTAGTTTACCAATGGTTATAGTTTATAAAGCTATTGCAGAATCAGTGTTCTTTCACATTTATGCCAATGAGGAAGAAAACTGTTTATAAAACATTTTGCATCTTGAAAAGTAAGCTGGAATATTATTAAAATTTCAGCATACGCTTTATGAGCAATCGCGTGTGATTACGTATTTAATATTATAATGCGGATGAATTTAAAACTGCATCATGATTATTAGTGGATCTCACAAAAGATACCTTTTGACCGATCTTCATGATCTCAATTCAAGTAGCGAATTATCGACTTTATACATATTCCCTACATTGTCAATTGAATTTTCCACCAGACGGAAAATCTGATTTGTGTTTTAATTGCACAAATAGAGGCACACGATCGCCTTGAGATTTTTCACTCGGATTGATCGCGAGGAAAAGATCACACTCGCTGTTCAGTAGTTTCGTTGCAATTGAAAGTGAAGCACTTGCTCGAGAATGTTACACTTCTTGGTGGGTCTTTTTGCCTTTCTGGCCATTGCTACAATCCTCCTGGAGCTGTTCTTCCGGAGTCTGCCCAGCTACACGGCCACCATTGGCATTGGTGGACCCTATCCGAAGCCTTTCTGGCGTGGCTTGAAATTTGCCCTCACTCTCAATCGAGGTGAGTCAGAGAAAATCTGTATCATTTATCATAAACTCAATCTCGCGTTTTTTCTTTCTTTTTATTCTGCAAGTGAGCATTTTCGCCCTATTTCGCACGTATGCAGAGACATTCCAGAAGTCTTACGCCTTCTTCGGCTTCGGGCGACTCTATGTGCACATCATAAAAGCCGAAGATATGGAAGTGAGCATTCGAACGGGTTTCTGTAAATGCATATTGTTCAGTGTTTATTTGCATTTTTCCATAGAAAATTCTAAACTCTTCAAAACATGCCAAGAAGAGTTTTATGTACGGATTCTTAGTGCCATTCTTGGGAGATGGTTTGCTGATCAGCGGAGGGGCAAAGTGGGCGCAGAGACGAAGGATTCTCACGCCAGCCTTTCATTTCAATATCCTACAGCAGTTCCTCAAGATATTTCAGTGAGTATTTCAGGTTTTATGTATATAGACAAAGAGAATGCATTTTTTCTCTTTGAATGAGTATGTGAGCAATAAAACTGAATGCAAATTACGTTAGGCATTCAATAAATAAGTTTATTGCCACTCCTTTTCAGGGAAGAAAGTGTGAAGCTTTCGCAGAAGCTCATTAATCTGGACCCGGAAGAGAGAGGAATAGTCAATCTTCCTCCGTTAACATCCCGACATACTCTGGACACGATCTGCGAAACTGCAATGGGAGTCAAATTGGATTCTCTGGAAGAGCCAGATGCTTATAGGAATAATATTTACAGCATTGGCAGATTGCTTATCGACAGAAGCCTTCAGCCTTGGCTAGCCAATGACTTCATGTTCAAAATTCTTGGCTACAAGGAGAAGTTAGACAAACTCCTCATGCCAATTCATTCTTTCACAAGAAATATCATCGAGCAGAGGCGAGTTCAAGTGCACGAAGTGGGCAACATTCCCGTGGCAAGTACCAGTGAGGATATCTACAGCACGAGGAAGCAGAGATATGCTATGTTAGACACGCTGTTGGCAGCAGAAAAGAACAACCAAATAGATGTGGAGGGAATTCGGGAGGAAGTGGACACATTCACTTTCGAAGGTCACGACACAACAGCATCTGGAATAACGATGATTCTCTTCTGTCTGGCAGAAAATCCGATTGTTCAGGAGAGAGTTTTCAAGGAGATAGAGTCAATAAGAGGGGAGAAGAACGGGTCATCGCTGGAGATTGCAGACTACAGCAATATGGTTTACACTGATCGAGTGATTAAGGAATGCTTCAGATTGTATCCTCCAGTTCCGTTCATCTCGCGAGAATTGACAGAAGATCAGGAGATCAATGGATACCCCGTGACGAAGGGAACAATGCTGGCACTCCACATTTACGATCTCCATCGAGATCCTGAGGTATTTCCTGATCCCGAGCGCTTTGATCCGGACAGATTCCTGCCTGAACATGTGGAGAGACGCCATCCTTTCGCTTATCTTCCTTTCTCTGCCGGGCCGCGTAATTGCATTGGCCAGAAATTCGCCCTGCTGGAAATCAAGACGGTGATCGAGAGCATCCTGATGAACTTCCGCCTTTCTCCCATCACTCATCGCGATGATATTGTCTTCATCGCCGATCTTGTGCTGAGGACCGAAGATCCCATAAAGATCAAGTTCACAAAGCGATCGTGACCGAATTGATCTGAGGAAGTATAAATAAAATATCGCCGTTCTTCTGATAAGTAACAATACTCATTGTTTAAATTCTGTTTACATAGCAATTTACATGCTCACAAAACACTCCACTGATGAATAAATTATCTTAAATGCTAACCAGCAAAAATTAGCCATTAAATTTTTCATCTCGTTATTAATAGTAAAAAAGTACAACAAGAGGAGGTATAAAAAAAACTTGCATAATACCATATTCACATTCATGAGCGTATCGAGTTCGCACAATGCATTTTTTACCTCGTGTCGCCCGAAGCGAGAAGCACCCACAAAATCAGTCACGGAGATTTGGTTTAGTCACAGAGCGGCGGGATTGGGCTACTGAGCCATGTCGCTGCCGCGGGTCTCGTACGGGAGCAGGAGACACGCCACGCTGGCACTGATGGCGAACACGCCATACACACTCACGGCGCTCCACACGGATGTCTGGAGCAGAACCTGAAAAGGGCGGATCGACATTACTTTAATTGGCTGTTGTGGCAGCATTAATCTTACCTGTGCCACATAGGGAGTCGCCATGGCGCCGAGTCTAGCCAAAGCAGAGCAACCGCCCACGCCAACGGATCGCAGAGCTGTGGGATAGACTTCCGGTGTGTACACATAAGCCGCCTGGAAGAGTCCCGCAATGACGCCGCGAGCGAGGAAAAGGATCATCGTGAGCGCCGTCCGACTGGAAGCACAGCGGATTAAAGGAATATCGTGGAGAATGCATAACAACTCACTCTTTAGTCGTTGTGAGAAGTAAAACACAGCCGCCGTAGAGGATGAACTGGAAGGCCATGGTTTTCTTGCGTCCCCACTTCTCCATCACCGCTATAGTGGCGAAGATCCCAGGAAATTCTGCCAACGTAGTCCAAAGGAGATCCAGATAGTCATCAGTCGATAGAGGATGGCAATCTTCAATATCTCCCGCCACTACTGGCTTTCGGTCACCGCTGAAGAGCTCAGTGGACATCAGCACAAGCCCGTAATAGCAGAAAGCGCAGGACATCCAGATGAACCACAGCAGAAGTGTCGTCCGGCGTAGGGATGTACTGAGGAGTGCCCTGACGCTGCCTCGTGGCGTAGCTGTTCCCTCCACCACGAGCCTGCCCAGCAGCATTGGCTTCTTGTTGTCCACTGCAATCTGTTCCAGCGTCGCCAGCGCCTTGTCGTTCTGCCCACACGTCACATTGTAGCGTGCCGACTCCGGTAGCCAGGGCGTGATCACGGCAAAGACAAACAGGGGCGCCGCCGAAAGGCCCAGCAACCATCGCCAGCCCAATCGTGGGGCCACAGCCAGAGCCAAGGCGACCTCAAAGCACGCCCCAAGAGCCCAGAAGCACTGAAAAGAGGCGAAATTCGAAGTGATTAGTGTTGAGTGAAATTAAATGTGCGCGAAAGTAATTTAATGTTCTTCACGGCAGAATTGTTTTCTCGCTACAAAAAGGGTGAAACAAGAAAATTCATGGGATTTGAAAAAAGCATTGGGAGAAGTGATGAATTTCTATAAATGGAAAACAAGTCCATAAATTGGGATCAGCGGTGGAGACCTTGGGAGTTCTCAATAAAAACTGTGCCATTTCCCAATTAAACTTCCACCCATTGTTCACAAAGTATTTGCTTCTTGCTTAAAAACATGAGATGGAAAATATAGTGTTACTTTCCAATAAATTCACTCCACCAATTGCATAATGTCAGACACAACAGACACGCTAATTGTTCAATACAGCCCGCGATCTGCATAGTTGGTCCAAGAGGCACACAAAGCCATCGGTCTTATTGCATAAACTGTGATGGACTCACATCGAGGAGAACGACGCACTTGGCGCGTTGCTTAGTAGGAAGGAATTCAGCGTAGAGCGTCACGGATTGCGGCACGCAACCGATGGCGAACCCCACGAGGCCTCTGAGAAGCAGGAGCCAGCCGAAGCTGGGTGCCACGGCGGACAGGAGACCGTAGAGGAAGAGCAGAACTCCACAGAGGGTCAGAGCAGGCTTCCGGCCGTATCGATCACTCAATTGGCCCCAGAATGTGGAACTGAGCATCATCCCGAGGAACACGATGGTCGTGGTGAGCGCTTGCTGGTAGCGCGTGACGCCCCAGTCGCAATGCAGCGCCGGCCCGAGCACGCTGAGAATGGTCATTTCCATGGAGTCTGCCATCCAGCAGAGGCCCACGCACAGGGACAGCTTCACCTGGAACCAGCCGAAGCCGAGGGCATTCACAGCCTGAGTCACGGTGAAAGTGTCTGACGAGGGGAGAGAAATAGAGAGCCTCATTGATTAGTTATTCACAACATTAGTGATACAAAAGATCAAAGACGATCGGAATTTATTATAGAGACACACAATGGAGAGTCGCTTGAGCGCCACAAATGGGGATTTGGGTCAGAAATTGAATTTAGTGAATCACTGCTCCTCACCATCTGGCACGACGCTCACGGAGGCCATCTCGAACTCCTGCGGTGTGACTGGCGGCGGTCCCTGCTGACTATTGTGGGTGGCGATCGGTGTGGTGTGACCTGCAATGGCCACGTTAACCGTGGCCACATTGGCTCCCTGCATTTCCTCATATCCTCTCGTGGTTCCCGGTCGTCGAACTCCCATGGCGCTGGCTTTTCCACTCGCCGCTCACCGTCTTCTCGCGCTCGCTCACCGCCGCACTCCCAAGACGAGATTCTGGGACACACACAAGCGCTGGGCAAATTGAGGTAGAGTCACAGTTATTCATCGAATAATTGGTGATCGCGCGCGAACCAAAGAGATGCGCGCAAAAATGGTTAACCGTATTTCCTTCACACTACCGCGCTCAGATGAGCAGCGCGTCTATCAATTAATTGCTAATTAACACCCGGGCTTCATGAATCCCATCGTGAACTCCCCAGCGATCTTGTCACCTCTCTCGACACTTTGAGATTCACCTCACACACCCACGAGATCACACACTTTTCGGGCGAGGTGATTATTCTTCGCCAGTGATGTAAGTCTCTTTTTCTTCAATTTTTCCACAATTGTTATTCTTTTCTTTCGCAAAACATGCGAGACGACAGCGCGATGGAAAACGACACACAGCCAACAGTGAGGCAATTGTTGCAATAAAAGCAAAATATTTATTCACTGTCCTCCACGGATTACATGGAGTTTGTCTCTCTAGTTGGAATCGTTTCACTCTACCACTCTATCACGATCTTTTAGCATTTTTTTACAGCTCGCGATCACTTCTTCTTATACCCTCGATAGTGTGTGTGTACCTTTCCTATTCTTGTTGCTCCACAAAAACCCACAATTCCCAGTCCAGAGTCATTATCTTCAGATCACAAAACACAGAGGTCTAGCGATCGATGCTTCCAGCTGAAGAAGCAGATCTCAACTACTCGGCCAAGAAGTAAGAAAATCTGTCTCGCGGAACTGTGTGAGTTAACGGGTCTCTCTCTCGCTCTCCTCAATCGCTCAAGATTCTCATTCAATCCCCACCGCTCCCAGGTAACCAAGTGCCACAGTATTGGTGGCATCCCTCAAAGTCACGCGCGCGTCCAGCGTTCCGTATGAAAGTAAAAATCCCACCCAAACAAGTTTCATTGCCCAGCAATTTGAAGAATTTACCGTGTGCTGACCCGGCAAAACATCATTCATCGCCGCACTTTTCCTTATTGTGCACTCCTCCAGTCATCACCATGAAATACGATCGGCAATCACTCAAGCTCAAGCACGAAATATTTCGTTAATGGGCATTTAATGAATTTTTATCATTCTCCATGATTGATCAACTATCTCAATAAATTCTTCATCAATTACAGTTTCAAATTTCTCAATTGATTTGAGGATCACTTGGCGATCACCTCAAAGACTAGTATTCTTCTTAATGTTCACTCACCTAAATAAATATCTGCTTTCTCTGCATATTTTCACGATTTATGACACCATGTCACACCCAAGACAGTGAAGATCACGTAAAAGAGACCGTAATTGAAGGCCTCGTAGAGCAATTTTGGCGAGAAGACAGTCCACACGAAGAGATGATTGCGAAATCCCGTTGCAATGGCCATGTAGAAGTTCAATGGGAGAATCAGGAAGAGTCCGCACGTCTGCAGGAATATCTTGTGATTACTTTGGAGATGGTGCAGCATGAGAAGGACTGCCAGAAGTGGTCCACCAAAGGTGTTGATGGTCAGGAAGACGCCCACGATGATCATATTGAATGATTTGAGACCAATATATCCCGCATTGAGATCAATTGAAGCCAGACTATTAGAGTTTCCTTGGTAGAAGAAGAACATCTTCCCAATCCAGAGATGACTCAGGATTATCATGAAAATCTTTGGCGTTCCCGACAGGATCGAATTGATGGACTTATTTACTACTTGGCACGTAAGAATGCACGCCACCGTGAGAATAGCGTTGTGTGGCTTGTGGAGCAGGCATGAGATGAGACTGAAGATAGTGATACTCGCTCCTGTCCACAGTTTACCGTCCTGAGGGAGATATTTCTTGAGAATCCACCTTCTGTAGATGATTGGAAGGTAGTTTATAGCTGCAATCTCTAGCACATTCACCCAGAAGAGCAGCAGTGAGACTCTAGAGTCACTCTTCATAACGCTGAAGAGCGTAACGTGACCAGTGATTGAGCGGGAGTAGTAGATTAGAAGAACAGCGGTGAATGTGAGCACTCCTGTGAGGATTCCCGAGAACTGTCCACAAACTACGAGCACTAGAAAGAGTGTGAAGATGAAGAACCAACTCAAGGACATCTTATTCTCCTCTGTGACGAACCAGTCTCCGATATCCGGCACGCTCAGCCACTTGTCGCCCGTCTGATTGAGTCTCCGGAGGAAGATGTGGCTCAGGAGCAATCCCACATATTTCAGCACTACGCTGTGCAACTTCTGAAGATGCGATAAATCAGTGCTTAAAGACACCGACTTGAATCTCCTCAATTCACCCAAGAGCAGCATGATGAACAGTGTGACTCCAAAGTAGTACCACAGCTGGTGTTCCTCTTCAATAAAGGAACTGCTGGCGTATGAGATCACATGGAAGACAGTGCAGAAGATCACGTAGAGATGTATATTGTGCATATTTGGGATCCACGAAGTCCTCCTTTCCTTCACAGCACTCAGGATTATTTTGCAATTGATTCTTATGATAGTAATTGTGATGAGAATAATAATGTTTCCCACCAATCCTGAGGAACATAGTGAAAAATCCAATTGGAAGAACTTTTTGGGCAGATGCTTTAAGCAAACAGTCCCGAAGAGAATGAAGAAGATATTGTAAGAGTTCCAATCGATGGTTAAGGTATCCTTTTCAGTGAGGAAGAGTGACAAACTCGCAATTGTGGTGAGGAATGATAAGAATAATCCGACAGAAATGCTCCAGAGGTCGTATTTCACGAAGTTCTTGGCCAAAAGATCGGACATTTCTTGTGCTGAGGACAAGTAGAACAGCTTGGCGCGCTTGAATAGAGACTGATTTACCTCATCTCCGATTTGCTTCATTTTCAGGTACTCTTTGTGCATTTCCTTGCCTTCCTGGTGTTGCAAGAAGAATTCTCGCTGATCCAAATCAAATTGTTCCAATAGAAGCTTCTGGAGAAGTCTCTCGCCATTGTATACCAGTGCCAGCAATTGCTCTTCCTCCGTCAAGTCCGCCAGCATTTCAGGAATCAAATTTCCTATGCTGGAAGCCGGAATTGGTAATCCCAGAAGAACCGACAATGTGGCTGCGAAATCTATCTGATTATACAGTGTCTCAGTTGATGCACAATTTGAACCCACAACCAGGAGAGGAACTGTTACTTCAGGAGCTGAACTTCCACCATGGCCACCAGTGTCTCTCATGCCATGATCTCCTGTGACTATGAAGAGCGAGGGCAGGTACAAATTGGCATTCCAGCGCGTCATTTCGAACACAATTTTCCTCACAATCTCGTCCATTTCCTTCAATTTCCCAGGAACCTTCGGACTGAACGGTCCCTCAGCGTGTCCTATGTGATCCAGACCGAGATAGTGCAGCACCATCATCTTCCAATCGGGATGTTTGAGCTCACTTACCAGGTTTTTGGTAATGTTTTTGTCTCCCTCGTAGAAATCGTTGACGAAGAGCGGATCCTGATTCTCCCCCTTGCGCGAGAACACATTCGGGAACATTCTGGTCCATGTGCTGTCACCGTAGAAGATCAATTTACCTCCAGAAGACGCTGTCTGCTGCAGAAAAGTGTCAGTCTTGACTTCCGAACTTCCCAAATTCAATATAACATCGATGAAGCTTGGAATTGTCCCTGAAGTCAGAGCTTTTATCCGGGGCATTGTCACCGTTGGTGGCTGGACGCGAAGCTTGAGCAAGCAGGCTTCCTTATTCTCTATCAGTTTCCGCACATGAGGCATGCTTTCCTGTCGTTGCACGAAGTCTAGGCGAAGGGCGTCAATCAGCATGATTGTTGTTCGTGAGAACTTTGCTCTGTACTGACTCCTGTCCAGTCTGCGAGCAAATAAGCAGATTTTAATGTCAGGATAGTGAGATGGAAATAGTATCCACTTACTGGACTTCTGCTATGTGTTTGGGAAAGTTCTGAAAATCCGCCTTTTCCATGGATGAGAATGACAATGGGAAGAATCCATGGAGGAAAAGTCCCAAGCCAAAGAGAAAAGCCGACAGCTGGAGGAGGTAGACTGTGGTAACCTTCATCTCTGGAGACTGCAGAAGTTCCTGGGGATCTATTAAATAACACACATTGTGGACACACAAGAAACTCCCCTTCTTATCACTTCACAAAAACAATCCACTCAGTGCAAAACCTCTCACTTACGAGAGAAACCCTTCACTTTCACTTTCCAAGCCCGCGAAAATGATTTCAAATCATCCAGATAGACTTGAAAGTCAGTGAAGGAAACAATACTCATTAGTTTTTGATAAAAATAAATTATTTCATATCGTATCGGTACATTTCAATACTACAATGCACTTGGACTGGATGCTAGACTGTTGTGAGTAGGAAATTCTTTAGCCAATCTCCATGTTATTTCACTTCTACGCAGTATCTAGGCACTTATTTACATCCTTTCTGGGCTCCCTAATCTAATTTCATAGCTTTAAGTGATTATCGTGCAAGTGTCGCTCCAAGTGATGCTCGTTTTGGTGTTCCGTTTTAAAAAATATATAGATGATCGGTATCAAGAAGCAGAGGATGAGAATACAGACAAAGAGGCACACCCAGGATATATCACAATCAGCTCCGTTGCACGACATATCCACTCTGTGACGGACAGGGATGATTCGTGGCTGAGGAACTGTGTCGTCCACCACTCCGCTGAGAAGAGGCTGAGCCATATCCCGCTCATCAATACTGAGTGGATTGGACACTGCAAAAGACACCCAAAAATATCAGTTAAGCAAGCTGAGATGCAATTCCAAGGATAACCAGTATATCTCACCTAATTCCTCCTCATCTCTGTATTCACTGGTTCCAGTGATTTTGGTGCTGAGGATAACATCGTTGATACTCGCCGGAGGACAATCAGAACTGCTCACAGAGGCGATCATAAGCCTCTCGTCCAGATCATTGAGTGTCACACCTTTCAGCGGCAGTTTGGCCTTCGTGGGACTCGAGGTTCCGCTCTTGTGCACTCCCGGAAGTGTTTCCAGCAGCACAGTGTGAGCAGTCACGGGAATCCGCAAAACACTCCTCGCGAATATCTCATTGTCTCGCTCAATCTTGTTGAGCCGCTTCAGCTCCGATAACTACAATCAATCAGGCAATGAGAAGGGCAGTTCCGCTGCCACGAATCGAGGTCAACTTACTGGGCAGTTGAAGCGCAATGCGATGGCCTGTAGAGTGTCGTTCTCGAGAACCTGAGCTTCCAGAGTAGCGACATGAGGCGAGTGCACTCGCCGCATTGGGACGTCATTGGCATCCCCCGCGAGGGGCTCATACTCCCGAGAGTCTGAGAAATTTCTCACTCTGACCGAGATAAAAGAGAGTAAACAAACATTCTCAAGGCAAATCTGCCACTGTCCAGGAAACAATCTCACCTTGTTCGCTTCATTGTATCTCTTAGCTTATGTGATGTATGCTGAAGTGGCTATTATACAAGGAAATACTTATATCTTGCCTATAATTCACTCCATTACTTCAGTTTGGCAAAATTATTGATAAAAAACACGTATTTGCAAAAATATTAGCTGTCAAAATCAGCCGTTCTCGCGACATTGCTAAATTTCCCAAAAATATCCCACACGAATTCTCACGAATCCATTCGAACAGATCTTCGGGGACGCACCATTTCCCGCTACTTTTTGACATCTAACCTGAATCCAGAATCAGTGTCGAAGCACGTTTTCTTGCATTTTCACTTCGATTTCCCAACCTTGTGTCATCCAGTTCAGTATTTAAACAGTAAGAATCTCAGTAAAGTTATTATAATGCCTTCCGAAGCTGCTTGTATCTTGCGTTTCGCAAAATTGACCGAAAACGCCTTTGCTCCAATGAAAGGCTCCGCCAAGGCTGCCGGATTTGACCTCAAGAGGTAATAAACCGCTATATTCTCCTATATACCCAAAGACTGTATAATAGAGTACCTGATTTTCCACAGTGCTTATGATTGCGTTGTCCCTGCGCGTGGAAAGCAGCTTGTGAAGACGGACATCCAGATTCAGGTTCCGGAAGGTTGCTACGGTCGTGTAGCTCCTCGCTCTGGCTTGGCCCATAAGAACTTCATCGATGTTGGAGGTAATTCAGGGATTTACATTTATATTTTACTGTTATCGTGCATTTCATCAATTTTTTGTGATTTTCGGCAGCTGGTGTCATCGATGAAGACTACAGAGGAAACGTCGGTGTGATTCTCTTCAATCATTCCGATATAGATTTCAAAGTCACCAAGGGAGACAGGATCGCCCAGTTGATCTGCGAGAAGATCTTCTACCCAGAAGTCGAAGAAGTTCAGTCTCTGTCCGAGACTGAACGCGGAAGCGGAGGATTCGGCTCCACCGGCACCAAGTAGTCCTTTCCATATGATTTGCCTACATTTTGGCGTCAATTCTCTTTCACTCACACTCCCGCCAAATATTATCTTGAACAAGTTCCAAATGAATAAATGTGTTGGATTTTTCTAAATTATTGATGGGAAAATAGCTCCAAAGCGAACATCATGTAGTGTCTACTACAGAAGAACGAAGCTAGAGAATGTAAAGAATGGCGCAAAAAACAGGTTTAGCATAATTCAAATTTGCTATTAAGTGGTGAATTCGAGAAATATTCCGCTAGAGATCGCACTGCGCAGCCGTTATGACATTTTGCGGGTTTGTGTTTAAAAAGAAACTTGTTTAGTGTGTGAGAAAATTTTCTCGTGATTATTTCACATTTTCTATCGTAAATACAAAAAAAAGAGACTATTTCTATTATTTAATCGATATACTGAGAAGGCGAGATTACGATGTAAGTGAAATTTTTGCAAAATTAATGTTTTTTAACAGGGAACTATGCATACGCAGAGAGACTGTTGCTCCCGGAATGAATTTTATGAGAAAATCGCAATTTTCTCTGTTATTTTTGTGTCACCGCAGGTTGCGCAATATTGAGAATTTCGATATGGAGGTGTTCGATAATTCCGGGAACAACCTTGCTGAATACCTGTTGGGGAAGAGGAACAAGAAGGTGAGCAAACTCTTTAAGGAACCCGTGAACGAAAAAAGTGAGGTTGTGAAAGTCAAGTACATAAAGAAAAAGGCGCCACCAGCGGCTTTGTACCCGCGCCCAGAGCTTCCAGCAGTGATGACTTCATCAGGTGCATCGTCAAATGGAACCTTGAGCTTCGTGAGTAACATGCAATTTTTCTGCCTTATTGATTTTTTAATTTTAATCCTCTTCGTGGCATTGCAGGATCCTGGCACTACGAGCACTCCCTTTCCGAGACAGAGAAAGGTGGTTTCGTTGCCGAGTCGAACTTCAACACTTACTAAGATTCCGGAGCAAAATCCTCCAAATCCGAAGATATCTACAGAACACAATAGAAGATCCGGAAAGTCCATGATTGGCAGCCAACTATCCGCTTCGAGACAGTTAAGTGAAGCGACTGTTCCAACTCACTTTGGGTCACTGTCATCATTCATTTCATCGGAGCAATCTAACGATTCTAACAGTGACAATGACATGCTCGATGGTTTGCCACTATCAGATGCTGCTCATGAACCTGAGGAGGACGCCTCACAACCCATATATTCTTCAAATACTCCAACGTCTATTGAAGAAGAAAATGAATTTTATGGTTTTACACAGTCTCAGACAGATTTGGAGTCTTTGAGGATGGACATTTGTGAAACTATGGCTAAGACTCCTGCGACAAATGGCAGGCAAAGTCAGAAGACGATCATGAATGTTGTGTCGGTGGCTCAGAACAGAAGCTGCAATAGTTCCTGTAACAATGAAGCCACTATCGTTCCTCGGAATACTGACCGAGTAAACCTAGAGGCTACTGAAGAGGGATCCACCAAACAGAGGATTGAAGCGCCAAATGACGCAACTTCTGGATTTGTAGATTTCAGCTCTCAGCGCGACACAGTTTTCAGTCATCCAAGAGAGAATGTCCTCAAGAATTTTACGACGAATATTCCAGTGATTGCGGAAGTTTCCGAGGTGAACATGAGTCATGAATTGAAGAATTCCAGAATCAATAACACAACTAACAAACGTGCCGGCACAATCACGGTCACGAGTGATTCTGGCATTTGCAAGGGTCCATCTCTAACAGTGAAGGGGTCAAAGAGAACTAAACGAAAGAAGAAGGTAATATGATGAATTTCTTTGGTCTATATGTGCTTATTTTTTTCTCTTTTATATTGCAGAAGCTGGATTCGCCTGTGCAGAAAATAATTCAGCTGGAGAAAAAAATCCGTACATCTATTCCAAGAGCCGCAGGAAAATCTATGCGAAAGCTCTACTCACACTGCAACAGTCAAGATGAGAATGTGACAGAAAATGCGATGGTGAACAGTCAAAGGGAACCAGAGCCTGAACATTCAGAGAATGAGATCGTCCGTGACGTGATTCCCTCAGTTGATCAAGAGATAGACCTGTCACAGTGCTCAGTGGTTGTGAATCGTTTAACAGCGCTGCCACCAGTGGAGAAGAAAAAAGGTCGAAAGAAGAAGGAGAAACCAGAAGTCATCCCACAGGATGAGTTTGGCTTGAGGCGTTCTAGACGACAAAAGTGTGCGCCAATGCCTTACTGGCTCACCGGTTCATCTCGGTATCAGACCTTGAAGGTGCAAACGTACAACGAGGAGGTTCCGCTGAAAAAGCGCTATGCGACTGTTGATCCGAAGGAAGGCACACATGTGTTCACTACAGATTGTTCCCTCTTGATCGAGAAAAAGAAGGGTAAAAAGAAGAAGCAACAAGTGAGGGACAAGAAGAAGCAGAAGCCGAACACTGAGCTGGATGTTTCGGAGATTGAAGAGCCACAGCCACAAAAAACAAAGGAAAAGCCGAAGAAGAAGAAGCCACAGAATACCAGGGATGCTGAAAATTCGGCTGACCGAAGCAAAGACATTCCTGCGATGAGTCAGGATGAAATTTTCAATCAACTGCGGGATGAAGACAATGACCTAAGAATTGCAGAAGTGCTTGAATTCAGTAAAGCAAATTTTATAATCTTAAATCTTTCATTAACTAATAAGGAATCATTTTGTTCCCTCAGAGTCAAAAGTTCACGCCTACATGAAGAAGGAATCAATTGTGCCTGGCATTGATTTGTATGTGAGCCAAACATCTGAGACTTGCGGGTTTATGGTGTTCACGCCAGGAACAAGAAAGAGGAGGTGCCGTGTGACGTCAAATAAATGCGTAAGTGATCGTATATATCGCGTCCTTTAGACTTTCTTAGGGTATTAACTGTATGATGTTCTATTACAGTACTTTGCCGTCACGCGAGGGTCATTTGAGGTGAAAGTGGACGGGGTCAGGAAGCAAACGACAGACAATTCAATAATAATCATCCAGAAAGGTGATATTTTTACGTTTTAATAGCCTGAATATCACATCTAATCCTTTATTCGTCTCTTGCTTTTATTTCAGACATGAAATATTCGCTTAATTATGGGACAGAAAACATAGTGCCAGGAGAAATTACTTTTATAATGATTTAATACATAATTTTCGTATATATTTGACGTAGGGATATCATTCGAATTCACATTTGGCAATAGATTTAAATTTATAAGGCAAGATGCAAGATATTAATAAGTTTAAATAATAATAAATGTTTTAAATAAACAAGTACGATTTAAACGGTCAACAATGACTCTTAGCTGATGACTGCGCTATCTGCAATAAATGATTTTTAGTCATCCGCTACTAGCTCTCAGCTGTGGGGAAAGCAAAATTCTCACTTCGGGATATTTCAACACTTTTTGCTCGTGATCACGCGCTTCGGCCCTAACTCTGATTGTCCGCTAGAGTAGTTCAGCCCTAAAAAGAAAATGTCGCTAAATATACAAAACGTAAAAGAAATGCAACAAATATGAAAGACATGTTTCAACGCCCTTCAGTAGGTCACATGCACTATTACTATTATGTGACGTCGGTGACGTCATAAGTAATGTCGCCATATTAAAATAATGTTTAAACGCCTATACTCAGTAATGAATTTCGATGAGATTCTAGTATGTTGTAGTCCAGGTCAGGACGTTTCAAAATGATTGATAGTCAAAAATTTTGTTCGCAGGTCAAGTTATTTTGAATGAAATTTTGATATACTTTGATAGTCCATATTGAGACGTTTCCAAAATGTGGTCATACTTTTTTGTCAATACAATAGAATCAGAATAAAGGAGGTTTTGAAAAGGCTGAGATCGTACAGTGTTAAAATTAAATAAAAAAAATTATGGAGGTTTGAAATTTTTTGTACTTAATAAAGGTTGTTCAGGTTGGTCACATTTCGAGTTATTTGCGTGCTCGGTTCACCCATAAGCGTTTGTTTATCACGTCTTTTCAGTAATGTCTTGAATCAATTCAGACGATTTTCCTTCACATGATATGCCTTGGGAGTCGTGCAACGCACAATTTCCCACCCTCCAGCCCATGAGCTAATGGTTTCTGCGTCGTCCAGATCTCCAGTGGACTATGCATGAAATTAGAATGGCGAATTGAAAGACGATAAGTCAACGTTCGGATTTCTGAATGCTGAAATTTTATGCGTCTGCCTGTCTGTGGAGCACCGAAAACTTTATTTAAATACCTCTTGTCTGAATACATTTGACGAGGTTGTTGACAAGTTATACTTTTCCGCGTCTATAAGATGACGCAAATTCAAAAGACGTGCAAAAGATGAGAGAATATTTCCTCGTGTGGGCCAAAATGCGGTTTTGGCGTGAGACAAAGGGTGACACGGCGAGGAATTAATTTCCGTGCCTCCGACGGATTCCCGGACTGGCCCAGGTGTGCGGAGAGCGAGGCTATGTTACAAAGTAAAATTAATTGCGAGAGTAATCACGAAAACGGCCACGGGAGCTTTGCTGGTGATTACCATTAAAATAATCACTCAGTCCTATTTAAGGGCAGGCAGAGAGCGTCCCAATCAATGCCCGAGCTGGCTTCCCTGTCCAAAAACAGGCGAGGAGAATAAATGTGCGTCTTTTCAGGTGTTTATGCACTCTGCCCTCGGGTTCTGAGTCGCGTCTCTGCCACTGACTTTCTCGTAATTGCAAGAGGCCAAGTGCCCAGGGAATCCTTTTACGACGTGCATTAATGAGGCTGTGGCGAGTTTTGGGTGTCTCTCAGTCTGCCGAAGATGGCCACGAGAGGAAGTGCTGGCCAAGTGGGAAAAAGCCATTAAAAGGCGATTAAGAATGACTGCGCAGAGAGAGAGAACATTTTTATTTGATGTGCATAATTTCTGGCCGCGACGCGTCCAAGACAAGTTCTCGTTCTTGCATCCCGAGTGTGTCTGCCAACTTTTTGCCAATTGCGCCCCGTCCTCATCCCTCTGATTCGCCACAACACACAAATTGCATTTTGCCCTCCGTGCAGCAAAATGTGTATGCCTGTCTGGCCGCAGTCGCGAGGAACATGCCCCATTTGGGAAGAGAGGTGCACAATGATAATCATCGTTTCGCCTCTGTTCCTGGCTGCCGTGTTCCACTGTAGCCACGGATTTGAACACCTGTCGAGAGACACGACCGGAATGGGCGAACAAGGCGACTCCTCTGCCCCTTCTGCGGCCTGTTCTTGCCCACCAAAAGTGGGTGCGAAGAAGATTTATCGCTCCTGGCCCGGAGAAATGCCCTCCTCGCTGTCTCGCCTGCCCAGACGACTTCACACTTTACGCCCATTTCCGCGCCAGCCCGTGTACATTTTCCTGGGATTTTATTGGCAGAGCCCATCAGCTCACACTCACACGTGACAATTCAATTGCAACGGTAGTCTATCGACAGTTAATCGCGTAACGCCTACAGATTTATCGATCAATTTCATAAATTTGCATAGCAGATATGAGAATTCTCGTTTACAAAAAAGAAACTTTTGAGAAATCCTCTGTTTATTTGCTTTAAGAGCTGACTTTTTTGGTTTTTCAAATTTGCAGAATATAATAAAATATAATTAGAAGAATAATTTCCAAATTTTCAAAGATGTTCCAAATATGAGCAAAAGCTTGTGTCTAAACAAATATTGAAATGAGCTTCGATGCGATAGGAAGTCGGCTCTGATTCTAGGAAATGTTTCTCATAAATTTTAAACAACAATTCTCTCTTAATGTCATATTGATTTAGGCTAAAATAATTTTTCGCGGGAATGAGTGTGTTTTATCCTTGTTTCTAAACGTTGATTTTGTCAGAATATAAAACCCTTATAAATATATTGTTATATTGGAATTTCTATTGCCCTCTAAAATAAAAGAGAATGACTATTTTTTTAAAAATCCTAATGCCTTACAACCAGCTTTTTAATACTGTTATGTCCAAAATTCAATTTAGTCATGACTCTTTTAGATAACAATCAATAAAATATGCATATAATTTAAATTTCGCCAGAGCAGCATTGGAAGATTCATGAGATCCCACTTTTGACAAATTAACATCCAGACGAACCGATTCGACAGCAAATAAGCGGGTTGTACATAAAATTATAATAAATTACTAAGGATGTTTCTGCCACTGCAAACCTAATTGATCATCTTACTATCAGTTTTATGGCTCCACCAACTCAACTGTAATAATTTTGCATATAGAAACAGTCACGAGGCTTGGGCAGAAGTCGACGATTTTGAGGTACTTTTCTCTTTGCCTTGACGATCAAGAGATCGTCTCCGTGCCCTTTTCGCGCGGGCAGTCACTTTCCCATGCATGTCTCTTGGTCCAGACAAATTGACTGTACAGCCAAAAAGACTCGGGCGAGAGATGGGCCGCGATAAGAATAATTGTCAGAAGTGCACAGCATGATAAACAGGCGAAGAGGGCAAGGCAGCCAAAGTCTAATTACACGCGCGCGAATCTGCGTCTGGGATGCATAAAAGTGCAAAAAGGGGAGAGACACTCAGGCACTCCAACAGGTTGCACTGTCTGTAATTTATCACACACGCAAAAAGACAGATAAAATTAAAATGATATTTAAAATTCGCCTTACTCCCGACGCGTCGCCTCACCAATTTGTGCATTTGATTTTAATACACACAGAGTTGATCCGGTGATTTGTCAGATCATCTAGATTATGCTAAAGATAGTCACTTGCTCCGTTGCCAATTCACACGTGATCATCAGCTATGGGAAACTTCTGGCGAACTGTTGAGATACAAATTAAAGATTGGCTACACTTTTAATCTCATCTGTAGGTTTTTCAATTCCGCTGCAATGTGCATTCACATTATATCGTGTCTGGGGCTTCTGTATCAATAAACTCTCAGGTTATACTCGTTTTCTGCCTTCTCACCGTCTGCCACTGTTGCATCCATCACAGCATATCCATTTGCAATTTTATTATTAATTTCGCCAACAGTGACAACGAATTTCGCAGACCATCCTTGATTTCCATCCTGTTTTGGCCTCACCGTCATTATCGCTTCTGTGTGTTTTCCTCTCCTTCTTCCACCCTTTTCTCTCGCGTCCCATTCATATAAATTTTCTGTCACCATCGCCCAAAAGTGCTTCTTAGCACACAATCACTTCCATCTGCTTCATAGTCGCCACAAAATATTGTTGTGATCAATTTGTGCAAATTACAGAATTGTCGATGTGCCAATCTTAAGTATTGTGATTTCCAGAGTAAGTGTGCATGCCTTTGTTGTGTATGTCAAGAGTAGACTTTGGGGCTATTTCATTGCACGAATTACTCTGCTTATCAGCAAAATCAATATCATTTGTTGTTTTTAATATCTTCCATTCATACGCGCAAATGTTTGTGCATGTAAGAACATTTCTCGAATACCTGATGATGCACTTTTCCTGATTATCTGCAATTTCTTACACGAGCAAACGCTCTGAAAAGAATTGATTATTTAGCTATATATACAATGCCATCGAATGCCTTTCTTCTGCCTCGCCAAAATTGCACTCACAAACATCGTGAAAGAATTCACAATATGACCACCAAAATTAGAACATCTCCTGAATTCACCTCATCCTAAATCTAGAACAATCCCAAATTTGTCGAGTGCGAAGAGCAAAAGGCACGCGAAGTAGGTTAGCGCAGTTACGCAACCTGTCCAGACTTCCTTCACCCGCCCGATTTGGATGCCCACTCCAGAGATCAACAGGCACAGTCTCGGGCGAGACAGCAATTTGCATAGAGACGTCTCGCGATGTGACAAATGATTTGTTGCACTTAAACACCCAACAATGAACCACTAAAGTTACAGGGCAGGAGCGGAACGGAGCGTGTATTGTGTGGATCCTTTTACGATTGTCCCTGAAATTTTGCGTGGAAAATACAGCATCGCCTCAATCTCTGTGGTTTTTTTTCTGTGGCATCTAAAACGAAAACAGGTTAGTTTCTATTGTGATTGCAAATAGGCGAGATGATTTACACATTGTTTGAGGTGAGAAAACAAGACAAGACAAATTCGCCTCATGTTGGCCAATTTACAAATCTAATGGGCGATCATCTAAGCGTGGCCAGGATTGTTTTTTCGGAGAGCGCAGCTCCAGCGTAAATAGATGCACTATTTTGAGCCAAGCGTGCTGAATTGCTGATGAGATGAGCACCACGAACCTGGGGGACACACATTCTGTATTGAATAAATACAAGAAAATCGCCTCTATTATGCGTCTGGGGCGATGGATGACGACCACATAAATCTATCCTTAATCTTATGCCACATTTCCATACACACACCTCATGTCGCGACGCTGGAAAATTGCGCCGCTGGTCTCATCTCTACTTCTCTCTCTCTCTCTCCGCATCTTGGCACTAATTAGCCATGACATGGAGATGCTGTCCACAGTCTGGGAAGGGAAAGTATGTATAATGGGTAACCGCAGGTTGTGCTCAAGTGCGCGGTCTGTCGAGACATTGATAGATCTGTACCTTTTCTAACTTCTGCAGCCGCTTTTACCATGCAACTTAGTTGCTGTGAGTACAACTGCGTTGGCTACTGTTTAATTCATGCTCCCTCGGCACACCATCCCGCGCGCCCGTCCCACCTGGAACGAGTATGTTGTGCCCCAGACGGCGAAACCTGAGGTGATTCGCGTCCATGAATAAAACAGACGGACAGACAGGCACTTCGCCATTTGAATATTGTAGGAGCTTGGCGCAAACACTCCAGACGCGTCCACAGATGTGGCTAGATTGGAATAGCTAAGATGATTACACAAGTCTATTGTGGAGATGCTGGGCAATTTGTGTGACCACAGTTTTGTCCTCACAACACTGCCACCGCCGCAAAATTGACCAATTCCGGCGTCAAATTCAATTTTTAGGCCTCTGCGTACAGTGAGAAATTTCGTTGTAATTTGTGCGTGTTTATTGAAGATGATGTTTTAAATCAGAGTTGAGACACTGAAGTTTGAGATATTGCTCAAAAGATAGAATTTGACTGAGGCAGTATTTCCACTGAGAACCAATATTTTTTACTACTTTTCTTGACGTGTGAACAAAATCTTAACACTCAGGTGCTTTAAATGAATTTTTAAAAACTCATTTGAATCTCGTGCGTCATTGCAAAGATTGTATAAGTTGGACATGAGCTTCGAAGAATGTGTAGACAATTTAATTTGCGACATTTGGCAGTTAGAATGAGTGTGAACATATGTTTTATTGAAATAAAAATTCACAAAGGTATTTCAAATTATCTCTTATTGAAAGACTTGCAATACAGTATCTATTAATCCGTATCTAAATAAGACTTCAACTCTGATTGATTTGGGAAAAATTCAAGGATCTCTCAGTACAAAAATCTACTTAATCACCATCAGGTCACTGACCTGGCTATTCTTATCATTTTCGATGGCAACAATTGTAAATAAAAGCACATCATAATTGCACAATTGGAGGCAATTGCTGAAGATAGTTGCGAATGGAATTTCAATTTCCCATGGAGTATTTATCATTCCACATTTGGCACATTCGTAATCATGGCATAAGCTGCAAGCCTGTCTCAGCGTTAAAAATTGTCGATATACATATGAATGCGCACTTGATATCAGATACCGCACATTCCACATGAGGCGCAGCCAATAATCTTGAGACGTCAGCGAATCCAGAGAAGTGTGTCTGGTCTAAGAAATAATTGGCGCGGAAGGAGGGTGAGAAAGTTTGATTAGAGCCAATTGATGATAAGTGAAATCCGGTGCGTTTTGGGGGACAATTTAGTCTAATAGATTATTTAGACAGGAAGTGGCCTATAATTCGTAGACGAGCCTCTGTCTCTCGCACTTATTTTGGAATAGCTAGACATATCTAGCCAATCAGGTGGACAATGGGATGATTTATCTGCCTCTCGCGTGGGCCACTTTCCATCCAGGCGACTCCGCGTCACGAGACTCGTTGGCAATTCCCTCCACGACGCCGATGAGCCTTTGACGCATTTACGCACTGGGTGGGAAGCACCACCTCGAATTTGGGATAATTTAATTCAATTTGCGAGTGCTCTCATGCGTATGGTGCGTGCCACTGTTTCAAGTGGAAAGATTCCGGTGACATTTCGAGGACGACAGAGTCAAAGAAATTACAAGAAAATAAATTGATATGTTGATACTTCATCCAATAGAAATTCGTCCACTTCCTCATAAAGGAGATCGATCTCTGTTTCTGTGATTCACAAGTCTCTTCCAGTGAAGTGTCTCGTTTTCGAGGAAACACCCCAGTCTCGACGGAGCGACAGAAAAAACCGAGAAGAATGAGATTTATCTCTCATCTGCAGGTGATTATGTGGCGAAGAATGTTGAAATAGATGCCGTAGACGAAGCAAAAAATCGGCTAAGGAAGAAGTTCCACAAAAGTGTGTCGAAATCAAAACATTAATCAATAGCCAGACGATGGAAGATCGATGAGACACGCACAAGATGACCGTTCTTTTTGTTGCGACCTCCTAATACTGTATAAATTATGGCAAATTGGCTGGACAAATGGGTGAAGGAAAAGAACGACCAGAATGCGATTGTCTACCCTGATTATGTCTTAACGGTTAACAAGAAAATTATTAGTAATACTCCAGGTCCATTGATGCTTTTTTCGAGGAATTCTCCTCATTGGACGCTACTGGTGAACCGCCTTTTCTCACGAAATATCGCTACTTTTGCGAAATTTCACCGGAAATACCATTGGATTTGATGAAGAGGCGCGAGTATTAGAATTCTATGAAGTCTGCTCTTCTCTCCTTGCTTGGCTACAATTACATTTAATATTTAAAAAAAAAATGAGAATATTTAATCAAATCACAGCCGTCACAACAGTAATTAAATATTCAACAAGCAATGAAAATTATAATAAAAATCACAAGTTCGCACGTGACGTAATATAAATTTTAATTAATAAGAAAAATGGCGTAATTGACGAGAGATGAACAGAGATCTCAGTTAAATACTTCACGATGTCGCGTCGCTCCGAAAAGTGCCAAAAATGGCAGAAAAGCATTGCCAGTGAAAATCAGTGCTGCGGAGAGTGCAGATGATTTTGGAGGGAAAGATTCAGAGGCGGATAGGGGTGTGCTCGAACCCCACTTTGCCCACGCCCATGCTTCGTGTGAAAAGTACCGAAGGCACGAAGAGAATAGCACCATGATCTTGTGTATTTAAAAGCTAAGAAACCGTGCGCGAAAGATCATTCGTTTGTAGAAGTTTCTTTACGTTAGATATTATCCTCTATCCAGAAGCGACTTCACTGATATATTTAGTATCTATTGGGACTTTGAAGACGTTGGACGCTTTTCACCATTTTTCCTCCACGCGCGACCGATCAATTGAGGCTCTGTGATCTTTTTCGCCGAGTGTGATTTAACAATATACGTGGCGAATTATGACTTTTCTCAGCGGTGAATAGTGAAAAAGATAATTTTTGAGCGCAAATAATCAGACAATTTAGGCACTTTTGGGGTGCATTTTTGATTCTCGTGATCGCATCGCGTTTTTTCATTGGAAATCCATATACATTTTCACGATGGGAAGCATTCGACGGGCTGGCGTGATCGAGGGATTGATGGTGTTGAGCATCCTGCTCTCGGTGGCCGTTCTCAGTGCTCCTGTGACGCCGGAATTCGAGTCGGGCACCATCCTGGACCTCAACAATCCCGATCCCAACATCCTCCGCCAGTACAACATCAATATCACGACGATTCGCAACCGCCAGGCCGCCCTGAAGAATCGCAATACCTTCATGACGCCTCCGTCGAGCATCAGGAACAATGAGTCCTTCCTGCACAGCAGTCCCAGCTCCACGACCATCAATCAGCGAAGAATGTGAGTATGATCGTGAAAAGTGCGCGATGGTGGGTTTATTTATAATAATTGGGAATTCGTGGAAGCAATTTGGCATACCTTCCCGACAGCGGATCTGGGTTGGAAATTGGTGAAATTTCGAAAGTTGTAATTTTCCCACACGTCGATTTGGTGCGCACGGAGATCTATAGATAGAAAATGCATGTGAAGATGTCGAACTTGCGGTGATATTTTTAGTCACTTTATTCCACCCATAATTCAACATGAAAATGCATACATTCATCCAAAGTGGGATATTATTAATAGAATTCGCGCTATTATCTTCGTGTTGTCGGCACGCGCAAAAATATCTCCCATACAGATTCCCAAATGACAAGGAGTTTGATATTTGAGCGAAAATCAACACTATCATCATCGCAACTCCCGAAAATCCACAAGCGTGCGCCCATCCTTCCAGGATGGCGAGCGCCAAATCATGCGGCGAACGCTCAACAAGAGCTAATTTTAACAGTGACTTTCGCGGACGGCGGACTTGCAATAAATTCTTATTGTGCTATTTTGTAACGCAATTGCTGTGTGTGCGCCTTGCGTGGTTATGTAGAATCTGTCTGGCCGGAGTCTAGCATTGAAATCCGCAAATGAACTTTTTGTAGGTCGATTTGACAAGAGTCAGAAGAATGCATTGAACGTCTGGCAATGCAGCAGAGCAACACCTTCAGAGGTCTCACTCGCCGTCTGGGGGATCCGCTTTCGCGGATTTGTCCTCCCTCTCGAGCCGGATCGAATAGTGTCTGCCCAGACGGAATAACTGTTGCCACACTCGCGTCTGGCCACGGGGATCTTGATTGCAAGAGTAACACGCTCCGTGGCTGAAACTCTTCCAGACAGTCAGTCGAGAATTTATGCATGAGTTCCGACACTCCAAGTGTCCAGTCCAGATATGTTTATCGCACATTTTCCGCCACAGATTCGCACACGACCGTCTGAGATGACTCACGCTCGACTTTTGGCTCCTTCCCTCTGAATTTTCTATATAGGAACCAACGCTTCGGTATTGAAATTGCAAATAAAATTTTACATAGAGAACTGTGGGGTTTTTCAGCACGCTTTTTTTCCTTTCATTGCTTCATATTTATAAAATAAGAAAACTCATCTCTGTTAAATTTGAAGAGCAAACAGGTAATTTAAACGCTGAATTCCTAAGATTTTCTAAGAGATTTTTCTGCGATTGAGCTTAAGATATATACCCCAAATCTGTCCAAATCTCCCCTATTCCATACTTTATTTGTAGCAATTTGTGGTTCTTGTTAGTTGACATTAGACCATCATTATACATAAATTTCTTGATGGGTTCATTCATTACCCTTCAACTGAGGCCTTAAAAGGATGTCGAGGATGTCTTAATTATTCGTTATGGCAAAAATCCCCCCCCCCATGATTGTTAATTCTAAAGACCAGGGATGACTTTATCATGGAAGTTGTGGACATTTTCCACCTCATTAATGTGGCTGCAGGTAATTCCATTGGAGTTAATTGCTTGCGGAAATGGACGCACATCTCAGAGCCATTCAACGTCTGGGGCGATGAAAGATGCCACAGCCAGCCAGACAATTAAATTGTTCCCATTTTGTAATTTTCTAGAGACGCTCGATGTTCTTTTTCTCGTCACTCTCTCTCCCCGTCCCGTAATGCTAGGATGTCTGTCTCAATGGAATTCGATCGATTTGTCCAAGGCGAGACTGGTTAGCGGAGAACTAGTTGGGTGCACTGAGGGGTCCAGACAGCATCAAGGGCCTGGAAGGTCATACGGTTTTCGGGGCCTCCCGCGCTAAATTCCCGGCGGTGCGCGATGAGTCTTAGCGACCGCACGCTGGCTGAACAAATAAATTATGTAATACGAAATAAATGCGGAAATAGAGTGGAAGGAGACGCGATGGCCATTAATTTTCGTGAATGTGCATCATCGAAGCCCAGACGAATTGTCTGGCTCGAAAATGCGATGGAGTGGCGCGGGATGAGTTGATGAGGCTGAAATGCGAGGGTGACCATTTAATGGAGCAATCATATTATTTTATTAGAACGCGACAGAGCAGCTCCGTCAGATCGATTGAGATTGAGGAGAAATTGACGAAGCAATTAGCCTTGGCCCAAGGCGCTCCTGCTTATAACTCGAAGATTCCTCTCCTCGCGGTCACAGAAAGTTCGCAATCTAGGGAGCACGACAATTAGTGCAGCTGTAATTGCACATCAATCAATTGGCAAACACTGAATGGCCATACCTTCAGATGAGATGCGAGCGTGTGGAATTTAGAAAGATATCTCCTTAATGATTTAATCATGGGCAATATTGCTGCGCCTGTGTTGTCCCCTGTCGCGTGATTTCCCTCTCTTTCTTGCCACTCTCTTCGAGTAATTTATCACTTGGCTGCCTCTGGACTGCAGACGTCTGTCTATCAGTTTTATCACGATATTCCGCATATTATTTGATGCAGTTGAATGCAGCTCTTCACTTCTTTTTTCTCCCTCCTTCTTCTCCGTCTCGTCGCACACATTTAGACGGTCTAATGTCGTTTGGGTGACCTTCAAGAAATACCCGAAAAACCACACTCGTCAATTGATTCACGTATTTCAAGCTTGTTCCTCCGGGACTTGGTTTTGGTGTGTATCTTTTCACGCGAATTTTTCCACGTTGTACCGCGCACGTACACCTGAACATATGCTAAAAAATGGAAGTCAACCAACTAGGAAATTAACCCATTAATAACATTTTTTTCAGTTTTGAGGAGAAAGCCTTGGAAAGCATCCGAGAAACTATATTCAGGAACATTTTGCGGAATGACACGAGACCTGGCGGAAACGAGCCAATTTCCCATGATGTTGCGGCCTATTCACTTTGCCAGGCGCCACGCAATACTAATGAGACGTTCTGGAATGAAGGAAATTCCTACAATTTATACTTCGAACCGCCACAAATGTCGGCCAACATGAATTTGAGTGCAGCCACTCTTAGGTAAATCTTCTATATATCTCGTCCTGTTGCATGGCTTCTCATCACGATCTCATATTTTCCAATTAGACTGTACAAAATTGAGACGCCGGTGTCGGAGAGGAGGAACCAGACGAGACAGGCAAACGACTGCGGCCACGTGGACGAGCTACTCCGAATCACCGTGTCGGCCTACGTGAAGAAGCATCGTAAAGGTTTTTCTAACATTACAGCCAAAGGACCGTTCGACTAAATTGATCTCTCTTGCTTTGTTACAGCCGAACGCAAGAAGCGCATCTACAGCAGCACAATGGTGGACAAGTCCTTCGTCGGCTGGGTGGAGCTTGACGTGAGACAAGCGGTGAAGCTGTGGGAGAAGCCCAACAAGAATTTAGGTCTGGCCATCGACGTGCACGATCAAGACGAAAACTCCCTGAGAGCATCACAATTCTTCTTCCAGCACAGCTGTGAGGCATGTGAGTGTGCAATTGAGTGCTATCTAACCCTATATTAACCAAGATGATCGGTCGATGAGACATTATCACCTGGGCCACAGTGCACATGCAGTGGCACTCGGCACGACGTCGCAATTGCATATTTTCTCACGTTTCCCCAACACCACATAAGACATGGGACACGATCACCGGTCACATTACAAGCGTACACAATTGATATCGCGCGCATAAAATTCTTCCGACACTATATTTCCCTCCCAACACACTTTATATAGTCAATGAAGGAGTTGAATGGAAATTATGCACAATCAACGTCTACACATCGTTTTGTATTGCATAGACATTTCCCCGGACTCGAGACGGATCAGCAATTTTCGGACGATGCCTGGTAGTATCAGTTTTCTTGAGTTCAATCGCTAACAATTCTAATTGTGATGTTAATCTTTTTTTTGCATCTCGTGTAAATTTTCGTGTTGTCTTTTGCTTCTGTGGTGTCAATATATGCATTAGAATGCTCATGTCACACTGTTATTAATGCCAAGTCAATTCACACTGAAATCTTTTTCTATAGCAGCCCCGTACCCCTGGACCTTTCTTCGTAAAAGTGCCTGGCCTTATTCTTCAATGGAAAAGGTGCCTCGGTGAGTACACTTGTTTAACTTAAAGAAACCTTATGCGATATTGCCTTGTGATCCAATCAAATTTCAATTCATTTGAAAGCTCTCTGAAAAAAAAATGCTTTTGGCACATTGAAAGCTCATAAATTCCCCGCAAACAGTGTCGAATCAGCTTTACTACATTTTATTCTAAACATGGTCTTATATTATAGCCACCCCAGAATAGACTTCAAGTTCTGCTCCAAGCCGCTATCCGAAAGCTCAGAATTCCCGCCCTGGTCTCATCACCACTCCAGATCGTCCTCTTCGGATTCATCCCCGCAGGACGCGTTGGAGGAGGATGACAATGGGTGCATTCACCGCAAGAAGCGACGCCACATACACCATAACCACTCCAGAACTCACGCTTAAACTGCACACTTTCCCCGGCCGAAAGGGTTAACGCGGAACACGGAAATTCCACGAGACGCCCTGTAGAGGCGAAAAATCAGTCACAAGTGTGTGCAACGCTTTTTCTTCATCTGACCGCGCTATTTCTTCGCTCTTTCGCGATCATATTCTACAATGTCGCCACTGTATTTTCCTTGAAAGGGAATGCAATGAGACGTACGGAATTAAACAAATACAACGAATACAACACAATACTTAAAGGTTAGCATTTTACAGCGCGATGCTTTTCCGTAATTGCGCGCGCTGTGTAATAATGGTTAAGTATAGAATTAGTTTTTTTTTACTGCAATTATAATTTTAAATTATTATATTAATAATTTCTGTTGAAAAATCCTCACTGCTTGAGGCAAAAATACTTCATAACGCTCATTTGCAATGAAATTTGTACAGGTGCGAAGTATATTTCGGGAAAAAAATCATTGATTAGTTTCACGTTTGACGACTTCTGTGGTGAAAACAACACCCTAAAGAATTTGGGCGGCTATACTGAAAACTACTCTTTGTATATAATAAAAATACTCTATTTGATAAAGTTGAGCTTCTTAGTATGTAGAATTTAGATGTAAGTTAAAACATGAATGGGAGGAATAGGATTGAAAATTTGGTATGATCTTTTTCGGAGGGATAGGAGAAAAATTGTAAATATACTATTTAAATTTCACAACTTTAAGAAATGTGCCTTAGATAAGATCGCAGCACCGTATCCTCTCTATCTATTAGTCTGTAGGACATGGAAGATCATTCTTTGAGAATTAGAGCAATTTCAGGACATCTTCCGCATGACAAATTAATTTTAATTTTATACAAACATTTTTTGTATGTTTTTAACAAGAATAAACATATTTTGGTAACGATGTGAGTCAATGATCAATTTCTGGTGACCAAATATAGGAAGACACGCGATGCAGAAGCGCGATGGAACTGTGAAATATCACAGTTGTGGGAATTTGGATTACAGGCGGTGTCGTCATTCATTACCATATATTAGATGGATGGAAAGAGGTGCTAAAAAACGTACTGGTTAAGCAAAATATACAGCGACTTACTTCCGATTTTAAAAGTCATTTTCGTCCACTATCTTGTACGTATGAATCGTCATGCATATTCATGGTCAAGTTAGATTGTTAAGGTAGTAGCTCTGGCTAAGGAGTCAGTTCTTCAGTGAACGTGCAACTGATCGCATGTGCTCTACAGGTGCTCTCATCAAGTTCACAGCCAGTTTGTAGTGACCACAGTTGAGTGTGACTCGTTCATCTTTGCCTTCGAAGTGCGCCGAGAAAATGCAGAGACTGATAGACGAGCGGAAGTTCGATGGTAAGGAGGAGAAGCTGGAGATCCAGGAGCCGGATATGGCTTTGTCCACGCCCATGAGAGACTTCTTCCGTGGCAAGAAGGTCCTCATCACGGGCGGAACAGGCTTCATTGGACGACTCCTCGTGGAGAAATTGCTCAGGTAAATCAGTCCACTAATGTGCTCAATAATTCTAGTTGCTAATTGCAAAAATGTGTGACAATGGGTGAGCAGAAAACAGGTTGGGTGATTAGAAGGGGCAGCAGCATTTTTGCATTTTCATGCGAGACGCATGGAAAATATTCCACGCGCACGAGCGAATTAATGTTTTGCCCGTTTGCATGTCGCATTTCCTGCAGAGTTGGGGTCAGCATGGTGTACCTGGTGGTGAGACCGAAGAAGGCCCAAGTCGCCAAGCAGAGGATGGATGAGCTGAGCCAGGGCGCAATATTCGATCGCCTGCGCCTCCTGGATCCCAACTTCACGGATCGCATCCACCCAATCGAGGGAGATCTGTGTCTGCCCGATCTGGGACTCGATCGAGAGAGCATAGAGCTCCTGGAGGACAATGTGGAAATTGTCATCCACGCGGGAGCCGATGTGAGATTCGACGAGACACTGGCGGCCGCCGTGCAGGTCAATATCCGCGGCACAAGAGATATTCTTGACATGGCGGTGCGGATGAAGAAATTGGAGGTAAACACCTTTCACCTCACTCTGCACTTTTTGGCCAGCACTCTTCCACCGGCATGACTTTCAGTCTCACGTCGCGGTGGCACAATTTTTTCAACTAATGAAATTGGGGAACAATTAGAATTGATGTTGATATACTTCCCCATTTTTCGACTATTGTGACACACTCCCCAAATGCTGATTGAAGTGGACAAATGTAATTCAAACAATTTGAGTCATACACTTAACCGGTCAATCACCTGGCCATTATTGCAAATTAACAGAGTCCAGTCGTTCATTCTTAAGAAATTTAAATATTCCGTGTTGCGGTCGCACGTGATTATTCTGAAAGACATTGTCAAGGAAACGGGATGGCGAATGCACGGGAAAAAAATTGACCTGACCTTTGTACAGGTCTATGCGAATCTTGGTGATCGAGGGGGATTCCCTTGATAACATTTCATCTCTCACTTCCAGGTTTTTGTGTACGTTTCCACGGCGTACTCGAACTGCCCTCGGCGCGAAGTGCACGAGCAATTCTACAGCCCTCCGATGGATCCCTACAAGATGATTGAGCTGGTGGCTCGTGTGGAGCGCGGGGAAATCAGTGCGGATGACTTGAGCACTCTCTCGGCAAAGATTATCAACCCATGGCCCAACACGTACTCATACACGAAGGCGCTGTCTGAGGGCATGGTCAAGGACTACGGTGAAAGGCTGCCAATTGCAGTTGTACGACCTTCCATTGGTAACAACCGCCTGACATGCCAGAAGCCACTTCCGACTTTGAACACATTCCCTTCTTATTGCAGTGATCGCGACCCACTCGGATCCGTTTCCGGGCTGGAGTGAGAATGTCTACGGCCTCAATGGGATTCTCGTGGCATGCAGTCTGGGACTCTTGCGTGCCCTGTATCTCCGCAGTGATTATGTGGGTGATGTTATCCCAGCGGATTTTGTCTCCAACACTGTTCTGGCTGTGGCGTGGCTCACGACAAAGGAGAAGTGAGTAGAATCTTGCTTAATTCTTCAACTATTCCCAGTTCACCATAATATTGTGACTGGTTCTGCCTTTTTTGCATCTTCAACACAATCCTTAATTGCATGAATACATCTTAATGCTGTCTTTATTGCTTTTATACATCTGATATTTATATTGATACTTAATGTCGGACAATAAAGTGTTATTTTTATACATTTATTTGACTCGAATCTCTTTCAGGTCGGTTAAAGCCGATGCAGAAGTGGAGGAAAAGGAACCCCAGAGAACAAAGATCTACAATTGCACCAGTTCAGCGGACAATCCAATAACTTGGGGTGAGTTTTCAACGATCCGTTCTTGATCAGAAAACTAATTAGTTAATTTGCAGGCCTCGTAAATGATTCCATGTACAAAATCTACGAATGTTATCCACCTAAGCGCGGCCTCTGGATCAATTGCTTCACATACACTCGCTATAAGCTCCTCTACACCCTCAATGTAATCTTTTATCACGTCCTGCCAGCGATTCTGCTGGATGTGATCTTCAAATTCGGTGGCAAGAAGCTGCGTTTGCTGCCGGTGTACCGGAAGATTCAGAAATTTACGGAAGCCTTGTCGTATTTCACCACAAACGAGTGGATGTTCTACAATAACAACATGAGACATCTGTACAAGAGTCTTGCGCAGGAAGACTACGAGTATTTCCCATGCGACGTGAAGAAGATGATTTGGATGGAATACATTCATGACTACGGCAAGGGGATGCGTCGTCACATCGGTAAGGAGACGATGGACACACTTCCCGAGGGACGCAAGAGGATGTTCAGAATAACAATTCTGCATAACATCATCAAGGGTCTCTTCTATATGTTCTGGGCGGCAGTTATCTACGTGATTCTGCGCTTCTACAGAATCATTGATCCCATCGACTTTTCAATGTTCACAAGGAGCGAATAATGCGGCATCATCAGGTGGGAAATGCCCTCCTTGAGTGGGGACTTGAGAGTCCAGCAAAGCCAATCTTAAGTGTATAATTCTTGTTGATGTTTTGAGCACTCCTGAGGCCGCCCCGTAAAAATTCTCACACCAGCACAGCTTCAGGTTATTCAATTTAATTAAGAGTATGGAAAATGTTGCTGCCAAGCATCAGAGTTGATGTTGTTGGCCAAAGGTAGATAGAATAAACAGATTTCGGATTTACCATCGAGACTTTGTGGAACAGATAGAAGACCCTTCGTTGAAACTTCTTTGAAAGCGTGATATCTTTTATATTTTATCTCTCAACTAGGCAACAACTTTCGTCTACTTATTAAGTATCACAGTGGAACATTTCGCCCCAAAAGTGTGGGTTTAAAATTCGCAGCGTGTCGTTTTAAGGGTCCCCCGCTGAACTTGCACTTAAGCGTTAATTTATTTAGGAAGCTTTTAACATAAGAGTTTTTCTTTTTATTACACTTCTTCATGCCAATTATTTATAATTCAATTTTGTACACCTGAATGCATAATGAGACACTCGAGGGAATGAGGATTAAAATGACTTCGCGCTAATTTGTAATTTATTTGTAAAATACATTCGACTAAAATTTTCCAAAGGTGACTTGAACTAATTTTTTTTTTCATCTGACAAATGTGAGTTAGAAAGGAGATGAGAATAAAGCGTGAGATTTCCACTTTGATCCTAAAGCAAAGAAAAAGTGTCCGCAAGCCAATATTTTTCGACATCACAGGGACGGAAAATTGATTTTCCCAATCTTCAACTGATAATCCTCAAAAACAAGCAAACAAGGTGGAAATTGAATTGAGGGTGAATCGATGGCTGTGGTATGGTGACATGGAACTCATTTATCACATGATCACCAGATGAAATCGTGTCGCTTCTCATGTCTCATTAATCCACTGTGGAATTGCCCTATTTCACCCTCAATTTGCTCCGATAAAAATTCCCATGCTGTCCCTCATTTTTCACCTGCTAATGGGCCTTTTCATTTCCACCTCAAATTCATATTGCATTTCACAGCTTTTATGGAATATTTCTGAATTTAGCATGTACACATGTTGGAAATTTTCCACTCGCAATTTTCCCGCCCACACAAAATCCCCCTGGAGATAAATTGTGAAGGGAAAAGACCTCTAAAAAGTTTATTGAAATGCTATTTATGACCGTGGGTGGCAATGCTCATAAAGATGCATGTTCGTGGGGGGATAAAATCTAAAATATATCTCATGCTCAAAATAAGTATCTGATAAATGCGAAATTAATTCAACAATGATTTACTGAAAGCATAAAAATGCAGAACATCTTGCTTTCTCCCGAAAATTTGCGCCTCACACCATACTGTCAAACTTGATGACCTTCAATTAAATGCCATGTACAAGCGTGCATACGAATATTCATTTCAACTGCATATCGAAATCTGGTTTTCTCTACTGAATTTCCTCTGCGAATTCCCAGAAAGCTTCATCACCATTCTCAGAAACGGGCTGCAGTTTTTCCCCATGTGTCGTGGATGCCAATGAAAATTTGTCGTGGCACCATTTCGATGTGTCACGTTCAATTCGAGAGGGTGTTAAAGAGATATTTGTGCCTCCCACGCACTGTGAATAAAAAAGGATTTTAAGTATTAAGCGAGATGTTACGGAAGTACAATAAAATAAGCGATTTGGGAGAACTTTTGTGAGTTATTGTGGGGTGACTTTTCTCCTTTCGCCACGGGAGAATTTTCGTGGAAATGCGCGCGAGAGAGAGGGAGTAAACAGAGTTGAGAAATATCTAGTTTAAGTTAATAAACAGTCTGTGTTATCAAGCGAATGCCAGTGACGACAGAGACCCACATTCCAGAGACGATCGAGTTATCAGTTGATCCGCGACTCTTGCCGCTTATCAACTCGGGAGCGATGGCCTGAGAGCGCGGGCAGTGAGCATGAGAGATGTTCTCCAAAGGGGTCAAAATGCAGGAGAAAGACACGTGGTTCGTGCTATTGATTCGCCAATCGCTCCTGCGCCAAATCTTCCCCCTCACCAGAGGTTGGCTGGAGAATGGCAAGCGACGAGAGATGCTCCTCAGTCTCAGCCAGAAGTTCTTCCGTGTTGGCGGGCGCGCCCCCAGTTGTGGGTGAAGTTTCTGTGTTTGTCCACCTCCCCGCACAGTTTTCACCTCCTCTCGTGGGCTCTTTGTTCCAAAGGTTCAAGTGCACCGAGCCAAAAAATTAATTCACGCCGCCTGGCAGGATCAATAATTCACTTCCGACATCCAGTCAGGGCTTTCTTCAGCACTCCTTGGAATTTTCACGGACTTCTCCGGCCACTGTGGACAAGCGATGGAGCCAGAGCGACGAAACACCGCCACGGAGTTCAGCTATATTCTCCACAGGCAGGTGAGAAGCGGAAATTTTCTGCTATTCCGCTGTGATGTTGACTTGAGTGCATCCTGAGTTTTCTGTGCATCATAATTATGTCACACCACTGAAGGACACCTCGGTGCGGGAGTGGGAATTTTAGTATTCAGTCTGTGAAGGAATTTCACCAAGACTTTCCACATTTGCGGAATTTTTTCTTCGCCAGCATTCTCTTATAAGTGCTGCCCTTCAATGAATAATGGAATTTCACTGGAGAAACGCCTACATAAAAATACCGTCACTTTCACACATCCTCAACGCGTTTCACTGCAGGAAGTTCTCCTCAATCCAACAGAGAGTCAATCATCAAATGTCACCTGCAAATGATGTCGTAGTGAAATGAATAAATCCAATTGATTTTCGGAGGCCAAATTTGATGGAAAAATATGCGCTTTTATCAATTTCCCCAAACAAATATTAACTACGTAAAAATAATTGACATGAGCGGAAACCGAAATCCTCACAAAATACCATTGAAAATGTGTTTCACCCAACATTTCAAGTGCTGGAAAATTAATTAAATATTTAAAGAGCTTATGGCGCAATCAATCATCACAATTGGATACCCTTCAATTTGGCGCGAAGGAGTAAATTTGATGCTGAAAACAATCCTGTGCACGTCAACCCATTCCTAAAGCACCACGCAAAGTGGGTGGAATTGAGTTTGAATTTTTCAGTATGCGGTTTGCATTGAAGCAATAGAGAATTCCAATCTAAAGTATTTTCTGCTGAGTTTCTTCGTGCAAATAGTTGGCAAACTTTCTCTCAAGTGCACATTCAAAAATGACATTTGCAGTGTGAACTGAGTGTGAAAATCAATTGAATTTTCATTGGAGAACTAGAAAATAATAGAAACGGATGAAATACGTACATAAAGTAAAAATGTTGCGTGCAATTGATTGCATGAAACCAAAATGAACACAAAACAGACAAAACATCCAAAGTTATTTCTATTGCTTGGGATTATTGTAATCTTGAATGTTGGGTGTAAATATGGTAAAGAAACCACATGGGAAATGAATAATTTTCCTGAAGAATCACTTCCCCGAGGGGAAAATCCCTCTAAGATCCACCAGTTGATGACTGTGACGCACTCATTCACTTTAACCCCTTTCACCCACTTTGCCCAGCCGCCCACACAACCCTTTCGTTGAATGCAGGTGATGAGTTAAAGTGCGACCACACTCCAGAATTATAACAGACCGAGCGACAAGGTGTTTGGTAATGAAGAAGGGAATGAAATTTTCCCTTGAGAAACACACGCCATAAAATGAAAGCAGAGTTGTTTGATTACAGATCTCATTCTCTTAACCTGTGATTTTGTGTAAAATTGGTTGTTATTCCAGAAAATGGATTGCATGTTTAGATTTGCAATCCTTGTATAGAGAATTAAAGTGTTTTATATTTCATTCTGAGCAGTCATCGACGTGGTTTAATTGAAATTTCACATGCTTTCTGTGAATTTGTCTGTAAAATTTATTAAGAAACACGATATTTAAAATTTAGGTTGATATAAATTGAGAATTGCATAAATCGACTATGTTATATTTTACTTAACGTAACGACGACAAGTTTTGAAATTTGTGATTTACCAGATTTTCACAGAACATGCTTTTGCTAGCGCCAAAGAAGCGCAAAATTCTCCTTGAAAATCTCTTCCGCAATCGCATCAACTCTGTTTGGGAAGTGTCTGAGCGATGAATTTCATATCTCTTTGTTCTTTTGTGATTCCATCCTGTATATAGCGAGACCTTATGGGATAATCCCTATTATCGCCATGACCATTTAATGAAGTTCCCTTCCAATATTGACTATACGGCGAGTGGGTGAAATGGGATAATTGCATTAGTGGAATGCCGTGAATGCGGAGGGCATCCGCCCACCCGCCCCGGGCCACTCGAGTGGGTGGCTCAGATGGGTGACGCGACATGAGGGCACTTGTAGGGCGACCGACAAGTGGGGAGCAGGCTGAATAATTTGTCAGCAACACATGACGATCTCGAGAGTTGATTATGACGAGGCCTCTCATAGTGCGTGATTTCATTTTCCACCCCTTTTCTTTCCGAAAATCTTCCTGCATATTTAAATTAAATTAATGCCACATTCCCATCTAACTCGTCAGTAATTTCCCCAGCCGTGCAAATTAGTCAAATTACACTTGAGAGCATCACAAGTTTAATTGGTCGGAATGGAAAACATAAGTTGGGACACATCTTCAAAAGTACCTAACTGTTTGCGAAATCGATCAATATACCGAAATTGGATGCTTTTGAGTATTTGCAGGCGTAGGGTATTAATTGAACGGTGAACAGAATCAGATTTAAACCTCAGTTTTAATTGAATGATGAGCTCCTGCGAAAAGCCTCTTAGGAATCACTTTTTCCAACTTCCCGTGGGAATTTGAATAAATTCGCTGTGGAAAATATTTTATAGATGTGATTGAAAGCGATTCTTCTTTCCTTGCCACTGACCTAGTCTGGTCCGAGAATTTATCTGGGTCACCTTGAAGCTCTCCTGCATTCACTTGCTAATTTTTCCCGCCCTCCTTTGGCCTTTTGCAGGGCTCTGATGACTCAGTGGAAGCGCACGCTTTTGATGACATCAAATCCCTGATAAAGGTGAGTTTAATTGCACTAATGCTAAGTGATAATTGCTGTTGGTAATTGCTACGCCTGCAGAACGATGCTGCCGCCAAGACGGACTCGTTGTCGTCCCTGCCGCAGGCGGCCTTCAACTACATCAACTCAATTGTGGGGAGCGGCGTCATTGGCATTCCTTACGCCTTCCACAAGGCGGGCTTCGGACTGGGGATGCTTCTGCTCATCCTCGTGGCCTACGTCACGGACTACTCCCTCATTCTCATGGTGCGCTGTGGGCACATCTGCGGTCGTTTCAGCTACCCGGGCGTAATGGAGGCGGCGTATGGAAAGTGGGGCTACTACCTTCTGTCCGGCCTGCAATTCACTTACCCTTTTCTGGCCATGATCTCCTATAACGTGGTCGTGGGAGACACACTGAGCAAGGTTCTGGTGCGCCTAATGCCCTCCTGGGGCTCCTCCATGGGCGCCGTCCGAGCCGCCGTGGTATTCGTAGTGACCATCAGCGTGATTGTCCCACTCTGTCTCTACAAGAACGTGTCACGCCTGGCCAGAGCCAGCTTCCTGAGCCTCGTGTGTGTGGTCTTCATACTCTTCGCTGTCCTCTGCAAGCTCATTTCCGGCGAATACAATGTTGTGTGAGTAATTTCTATGCTTTTGTAAATAACTTCAAAATTCTACGAATTACACCCTAAACTTAAAATCGATTTTCTGGCATTCTCTTATCTGAGCGTGCCTGACTTGAAGAGTGTATCTCATGATAGGCAATTTGCATATAATTGTGATACAGTGAAGTTTATACTGGGGAAAAATACAATGGAAAATTGAATTTTTACTCATATGTAGTTTTTGCAACATGCTTTTTGCAATGTTCTACATTGTTGCCAATATGTATAATGAGAATGATGGAAAAATATAGTGCGGCTCCTCGGATAATTAATTACGCTCTGTATTGATTGGTTTTCATGTGTTCTTTCCCAGGCCAGACACGCAAAATTCCTGGGAATTCGCCAATTCTGACATCATCCCAGCCACAGGCGTCATGGCGTTCGGTAAGCTCTCCCTCTCACACTCTTCTGACCTCTAATGACCCCGGGAAATTTTTCCAGCTTTCATGTGCCACCACAATACCTTCATCGTCTACCAATCCATGAGGAATGCCAGTCTGGAGCGCTGGGAGAAAGTCACCCACATTTCTCTGATTTTCGCCTGGAGTGTTGCTGCGCTGTTCGGCATCGCGGGATACGCTATGTTCCGCAGCCTGTCACAAGGTGACCTCTTGGAGAACTTCTGCTGGACAGATGATCTGATGAACTTCTGTCGGGTGTTGTTCTCCTTTTCCATTTTGCTGACTTTCCCGTTCGAGTGTTTCGTCTCACGAGAGATCGTGAAGACGCAACTACAGAGATTCGTCTCATCCGAGCTGCCCGCACTGGACAAGGAGAAGGATCCCTCGCAACAGACAGAGGACAATGACAGACACACCGTCATCATTACCCTCGGCATCCTCGCCCTGGCCTTCATCATCTCTCCCATGACGGACTGTCTGGGCTCTGTGCTCGAATTGAATGGCATCCTGGCCGCTATTCCACTGGCCTATGTTCTTCCCGGACTCGCATTCATTCAGCTGGAGCCGCACTCCCTCTACAGCCGCGAGAAATTGCCCGCATTAGCCCTGGTCACCTTTGGCGTCATCTTCACAATTGCAGGTATCTGTGATATCTATATTGTTCCTCGTCTCGGAAATAGCTTAATTCTAATTACTTTGTGCCCATCATGCTAATAATCCGTGTCGCTGCTGAAAGAATAATCCGACAGACTTGATGACTTCCTTTGCGACACTCCCCTTTTCGCAATTTCACTTCAGTAAATTCCTTATTATGCGACTTTCTCAACCTTTTTTCCTGAAAAGAATGCGAGGAAAAAGTTTTCTGGCATTTGCAAACTTTCCGTACAAAGCGTAGGAGATTTTTATTTAATTTCGACCAGCATAATCTCGTGGGAGGGACTCAGAAGGACTCTCAACTCGGCAAAGGCACTGCTTTGTTCTGTGCTCGCGCAAGAAAGCAAATAGAAAAAATCGAGATATTAAGTATGGGGAGCTTTAATTATAAAGACTTTGAATTTAGAGTTGAGTTGAAATTGCCCTAAAAACTCCAGCTCCGCATAAGCTTGTCAGTACATATCATCCCTTTTTCTCCGCAGGAGTCGCTGTCCTTATCCCTGATCTCAGCAATAGCGATTGCAAGACCGATGTTGTGATGAGTTACTGCAGAAATGAGTCACAAACTGTGGAGAATGTCACTCTTCCTGCCAAACCTTAGAATGGATGAAGGTCAGAGGGAATTTTAGGGAATGGAATTTCATCGATAAAAATGGCACTAAAAGAGCTTTAAAGCAGTTTGCAATAGATCAATGGATTCCTCTGATTTTATGTGACGAACATACAAAGAAAACAGGTAGATTTACAATCCACACAAACTTCTAACGCAACTTTGGACACTTTTATTTTTCAAATTTCTACACACACCAAATCTTATGCAAACGAGTTCTTTCCAAAATGAGCGTAAGTAATCAGACGATGGAAGCTGCTTTAAGAAGAATTTTAGACCAAAACTCAATTTGAAAAGTTTTTGGCAAGTAGAGAATAGAGAATTACATTTTGCGTGAGAAAATCAAGGAATTTACGAGAAAACTAATAGGGAAAATATCAAAAATCATATCCAAGTGTATCAAAGAAAATTTGAAGGACAGTATTTTCTGAAAGGACTCATGCAAAGTTGGGACTATGCTTTATTAGTACCTGGAAGTGGCAGAAAAACATTGAAAAAATATTTTTGAGGTGAATATTTAGAGATTGACGTGAGGAGTATTTTGTGAGTAATTAAATTGGGATCATGAAATGTACCAAAAGCAAAAGAATTTGTTAAGTTTTCAAATTTTAATTCAATGACAAATAGTAATCAAGATTACAAAGAAAAAAAGATCAATGATAATTATATCTAAAATGTATAGTTAGAAAAAATAGATGATATTGAGAGAAATTATGTGAAAAGTGTTATAAAGAATATAAAATTTGTTGCATGCTCAAAATTATGAATGTGTAGATAAAAATGTTTTCTCCTTCTACGAAATATAAAACTAACTTTAGAGAGTGTCTATTTTTTGATAAGAAAAGACTGATATTTCATTTAAACTGTATTATCTATTTTTAAGGATTATATTACTTCTTCATATATACTTATGTAAGTCTTTAACAATTTATTGAGAAGACGCACCAATTTTTCACACAACCGAGTTTTGAAGAATGCTGAACTTTTGTGATCAAAGCTCTACCCAACAGAAAACTCTACTTTCAGGCGTCTTTGTGCACCAATTTTCGATATATCGTTCTTGTTTGCCTACATCACGAGCAAAGATCATTTCACGCGATCGATGATCCTCAGAAAATAAGGAATAATCAAAAGTGAGCAAAACAAGAGACGAAATCCGCGAAAATGAATCGCATTCCAAGCATCATTAATCAAAATACTTATTACGAGATGATCAATCATGTGAAATGATCCTCCAGTGAATTTCCTTTTTGTAAATTTGCCATTTATTTTTGAAATATTGTATTGTATTGTAAATAATAAAAATTGTCATTTTCTCACCCAGTGTCGTTGAGAAATACAATATTTTCCGAATCTTATCTCAAAATAAATATATTGAAAGAGAAAATGAAATAAATTATATTAGCGTTTTATTTCACATATGTAGCATATAAAATCTAAATTGCATGATTGACTTGCTTAAAATCTAAGGGAGAAATCACATTCTTCGCTCTTAAAAATTCACGGTAGCCAAAAAATATTACTTCTGAATTTCTTAAGGCTATCAATAAGTAATCGTTTCTTCCAGACAATGTGGAATACACTATCGTACCTTTTCTCGATCATTTATCACAAAAGATACATCGCTAGATCATTTGATTCATAAAATCTAAATGAAATGCTTATAGTCTAAAAGTGGGAAGGATGCGTGGCAAAATTGATCATAAGATCATTTGAACCTTTCTCTCAGGATCACATCCTTTCCTCTATCCTAATAAATAAAGGACAAAAATAGGAGGAAGACTGATGAGGTATAAGTTAAATTAACTCGCGCGAGAAAGTTCAGGGTTAAGTTGTCTCCTTATGTCTAATGATGATTTGGCAAGATGCGCGCTCTTCTAAAGAATAAGCAATTGCTTAGTAGAACGTCACGACGCCACCGTTCCGTCTGATCGTCCTGTATGTGGGATAATGTCTGAAAGTGGCCGTCGGCTGAGTCGCCGCCACTTCAGCGCGCTCATCAATGCGATTCTGCGTCGTGCTGAATGATCTGGCGATCTGATCCAGCGTTGGCAGACGCGCTCGACCAATCGTCATCTCATCGCGATCATCGTCTTTCGGCAGCCTCCGATGGCGATCCTCAGCCACAGGACTGCCGTCGGGCATCACTCGCACCACCATCGGTCCGGTCAAGTAGTTCGACTCGGACACTCCTGAAGGATTGGCGTACAGCGGCCTAAGGTTTGTGGGCGCTTCCTGGGCGAGGTAGTTCGTCGGGTCAGAATAGAAGACGTCCGACGAGGCCTCGGGAAGTCTGTAGTTCTGATAGGCAACGTCTGAGTCCATTCCCATGGCGTAGTCCTGATGGGTGGTGGGTTTCTTCACGGCCGGCTCCAGTCCATCGAACAGGGGATTCTTGGCGTATTGCCCACCCTCGGGCAGCATAATAGGACTGGCGGTGCTGGTCTCCTTCTTCTGCGGCTTTGACGAGTGCCCCTCCATCATGGAGTCCCAGACTATAAAGAGATTCAACGGAAAAACACACAATGAGCCTCAAATGATCGTCAAGGTGCTGAGAGCGATCAATAACAGATGATTGATTGGGGGATTCTGCGAACAATGCACGCGAGGCCACTTCCTGATCTCCTTCCTACACCTACAACATGGGATGTTCTAAGTGATTCTCATGGGAAAAGGCCACCGCTTGACCTCTTGTTTTTCTCGCACGATCACTGGAGATTATTTACAATCTCTCCACTCGTTTTTCTGCCTTCCGCTCAGTTGATAGGAGGAAGGAAGGGCTCTCGACACGCTTTTGCATATTTATGTGATTGTTTTTCATCTGTGAGATTTTAGAGAGGAAGTCACCACTTGAGTTTCCTGACTGGTTAGACTGGCCAGCGGAGATTACAAAATTTACAAAGTTCAATGATATATTTTTTTTTAGAAAAACATCCAATCAGAGAGTTAAAGGGCGTTTCCAGTGGAATAACATTAAGAGGAAGGTGTTGAGAAGACATTGAATTGAAGATGTTTCTATTTTCAAAGTGATCATTGTTATGTGATCGCGTGTGATCTTCAGTTTACAACTGAAATTGAGAATTCGTGACGAAATACTCACTTATATCATTGGCGCCCCTCTGGTAGGGATCCATCGAATCCAGGTGACTCTCTGGCATCTTCTGCAGCATCTCCAAGCCATGCGTCAGCAATTCTCTCTTGCATTGGGGTTTTGAGACCAAATCCCTATTTGTTTTGCAGTAGCTCGACACTTGTTTGGCGAACATCGAGTACAAATGGGACATCTGTGAAGAGAAAGAGAGACGAGATCAGGTAAAGATCACCGGAACACGTCGTAAAATGTGTGCCATGGCGCAATCATGCTCAATTTACATAACAAACAAATCACGCGAGACTTGTGGGTGCAATATAAGAGAAAAGTGTGACAAGAAGGTGACGATCGTGATCGGCTGTGAATGGCAATTTCACCAATTTTGCTTTCAGTGCAGCACACAGCAACAATGGAATTTGTAATCACACCACGGCCGGATACAGGTGAGTGGATTATAAATTGCGCATGGGGCAAGAGATCGTGAGATTAGCCTGAAGATCACTTGAAGATCATTTGAAGAAGTTTTCGCAGGTGGAGCGTGTAAAAACGTCTTGCGCCGCGTTCTTTTTTGATACACTTGCTGATCTCATGTGGCGGCACAAAAAGAGCAGCTCTTTTGGCATTGAACTTGAACAATTTTCCAGGCACTCTTTTCACGATTTTTGCATGAGCAATGGCTCGAGACCACCAGAGAAAGTTTGCACTTTGCCTTTTCGATATAGGGAGAAAGGGGAGAGAATCCATTCTGTTGTGTGGACACATTCGTGCCGGAGTGACTCGAGGCGAATGCCAAAGTGCTTCATGCAAAATATATTCCGCCAGCAAATATTTGTCAGTGAATAATCTTGGGAGTTGACGCAACAGAAATGGCAATTAGTGGCTCTGATGGGTGTTGCAGCTATTAATAGCCATTCTTGGATTATTTATTGATCGTATCATTGACCTTGCCGACGATCGCGCGCAATTGATGGTCTTCGCGAGGATCACGCAATTCTAAATGCGGAGGATCTCAACTTACCTTTTCACCACGACTCAGGTATTCCCACATTGGAATGGCAGAGCCGGAACATGCAACGATCACTGTTGCAAAGGTCAATGTGTAAACCAGCATACGATTTGCCATTTTACTGCCACTGAATATAAAGTTCCTCTCAAGCAATTGACTTAAGACACTCTCGAGCACTGCAAGATCACTTTCTGAAATCCTATATGATCACTCGCGATCACTGAAATCTTCGCAACAATGGGCAAAGAATGAACTTGGGTTACAGCCTTAGCTCAGCGCTTTGATCTTTCCACATCGACTTCTCCACGCAAAATGACTCAAGATCGGAGCACGATCAGCATTTTATACGACGTCTTGGTCGCTCTCTCGACGTCACAACCGACAATTTGACGCCAGAAGCATTGGAATTCTGATCGTTGGGATGTATTGCTTCTGCCGTGATCGTGCCTCTCCTCTCCTTCACCCACAGATCACGTCTCCGGAGGACGGCCGGCAAAAAGCCAGGAGAGTTCATCTCGAGAGCCTAAGAATTTCTCCTCTAATGCATCATCGCATGAATATTTTATGGTGTATGGCGATAGTACGGTGAAAAATCTCTTCCCATGACGTGAGTAATGCTGCGCGAGAGATTATTCCATGTCGTGTGCCATCAAAGAGATAAACCCATAAATCATGAGCATCCCAGCATTATTGGTGACATCGACCCACGTCATTGGATTCCAATGCAGGGAATTATTCACAGTCCGCTTCCATGTGGGGATCATTATGCTATTTTCAGTCTGATGTGACGATCATCATGCTGGGCGATCGCACTCAATGACGAAAGACTTCAACGAAAGACTTCAATAGATCACATAGAGCCAGAATATTCACGGATCAGTGAAATAAATCACCCAGAAGATGGTATTTGCTACGGAAAGATCACCATCGCCCACATTTGCCATATCTAGAGTGATTTTCCAGGCGAGCGAAATAAATCTTGTCTGTGGTGTTTTGTCGATGGAAAAATCCCCTAACGATCAACATCCACATTCCAATAAATTTCCCTGGCAAACTAGCCAAAGAGCATCTCCGAAATTCCTGACGAAGGACGCTCTGTTTGTAAACATATGATTGGCTTGTGATCCGCTTATGCAAATCAAGTCACATCAAAATCGAAAGTAATCAAGAGTTATCAGTGAAATTTTCAAGATCCAGCGCGACATAGCAATTAATTAAATGGATCTCTGTTGTCATTTTGGAGGCGACACGCTTAAGCGCGGTCGCCGGCTGGTCGATTGACGTCACTGCAGCTCAAATGGCCACAGATCGCCGATCCGGACACGGTTTGTGGAGAGATTTGTGGACACGCGAAAAAATGTGCACAGGTTCGTCTTCGGCATTTCGTAATGCTTCATTTGCATAACGAGTGTGATTCGCGGAAAAAATGTGATCAAAACACGATCAATAAATTCAGCTACAAAAGATCCTCGGCTGAATCTTGCAGCGATCATACGCCATAAGTTGCATTTTAAAATATTTTGGCGCTGTTTTTCCCAGCTCGCGGGTTTTTTTCTTTTGCGTCCATGTAAATGGAGGAAGAGCGAGATCACAGAACCCTCTTAAGCGCAAAATACGCAACCGAAGGTCGTTCAAATGATCAAAATATCGTTGGATGATAAATAAATATTGATTGAGTGAAAAGGTAGAATTGTGACTGTGTGGTGGATTTTTAACTGATTACCCATGCAAGAGCCGATGAAGAATCACTCCTCGGCAATTTTTCAAGTGTGGCCTTCGTCATCAGTTAGAAGTGTTGTGCCTAAAAAGATTTCATGTCTCGTGGAGTCATTAAGATTGCCGCAAAGTGAGACATTCTCGTGTGATTATTGAAATTAATACCACGTGCTTCTCTCCGGGTGTTATGAGACAATTCAATCAATTTTATTTTTATGTCTTTTTCATCCCAAGATTCTTGGCGCGCTTTTTCGGCGTGATGTCAGTCCGAGATCAAGTGATCATGTGTTTATTTCCGACTCCACTTCCTGTGTCATCGACTGTTTTTAACCACATGAACCACCTCGAGAGCTGATGGAGAAGTTTCACGTGTGACTTGTGTGATTTCCTGGATAAACAAACTCTCGAAAATGCGAAGATTCTAAGTGGAATATTCTTCCTTCCCGGAAGAACAACATCTCGCCGTGTGCGTGTAAAAACACTTTGCAGCTGATAGGCTTTCATCAAGCAAGTGAGATCGCGATCTTTTTATGTTGGGGCTCTTTAAAGCATCAATTAGCATCAAATGCGGCAATTGCGCGGGAAATTAAGTCCTCGGGTGATGCGCGTGACTTTTTGCCCAAACCGAGCAGAGACTTTTTTGCCCGCGACAATCATGGAAGATCACACCAATTTTCAGGGAACGTGTGCAGATCAGAAAAAACACCTCCATGTGGCTGCGATAATGAATATTTATGGAACAATCGTGGCATTAATTGAGCGTCTTTTTCTGACCACAAAAGCAGCCTGCGAAAAAAGAACTGATCATGATCCGCATCCATGTGATCGCTGCCGGGGAAAAAACGATGGGATCATCTCTGGGCAAGTGAGAAAATAATTGGAGTGAATTTGAGATCTGCGCTGGGAAAATCCCCATGTGAGAGAAGATCCGTTTTCGATGGCAGCGCAAAGAAATACCAAAAATAGCATTGGCAGCTTCTGGAATTCACCAGCGCGTCCGAGCAATTATTTACATACAAAGTGATTCACGAGAGATGCTTTTTGTCGATCCACTCCTTTTCTCAACACCTGCCGAGTGAGAGTCACATTTCTGTCTGATGGTACGGCAAATAATAATTTTGATAGATTACCATGACTGCTGAGCAGCATTTTTGCCGAGAAATGTTTTCGCGATGATGCAATCCAGCAATGATCAAAGGCAATTTCAATGCACGAGGCACTTTTCTTCGCAACAGCACTGTTTACTATTTGTCTCATCACTTCACTTTGCCCAATCCATCATTCACCGCAAGTTAGATTAGCATTTATCGCAAGTCTGATCCATTTAGGAGTTAAAAAAAAGCGTCGGGAATTCCCAGGAAAAAAGTAACACCTAAAAGTCATTTGCATATTTGTCATAAGTCCAAAATTGGCTCTCTATTTGGTGTTCTTGGAAGAATGAGTCTTAAGTCAGCAATGTAACTACTGACTGGAGTTAATCTCAGCACTGTTTTCTCTGAGTATATTGGAATTACAGCAAGAATCACTGAATAATCAAGCTTCAGATGTGGTTTATAGGGCAGAATGTTTTCTCGCAAAGATGTTCAATGTCGAATTCGCTGAAATGAAGAAGTTACGCTGAAAAAATAGAAATATAATTGAATACAAGATGGTATTTGTGTCACTAAAAGCCTATGTTTTAATATTATGTAAACGATTGGATTATTACGAAAATTAATTTGCCTCTATTGACATGTTGATTGTATTTATGGTCTCTTGTGAAGGATTTCCAAAGTCGTCAACTTTGAATCTTCACCTCCAGCATCTCATTTTCCCAGTTACACTGTTTCACACTTTATTCAGCAGAGATAAAGTTCTGTACAAAGTGGAGTTGATTAATTTCCTCTATCGAGTAAATTGACCCATTTTCTCCGTCGCACAGCTCCATTTTTTTCCCTCTCGCGAGCATCACGTCTCCGCATCTCATTAGCAATCAATTGTATGGCAAAAGCGTGGCGCCAAGAAGTCAATAAATAATTTGGTGTCATCTCCAATCAAATGGAATTTAGTCCATCACCATGAACTGTGCACATTTTCAAGCTCTCTTTGAAGGCTGGCACGACTCTATGGAAGTTCTGGCGAGGCAATTGTGGGATGTGTTTGAGAGAAAAAAGCCCGTTGATTTATTGCTTTTGCGCCAGATGATGTGAATTGAGGCGAATTGAAGAACTGAGTTGGTGATGAGTGCAATTAAGCAGAATGCTGTGTGCTGTTCTGCCCCCGCAATTGATTGCTGCAGAAGAGCTTGTGTATTGTAAATGGTAGCTGAGCTGCGCATTAAATCTCCATGATAGTAAAATATCAACCGGTCTAATTATTATGTATGTCTTTTATTGATTTACAAGCGATTTTACAGCCACATCGCTGGTTTTATAGTGCGCCTCAGCTTACAAATTTACAACCCGGCTCGAGCATTCGGCAAAAAGCCATGGCATTCGCCGTGACTCCTCTGAGAGGCATCGGAAGTGGGAGGTCAGGGAGTCACTCTTGCCTTTGTTCTTCTCCCACAATGCCAATGGCTCGGGAGAGATGAAAGATCATCCGAAAATGGGCACTCATCGTCCGCCTAATTCTACTGGTTGTGTACTTTGGGTCGCTCACGAGAGTGGCTCCGAAGGCGAGTCTTTGTAGAGTGACTCTGGGGCCACGGCGCTGAGGCTGTATCGCGTTGCTCCATGGAAAAACAATTAGAGGCCGGTGGGAGCTGAGAAATTACAAAGTCGCGCCTTCTTAATCGATCTTCACACCTTTTTATGCAAATCCCAAAACCCCAAGACACCCAGGAATGCTGCCAGAGGCCAATAAAAGTCCACTTCTTGGGCAGATCGACGGCGGGGCCAATTGTGCGGCGCCAGACATCATCCACTTTTACAGCCATCCAATCTCTGGATGGCTCTTGCGTCACTCCGGGAGCAAGAACTCGCGAGTGCAAGAGGACAGGGAATTTGCAGAGGCCGGCACGTGTGTTTATAAAAGCGTGAATAAAACATAACAAAATTCGTGTGATCTAAAAATAACCTCGCCGTATGACCAAAATTGGCCAAGCAGAAGAAGATTCCATCGGCAGCCTTCTTCATTCTTCCCCTCTACATTCAGCCACTTATCTTTGATTTTCATTTACAACGCGATTCGTCTCCGCAAAAGTCACATCTTACTCTTAACCCATCACTGCACGGTTCTAGATTAAGCACCTCTTGGTAGAATTTCTTCATTTATCTACTATACAAAAGAAAATTCTTTTTATAGGAAATTGCTTTCAAGTAGAAAGTTTTGTTCATACAATTTACGTAAAATTGATATTTCCTAACTGAATCTTTATGATGAGTAGATAGAAAAAAATTTACACAAGAAAATAAATAATTTTAGCCTTGAAACATTGTTTTATTCATTTCTAGAAATTCTCTTCCTTCGGTGAAAAAGCTCTTTATTTATTTCAAATTATATGATTAAACCCGATTATTTTACCTTTCCAAATAAATTGCTATATATTCAGCCTTCACTATAATTCGGAAAACGATTATTTCAAAGTCTAAAAAAATCTATATTAAAGACTGCGATAAAGTGGTCAAACTGTGAGGAATTGCAAAGGGTTAATTTCGAAACAACCTGCAATCTTGCGTCCTCCAGGATCTGGCTCCGGGCAGGGCATGCAAAATACTTCTGACCATGTCATTCTGGAGATTCAATAGCACGATAAATGAGTCTCTTCACGGAATTTCAGGTGATTCTGCTCAAATGCCTGAGGAAAAGTGGAGGCAAAAGTTATTTTTATCGAGAAAATTGATGCACTTTGGGAAGGCAGTGCATGAAGTTGCATTATCTTTCGCAGATCAATCTCTGGAAATTCCTATCAGGAAGTGCTCAGCAAACCTGATAACCTCCCACTTATCACTCACGAACTGCAATCGATCATTCGGCGTCATAGGTGTTCTTTAAGCAAATGTTCTCTTCTCTTCACTAAATCAAGCCATGGCTCAATTCCTAAGCAGTGAGATGATCAAAATATTTTTCTAGCAGAATAAAGTGGACAAAAAATACCTCCCAATTTGCTCAGAATGATCGAATAAAATTGAAAATTTATGTCAGATCTTATCTAAATGCGAGTGTTTTTTGACCCATGAAAATCAACAAGTCCAAATTGCCGATACAAGATCATTTAGAGAAAATATTAACCCCCATAAATAACAATATAGAAGCTGATCACCCACAAAATAGTTCGGAAAATGTTGTTTTGCGCCGCTCAAAACAAACCAACAATTTATGATCGCCGTGAGAGCAACTTGCTCATTAAAATTCTCCTCCAACCCATCCTTCCACTTCACTTCACGGGGATTTATGCTAATCACGAGCGTCACTCCTGCGCAATTTCTTCGTGGACCATTTTGGAGCCGCTGCCAGATTAGTACCACTTTAATCCCAAATCTCCCGAAATCTAAGTTGTTTACAAAACTTTCTCGCGTGCTCACCGGCCATGTTTCATGGATTTCGCCAAAGTGGAATTGTTGGCGAGGAAATATTTTGCCACATGCGACAAAATCCGGTTTCGCCGCGACCTTATGAGGTCACATATTCCAACCAGCGAAAAGGTCACCAAGGACGTTCAAAATCTTTTCACTCAATCTTCCGCGCCATCGAAATACCAAATGGTCTTTCTCTCAGCATCATCAGCCACTTAATTGCTCAATTCTGATCTGCCTAACCAGTTCCACAGCGTGGAATCTCACACAATTTGCCCAGGCTTTTTGCTCATTCGCGCCATTTTGCCTTCTGCCATGTCGTAAATTATCGAATTAGTGCATTGATTTGAAATTCCTCAGAGTTCCGCATTGATGGGCAGGGAAAAACACCTCGGCGACGTAAGCGAGAGGCTCATTTAGTGGGCCAAAGAGCGGAAAAACGCACTGTTTTTCCCCCAAGATGAGCAAGGCAATATTCTAGCAAAATCAATTGTATGAGTTTTCCTCAAACAAGATAAATTTCTAGCCTAATAAGGCCTACTAATGAGATCTTCCTTGCCAGGAAACGGAAAGCCAGCATTGATCAACTCAATTTGGCAGATTCACTGTTTTCTTCGTCATAATATTCACTGAAAAACTTTCAGAATGCAAACCATCGAAACTTTCTCTGCTCACTTCTCATTATGTGCAATAATCGCTGGGTGAGAATTGCTGATGACGCCCAAAGATTAGCATTCGCGACGCATTTGAAACAGGCACACAATAAATAATTGGATCCCCGCCAATTTGGTGTGGCGAAGAGCGTGAGGAAAATTGCAAAAATTCACCATCCAGCGACTCTGTGTCATCGTGAGCCCACTCGCAGAAATATTCCCTCTTCGTGTGTAAAGTTCTCGCGCGCACCGCAAGAATGTCTCTCAAGCTCTATCCGGGTTTGGGCGCCAGACGAGACTCTTAAATTTCTTGAGGAATCTCCCAAAAGCGATCGCCAGAGAGAATAACATCCAAGTATGTGGTTGACCTCTTGGAGAATTCCGTATGAATTATTTAAAATAACATGCCATTTCATTAGTATACATTATTTTAAGAGCGCACCGCGTTAGGATAGTAAAAAATGAGAAAAATATTCCACTAATTTGATTATCGCGGGCTCGTCTTCACTGTGCAACTCACTCTTCAGTGAATAAATGACGAGAAGAACTTGTGTTCATCCGTCAAGAGAGCGAAGAAGAAAAAACTGTTGAAAATGAGACGGATCGAGTATTTAGGAAATAATTTTTATATTTTTCATATTACAATTGATATTTTTTACTCTTGTGTCATAAAAAATTCATTAGTAATTTTCTCCTTCCCTATTAAAATGTTTTTTTTCTCCCTCTCATCTTCTCTATCATATCTTCATCATCAAATGTCCGTTTATAATGATATATGAGCAATTATTTAGTCTCAAGAGTTTTTCGCCATCTCCATTGCTTGATTTTTCATCATTGAACACCTACAATTGAAGCTGAAAAAATATCTACTTGCCTACGCGCCTTTTCATCATTGTTATAAGAGTTGTTTCTCTACATTATCCCCAACCTCTCATCTTGTATATCGTTAATAAAATGTTAACTTTTAATTTTCTATACATGGGGTATTATTGCATTTTTCAATAAGTGATTCTTTTCCTCGTCCTCATCCTTTAAATGTGTTTTTATATCAGTTTTGCCATTTGATTCAAGTGTTTGTGTGTGTGCAGCGACACATCTTTCTATTCATAAGAATTTTATGAACTTCATTTCCACTTCACATTATGGCAACTATTATATACAAATGATTAACAATAAATATTAATAATCTTGTTTCCTTTTAAACATAGATACAATATAGAAAATCTTTATACAATACATATTTCAGCATGTTCTTGTTTTCTTTTTTTTTTCAATAGAACCAAAGAACATAAAACGTCTTCATACAAAAACACAAGTCAACTATGTTTTGGAAACGATTTTAAAGTACGAATACACAATTTACTTCGAGTTATATCAACTATAATAATAAATAATATTTCATTAGGATTTCCTTTCGCTCTACTAAATCAACGTATGCTTTATGTCCTATTAACCCGCTCTTTGTGTATCGCAAATCGAAGAATTGACTGAGAAATTGTCGATAGGATAAGATAAATCCCTAGACGTCTGCACCGCATCATTGGTTTGTAAATATAATATTAAAAAAATAGAAAAGGCACTAGATAACGTTAGTGATGTGTGTGTGTTTCATATTCAGATAGTTACATCGTTATTCCATATTTCACAATTAATCTCATTGAACAAGAGAAAGAATAGTTGTAAATAATTCACAAATATTACTTAATCTATAGAGAAGTCCATCTTCCGTGAATATTATCAACATGTTTCTGTTGTTTGTTAAATATACAAATTGTTATTGCATCTAAAAAATTGGTCCAATAAAAATAATTCAATAATTCATCTTCATTTTGTCCGTATATAATACAATTTTTCATCGCTTTTCATCTATATTATCATAATGAGATAAATTGCAAGAGAGGGATTCATGTTATTAATTTTTACTCCTAACACTGACTGTAACTATTTTCATCGTCCATCAAAAATACTACGCAGCGTGGATATAAACTGCCGAAAGTCACCTCATCCTCTCTCTCTCTCTCTCTCTCGCTTATTCAATGATTGTTTTCTATACTCTCGAACGAGGAGAAAAGGATCTATGTTATATTACCTACTATTGCTCACCGTATCAGCGCTGAATTTCATCGGAAGCCCAACACATTTAGTTTGTATTCTTCTTCAGTGACGATGTGAGGATTTTCTCCTGTGCCTTCTCTTGGTCCTCCTTGAAGAATATCTTCGTTATCACAATATCACCGGTGCTGAGCGTCTGACAAGCCTCATCTTGCTTCATCACCAACTTCTGTCGATTCACACCGCGACCCGGCGCCTTATCGTGACATGAACATTGGCAGCACTTGCCAGAGCTGCAAAGCAAAACACATTACAAAACAGGAAATAATGATTTCTCCTCAGCTGATAAGATAAAATGCCTTTCATGCGGCATACAAAACACACCTTCGATTCTCTGCCTCGCGATGCACTTGATTCTTGAGATTGTTTTCGTTGTTGGCGTTCAAAATAGCACTGGTGGCCGAGAGTATCTGGTCAGGAGTCTGCGAGAAGACCTGCCAGAGAGCAACCAACCCATCAATCTTCTATTCGCACATTTTATGCTAAATGTCAACTCACCGGATCACTGGGAAGAAGTGTAGCTGCCGATAGAATGGCCTCAAGCTTATCAATCTTCGCCATTCTGTCCATTGTCGTGTCCGATAGTATCTCATCCATTAGCTGCATTGATTCCGTGAGACTCGGTGGCTCGGAATTTCGCGGGGAGAATGTTCCAGCGCCGGGCAAGGAATTGTCCGATGGAACACTGTCGAGGCTCGCGTACTCCTGCTCAGCAACCTCACCATCGTCCTCTGAGTCACTTTGATCGCTGCAACGAGTGTCAATTTCATTATTATTTTCCACATTTCTGACTAGACTGAATTGATAAGCTCACCGATCTTGTCCCAAATTCTCCAGCTTCTCCAACTTCTTAGCCACCTTGTACGATCCCTTGAGCTTTTCCTTCTCCTCCTCCGTCAAGTCCAGATAGCGCAAAAGACGAATTTCTCGGTTACTTAAAACTATGTTCTTATTGCTCGACTGTGACAATTTAGCACGCAAATCAGCCACTTCGGTGCTAATTTTCCTCTGCTTCTTCCTCATCTTCACCTCAATTGGACGGATTAGCATTAGAATCTGTTCTGTGCACAGTTCAGACAACAATCCACGATATTCCGGCAATATGGCACTGCAAAATGTTAATAAAATAGCTATTAATACTTTGTAAGTGAACACAAATCATTGAGGATTGCAATTGCGGTGTAAATAGAGCAATTACTTGAAATTTGCACCTAAACAACTACTCAAGAGGGAAGAGGGGGAGAGAGATAGAGAGATAGGAAGATGTTCTTGAATCTTTTTGCACTCGCATAAGTTTTGCTATTTGCCGCAAAGCAGAATCCATGTGTATTTAACTGTTAGGCACACATCTCACGGCATGGAAAGTCATAAACTCTTCCGGATTGTTAATTTCTCTTTCTTACACTCAGAATGAAATTCTCAAGGTAACAGAGTTGAGAACGGCGAGACACACAATCTAGAATAGATTGCTGACGGAAAAAAGTGTTCGAATTCATTCTCTAAACAAGACATTCTCAACTCTCATCGCAATTTATCACAACATGCGAAAGAGTCCAAAGGGAGTAAATGGAAATGATTAGAGATGCTACATTAAGTGGGATTTACCATTTTCTCTCCTCACTGAATTAATGTAATTCAACCAGTCTTTTCTGTGAATTACCACCATCTCTATCTCCCTCTTTTCGTCGACAAGATAATTGGGACTTGGCATTTTGCACGCGAGGAGAAAATTCACAATCACGAGACTTGTTCACAAGAGTCAAAAAAAATCTGTTTTTGTGGGAAAAAGCTTGTCTCTCTCTCTCTCTCACCTTGCCATGGCTGCATAGAGTTGCTCATTGATCAGCACGAGGACATCACCGGCGGCATAGAGGAGCATATCGCGCGACAGCGGCCTCCTGGCCCAGTACTTCTGATCCCTCCGATATACATTCTTCAGCTGATCCTTCATTGGATTTATCGGGGCGCCGTACATCTCGCACAGTGTGTTGAGTGACACATTCTTCACCTTGTACACCTGCTTCCCGTGATTCTGAAGCTGCAGAATCGCATGAGCCGATTGGGTGTCGAACACATTCCTCAGCAGTATGTTGAATTGGTTGTACAGATTGATGGAATCATTGCGACAATCGTGAATTATCTTGATGACATTCTCACTCTCGAGGAGGTTCTTCAGTCCTCCGTCAACCACCATTTCCGGACACGAGAGTATATCGAAGATAAACGCCTCGCCACGCGTTGTGCCAATCTCCACGAGCGTCAGCTGCCCTTTGGCGCCCAAATTGATGCCCTCACAGTCGAAACTGATCACCACTTGATCATTCACCGCCGACTTGAGTATGGCTTCAGTGACGAAGAGACACTCCTTGATTGTGGCAATCACGCGCGTATTCTGCAACACCTTGATCTTCCACGTGTCACCCACAAAGTAGTTGTTCACATGGACCGGACTCGAGTTCTGCGACTTGCCATCATTGGCTGTCGCTCCGCCCTGAAGAGCACTCATCGCTTGCTTGTCCTTCTCCAAGTTCTCGGCCAGCGTTTTGATCACCAGACTGTTGATGCGCTGCTTCAACGTCTGGTTCTTCGCCGAGGGCTTCTCCGGCGCAGGTTGCACAGCCGGCGGATTGTGCGGAGCAGTAGCCGGCGGCGTGGAGCTTGTGTAGTACGATCCAATGGCCCCACTGGGGCAATTCCTGTCGCACAAGCTGTCCAATTTGGCATCATTGTCGTGGACCAGACTGTCAAATCCACTATTTGGTTCGCTCTTGTTGCTCGCGGTCGGCGAATTGCTGCTGTTACTCGTCACCGGCTCATTCAGCTTGAAATCCCCCACCGTCTGCGCCACAGTATTGTTGTTCTGCAGTCTCATTTGTGGCGACATCGTCCTTGTGGCATTGTTATTGAACTGATCCCTGGCTCTGGCCTGAGCCTGCTGAATGTGAGCATCGGACAGTCGTGGCTTCTGCAGTAGTGTGACTAGATTTGATTGAATGTGGAAGCAATCTGAGAAGAGTTTCAGGAATGTCGACAGATCACTCGGTGTCTTGAACATCCGCAGCCACATCTCCTCAGGAAACTTGGAAGTCACCATATGGAAGAGCTGATCAACAAGAATTGGCCCTGCAAGACACAGACACATAAAGAAAATTTCACTCTGTGACACATTTTCAAAATGAAAAAAGAGCAAAATCAGCATTTCTAATGACGCAGCTGCGATTCTATGCATACATTATCAGAATGGAGAGAAATTGTATAGAGTGAATGTGAAAATATTCCGTAAAGAAACCCGTACTTATCATGTCATTCTTTGCATACAAATTACTAGTCTATTTTCGTTCACAAAAAACCGTCTCTTTTAAATCTATAAAAATAATCAACTCTGCCCAAACTGCTAAAATAATCAATTAAGAAATTAGACAACAAAAAATGCGTTACAGAAAGACAATTGGGCGTGACAAGAGGCAATTCCCCCCTAAAAAAGAGATTTCTACAAAATCTCCGTGTCCAGCAAATCTCTCAATTTTTTTTCTTTCAATTGTGTGTATAATTACATAAAGATTGGAATAATTTCATTATTTTTGCCTCGCGAACATCGGAGAAATTCACTATAACACATCTCTTTTTCTCCCTCTCGATATTTTATAGAGAAAAATAATAATAAATTTTTCGTGTTACTCCATTCCTCAATCGAGTAATACCTTTGTTTTCGATCCAGTGAGCAAAAAAGTCGAGCAACTGTTGCGTGGCAATTGTATCGATTGAGGGTTGTGGCAGATGGAGGCGCTCTCCAGCCGGAATATCCTTGAGATCTTCCGTCTCCACCAGCATCACGTGCTCATCAATCACAGTGAACACGTCCGGATGTTTGCACAGGAAGTCCGTGAACTCCTTGATGTGCTGCCCCGAGATGTGGCGCACCTGCGGCGAAGCCTGACTGCGATGGCCCAGAAGACTGCGGATGGGCACCTCAGTGCCCAGTCCGTACATCAGCAGCTTGTTCTTGAAGTACTCCTTCGCCTCCTGCGTGTAGTCGCGACTGGGAGCGCCCGTGGGATCGTCCGGGGACGCCGACAAGTACGTGTTGACGTGCACATAGTCTCCGTTGATGTAGAACAGCGCCGGATAGCTGGCCAGGAATTTCTTCAGACCTGCGGAAGATCCCAAAATCGCGCGCATTCCATCAGTGAAGGTCATCACACTTTCCACCCCCACGACAAATTCAGTGACCCACAAAAGAGAGGCCCAGAGTGGCAGTAAAACGCCTATTGATCCAACAATCAGCTCTCTTTACGTGCCAAGAAAAAGCGTACAATAAAAATCCGCATGAGCCATGCCAAAGTGCCGCAACACCGCCATGCATTCCCATCTCTGAGCCGATGCTCCAACGAAAGTGAATCAATTTCAGCAGATCACCGCGTCTTTCTCAATTGACAGGGTCATTTCGAATGAAGTCTCTTTGAAAAGTTATTCGACTCTTGCACGAATATTTCATGAGGGAAGTTTCGCAAAGAGAAAAACCGAGGAAGTTTGGCAAAGTTTGCAGTCTGACGAAAGTGGTTAATAAATTCAACTTTAGCAGAGAAACACTGGCACTTTGCCCATGCATAAACACAAAATGCTACTGAAGTTCAATCAAAACAACCCTTAAAATTTCATTTACATTCATCATGATTATGAATTTCGTATTGTGACTGAAAGAAACACCCTCAAAACTTCTGCGTTAGTTTGGAACAGTTAAGAGAACTAGATTAATAAGAAAAAAAACAACTGAAATTGTAAATCATGATGTGAAATTTGGAAGTTCCCTCTAGAAAAAAATTCACCAGACATTAAGCCGTCGACCTCAGATGAAATAATAATACAGAAATCGCGTGACATTGTATGGAGTATGTTGCTTTTCTCCCAAGAATTATCACAAAATAAAAGCGATAATTTCTTTATCTTTTAACACATGCTTTAAGATTAGAGAAAACCAAAAACAAGAATTTCATCAGTTCCAATCCATGCCAATATGAACATCAGTGAGATTTCTGATCAGAAACTATTCAAACAAGACATGATGTCATTTCTAGCAAGACAATACCTTCTCCAATGTTGTCTTTTGCTACTAAAATCGCGACAGAGTACATAAAAAATACAGAGTTAAAGTCAAAAATGACTCATTTGCATATCTGTGCGTGGAGTTGGAAAAATACCCGATAAATAACCTGAAAGTTCTTGGTTAAACAATAACTCTTGCCCCCTTTCTTCTTGCTTCTTTTCTGCTGTTTTCGCGTGTTTTTTTCTCACCTCGCGCACACCCAAAAAGTGAGGAAATCTCCTGCGAGTGTGAAATATTTATAAACTCAGTGAGCAAAATAGAAAATTGAGGACAGTCTCGGCATATTTTTGCAAGAAAAAATACAGTGTTTTCGGCCACTTCCGCGGCGCAAACGTGCCAGAGTGGAGACAGAGAGATGCAACAGTTTAGAATGACTGGCGCGAAGTGCACGAGGACGCACCTGATTGACTCCCTCCGGCGATCTGTCGCATCTCCCGCGTGAATCCCTTGGCGCCGAACTGGCACGAGAGATCATGGAGGGTGCGCGGCTCCCCCTTGTCCAGGAGGCGCTCCAGGAAGAACAGCAGCGTCATGTTGCGCGCCAGCTCGTACTCCATGGTCTCCATCGTGGGGCCCCGGAAGCCCTGTTGCGCAACCCCTCCTCAATCTCAAGTCGGCTGATCAGATGAGAAATCGCCCGGGATCCACTTTGCTGACCATCGAGAGTAGATTTCTCTCGGCCCGCGAGTCTGTGTGCACTTCTGGAATTTCGCTGGGAATGCACTTGAATTCTCTATCGGACTTGACGTAACTGGCCGTCCGCCTGTGTGCGTGGAGACTCCGCACTTTTCTCGCCACCCTCACACGCCGCCGGGTCACGCACAGTCGCACTCGCGGGCCTCAGTGACACGATATAGATCCTCGCGACAGGATTCAAGTGATCTGGAAACGGTGGTCTGCGCGAAATTCACTTAAAATTAGGAACCAACCCACACCGAACAATCGCCAATCACGTCGCCATGTTACACTGCGATTCCATCCACCGATATATCGTCTAGTGACAGCCCCGCGCCAGAGCCATCTGGCGAGTCAGCAGAAACACGGAGCTTAACAAATTCATATATTTATTGGCGCGCTTCCTGCGAATCATGCAAATCTACGTCTTCGATCCCCATCTCCTTGTATGCCTTCTTGAAGATATCCTCACCCTTCTCGTTGACGATCTTTATGTCCAGGGTGTCGAAGTCAATCATGAAGCTCAACTAGAAGGAAAATAATTGTTATCTCGTTGCGAAACGTCTTCAAAAAATCAATTCTACTACACATTGGGCGCCTTGTGGTCCAATCCCGTCCACTTCTCGCTCACTGACCACAGCCACTTGGCCACATTATCATCCTTGGCCGCTTCCGCTACCTCTTTGGCAGCGCAATCGCTGAAGTACTGTCCAGTAACACCGTCCAGATCAGGATCCAGGGCACAGTACAGTGTTGTCTGTGCACCAGCTAGCGGTGTCTTGAAGAAAGGCCACATCAAAGGCTTCACAATCAGCCCAGAAAAGAAGCTGGTAAAGATGCTCATGTGTCGCATGAGATCCGTATTCACAACGCCCGGATGCAGAGCGTTCACCGTGACTCCAGTTCCTTGCAGCTTCTTAGCCAGCTCGCGCGTGAAGAGAACATTGGCCAATTTACTCTGGTTGTAGGCCTTTCCACGTTCGTAGTTCTTCTCACTGTTGAGGTCTGTGATGTTAATTTCCCCGCGAACATGAGCTAGGCTCGACACCACAACAATTCGACTGGGAGCAGAGGCTTTGAGGGTATCCAGGAGAAGGTTTGTCAGCAGAAAGTGCCCCATATGATTCACTCCGAGTTGCATCTCAATTCCCTCTTTCGTCACGGATCGAGGACATCTCATAACTCCGGCATTGTTGATGAGGATGTCAAGTCTGTCCCTCTCGTGCTGGAAATTGATGACGAACTTCCTGATGGAGTCGAAGGAGGACAAATCACATTCCCGACAGTAAACGTATTTGTTCTTTGAATCTAGGACAATCTCTGTCCGGGCCTCTTCACACTTCTCCATGTCACGGCACACCATATAGACGTGAGCCTTCCTCCTGGCCAATTCCCTGGCAGTCTCCTTCCCAATTCCTGTCAGTAAATAAACACAGATGAGTCACAGAAAGAAACGGACGCATCCAATGGAACCAAAATGGAACTCACCGGTGTTCGCTCCTGTTATTACAACTACTTTTCCCTCTGCCATGATTGGATTTTTGAATGTGCCGCCCTGCATATAATCCCTGAAACACAGATAATGAGACAAATTGGTCAGAGATGTCCAGGAATCTATAATAAATGTGCTAATCAAGATGCTAATAGAGAAATTCTCTCACTTGAGAATCATCGCGAGTCCGGCCACTGTTCCTACGGCACTCACGGCCACCACTTTCGTGTTCCGAAGAAAAGCAAACGCCATGTCTGTGGAGAAATCTCTTGCAGTTCCTGGACAGCAACACGGACTTCTTGTCCTCCTAAATCTCTGGAATCGTGGCAGGTGCAAAAAACCGGCTGATCAACAACCTGTCTCGCGGCGAACTTCACGCCGCTCAGTTGTCAAAGAAAGCTGTTATTTTACACCCATAAACAATAACATTCCGTCCAAATTTTCACCGATTTTTCCCATTTTCGCGGTGAATTTGCACTCAAATCACAGATCTTCCTACTCTCTAGACGTATCCAGGTGCCTGTGAATTGCGATGGCGAGGTGAAAGGGCCGCAAAAACAGTATTTCTGGTACCTGGTTTCCGCCCCTTTTGTGAATCACACCTTTTTTGTTATGCGAACCATGCTTCTCTGTGTTCTGATGTTTGGCGTCCTCCTGGCCGCCGCCCAGGAGAATGATGGCACTGTGGGATGTTTTAAGAAGAGCTTCCGCCCAATTGCAACCAATACCCACGTCGGCACGGCGACAGAGTGCGCAGAAAAGTGCCGCGAAGGCTTCTTCAAGTGAGTTTCAAGTTGTCCGGAAGTATTAATGCACTTCCTCATTTGATCATTTCTTTTCAGGTATGCAGTTGTTCAGAGCACTTCCTGCTCTTGCTCCAACACGTATCCTACTGATCCCGCAGAAAAACTTGATCCAGGGCGATGCAACATTCAGTGTAGCAAGAACAAAGACGAATTCTGTGGCGGCGACGATGTCGAGAGCTACTATGAAACCAATCTCAGTGTTCCCGGGCCACCCAAACACCTCCGGATGGATCTGGACACGGTAAAGAACACTTCCTTCACTATCCTGTGGGAACCGCCGGACGCGAGCAACTTCCTGATGCAGTACGCCATCACGGCTCGTGTCATCCACACTTTCGCGCATCGGATGCTCGTCCCGATTGAGTGGAGAGCGGCGAGGACTGATGTCCAACAGGAGTTGGTGGAGTTGCATCCGGCCACGAGGTACAACATCAGTGTGACTTGTCTCTCGGCCACAGAGGAGGGCGGCAGTGCGTGGATTGTGGCAGAAACGCGCGTTGGTGTGCCAAGTCAAGCGCCTCCAGAGCCAAAGATTATGGCCAGAGATGAGAGGACAATCACAGTGCAGATAAATCCCATTGAGAATGGGAATGGCCCCATCACTTTCTACCGCGTGGTTGTGGCTTTCGTGAACTACGGCCTGGTGCAGAACTTCGACTTGGCACTGCTGAAGGACTACCGTGGCTCCCGGGAGGATGGCACGCAGTATTACATTGCAGCGGAGCTGGATTTGAAGAACACCAGTCGCTTGTTCCGTGTGGGTGACGGTCAGAACTATCGTGGCTTCTACAACGCACCGTTGCCGGAAAACAGCCATGTCCACATTAAGATTGGCGTCGTCAGTAGTCTCAGCGGCGTCACGACTTATCGCTACAGTGATGATTCTCACGACCAGCACGAGGGTATAATTTTGGACACCAACGCGGACTCTGAGGAGGACAACAGCGTCATGATTGCCGTGCTGACTGTGGCATGCATCATCCTGGGCATCTTGCTGGTCGGCAGTGTGGCCATGTACTTCTACTTGCGGAAAAGAGTGCAATCCACGCGCCGCAGATTCACTGACGTGCATGAATTGACACTCCAAGGACCGATTGTGGAAGTTGTGAGTAGTCGATGACATACGCTCCAGATCAGATGAGTAATTTTGGTGCATCATTTCAGGAGAACAACGGCTTCATCGGTGATGAACTCGACAAAGGGAACTTCAATGAACAATTGAGGATGCTGCTGGAGAAGTTGGGCACTTCTCAAAAGATCCCACGGAATGCCCTGTCAATGGAGATTGACAACATCCTTGGCACGGGACGCTTTGGGGATGTCATCCAGGGCAGAGTGAATTCCGTGGGTGACTTTCATCAGTGCCACATTCACGTTGTCTCAGACGATATGGAGCAGCACGACCAGAGCCTCTTCCTCAAGGAGTTTGACCAGGTACTCAGGGTGACTCCTCATCGCTCAATCCTGAACTTCCTGGGCGTGTGCCAGACCAGCGACTGGTTGTACGTGATTTTCGAGGGATGCAATGTGAATCTGAAGAAGCGCTTGGTGGACTCTCGCTTGCCGCCCAACTTCGATCCGCGTCGCATGACTTCCCTGTCGGAGGAGTTTGTCCTGCGCATCCTCTGTGATGTGTGCGATGCCATGGAGTACTTATCGGCCAATAAGGTGAGTGGTAAAAAAAAAGTTGTGTCTGAGGCTCCGGCGAGATTCGAACTCGCGATCTCCTGTTTACTAGACAGGCGCTTTAACCAACTAAGCCACGGCGCCACTGTCTCCGGGACTGCCGTGGATCATTCCTCGAAATTGGACACTTTTCACTACACACAATCTCTCTTTTCAGATCGTCCACAGGCAACTGTGCGCCCACAATATCAGCCTCACGACTGAGGATGAACCCAAGTTGTCCATCTTCGGGCCGACACTGTTCACGGAAGAGAACAAAATAATTGACCTAACTCGCTTCCAGCCGCCAGAAGTGCTCAAGTTCCAGAACTACTCCTCAGCCAGCGACGTGTGGTCTTTCGGCTGCCTCATGTGGGAGTGCTGCACAGTGGGTGGCACGCTTTTCCCCAGCGTCCCGGCTGTGGACCTCATGGGCAGGCTGAAGAACGGCGTGCGACCCGAACAAACCCCTTTTCTCTTTGACGATCTCTACCAGCTCATGCTGAACTGCTGGCAGCTCGACTCACGCGAACGCGTGACATTCACGGAGATCGCCAGCAACCTCCACCAGATGTTGGCCACGTCGCCCAGGCATGTACTGGACTTCGACCGGAGGGATCGGGTGACTCTGCCCTATTACCTGCCGCTGCTGGAAATCAAAAACTAGAGCAAGCACTGAACCACAGAATCTTCACCGAATCTCAAGGAGCATTCCACGGTATTTTTGTGCAGTTTTTTTTTTTTACTTAAAAGACAAACTTTTAAAGCGAATAAAGACAAGTTGAATGAATCTCACCCTCAGCTTTTGAGTCCCATTTAATAGTGACCTCAAAAATCCCAGCTCTGCATTAACTGAGCAAAGCGCGTTAACTTATCAACTTTTTTGTTAAAGGAAATATGATGAAAATACGTGAGAATTCCGAAATGAGTTATTTAATGTTTACTCAAGTGCACAATGACGGTATTTGTGATAATTCGAGGTATTTTTAGAGCAAATTGACTAATTGGAATGAAAATTCATATCGATTTCAGAGTTTAGTCGAGGGGAAAATGATATGGGCAGATAAATGGTCAGTTCGTGATCAATTTTGATATCTTTGATGAAAGTGAGACTGAATTATTTAATGGTTCATCAGCAAGTAGACGGCTCTTTCTCCACCCAACACAACAATTAACTCACGATAATCCTGCCTCTTCAATTTCACTTTCAACGTGAACGTGATAAAATAATTTCTCAAGTTTGCCAGTGCGGTAGAAAATTGCCAGAGCGTCGACAATCCGTTCCAACCTCCAGAATTCGTGAATGAAATCGTGAGTTGTGTCGTGCTCGAGCGCAAAGGGAGTGGATTTTTGTGTGTATTTCCGCGGATGTGGTTGTCTGATTTTCAATGTGAAACACCATGCCTCGCTTTTTGTCCCCTCTGGCAATTGCCCGCGACAAACACAAGTGCCAAACGCTGTGTTGGTGCCGTGGAAAAGGTAAAATTCACAGGTGTGCACAATTTGCTTCACTCGCCTCAATAGTCGAAAACGCGACGCTGACTCGTATTGATCTCAAGAATTTTTCAATTAAAGTTTATCCGAAAAAAAAACACCCATCTCGAGTGGTGAACAGAAACGAGATTATCAGTGAGGAATAAAGTGTGTATTGCTGACACAATTCATCTTTTCCGCACACACGCAGTTTTATGTGTGCGTTGACAAATGTTCCCATTCTTGGTGGACTTCTTTTCACTCACTCAGAATTTCACTTGAGAAAAAAATAAGGCGATGAGTGGAAATTGCTGAAAAATGCCAGAGTATCAGGCAAAGGGAAATTAAAGTGATTTAAAATTGTAATGCAACATATAAAAGTGCTTTACTGTTATGTCGTTTCTGGCTTTATTAACAAAATGCTACTCTCTTCAGACCTTTTATGCACATATTTCAAGTGAAAATTAAATTACTTCTGCTCGGTAGAAAGAAGAAAAAAATCTCAGACCCAAAATTGACGAAAGTACGCGCGCCCAAAGTGACTAAATTTCACCAATTGATCCTCTTCTTCGTATGTATCTGCCTCGTTTCTTGCCTCCCCGCCTTTGTATTCGTGCGATTTACGATTGTGTAGGAAAATTGCATAGTTTATGAGGTATGAGATCATTGCAGTGTTTTATTGAATGCATATATGCAATTACTGTGTTGATCTTCTGAGGAGAGTTCATTGCAAAATTGCGCCCGTGATGACGAAACGAAGGCGCAAGAGGTGAAAATTTTCTTCTCCATTGAAGATTCACCAGATGTTCTCTCTCAGGCTCTTTTCTTCTACACTTTCCTGCATTTTTTCCACTTTTTTCCACTCACATTCATAAGACGAAAGTCAACTGGGTGTTATTCTCTCAGAGTGACGTTAAACTAAACGATGAGAGATGTCGAATTAGCTAATTTTTAACTCAATTAGCATATTTATAATACGGCTAGATTCAAGAAACTCACCAACTTTTCTATGCTTTTCAAATTTACACTCGTTCCATGAATTCTACCGAAATGATTCAACTTTAGAGGAAAGGAAGGCTATTTTGAACAAAATTCCAATTTCACAAAACACAACTATTGATAGTTTTAATTTTTTAGGAATCGAATTTCAATAGAATTTTAAGCACTATATCGGAAAAAATTAAATGTCTCTCCAAATCAAATTTTTGGCCGGAAAATATTTTTAGAACACTCATAAACAAATAAACAATCCTGCAAATTCTATATGGAAATTAGCTGTTGATCTTTATGAACTCCGCCCATTCGAATGCTCCGCCCCTTGAAAAATTCTTACAAGTGTCTTGCAGACATTCCATAGAAAAATCACAGCTAGCACCCTATTAGCCTCAGCTCTTCATTTTCAGTCCGTCTCTGTGCTCAAGATCATGGAATTCCTTTTCTCGCTCTCCTCACCTGTGCAATGGAATTCAATTCAAGCTCGCGAGAGTGAGCGAATTGCCTCTCTTTTGCTATGCTATTCAATTCTTCTGTGCGCCTCTCAGCGCGGAGAGTCAGTTGAGCCTCGAATGTGAAACGATTCACATCGATTTTCACGTAGTTCACAGCGAAGTTGTTAAATAGTAATTTCTTCTCAAGTCTTCCCGTGAAGCGACCAGAGGGGAGAGGAATCTTCTCCAAGAGTGCTTGAAAAGTAATTGCATCGAGTATTTTATACGTCAATTGAATATTATTGTTTTAGTGGCAAGTTTTGAGTGAGGATTGCACTTGACACAGAAATTCAAGCAAATTCCTCAGCCAAAGTGGGACGTTTATGTGAAACACACACAATTCGGTTAATGGTTTTTCCATCACTCTGAGGTGCAATTTTACTCGTGCACACGGATCAGATCAGGATACTCCTCATCTCTGCCACTGTGGCCACTGCGGAGGTGGAGCGAGACGAGCGTGGTGAATTTAGGTGTATTTAGTATACTTAATTAGGCGACGTCATCGCTTCTCACCTGGTCTCGCGGGTACGTTGAAAAAGATACAGTGAATGGGGAAAAAAATCCCGCAATGTCAAGAGTGTGGCGCGCGAGAGAGCAAAATCCATTCCCAATAATATGGTGAATTCTTTCGGGTTCGTCGCTTAAATAAACACCAAGTCTTTCGTTTAAGTGCACACACTCTGCCGAGCCTTTCCCAGACTTGTGCGCTCCGTTGATTTTTCTGTATAAATTCCACCGCATACACACACTCTCCGCGCCACCATGATTCTCTTGTGTCTGTGGCGATCATTCTCCATTGCGATCTCCTCTTCCTACAACACCATCGCGAGACTCTCGCGGCCGAGCAATTCCAGTTTTTCAAACATGTCTCAACCCGGAGCCCCCTTCTGGCTGCCCCAAAACCACCACTGCGCGCCCGTGAGTGTGTGTACGCGACTGACATTATACAAGAGTCTCGCAGCATTTTCACGTCGCCTTTTTTCCAGCAGCACTCCATCTCGGCGCGGCTGCCGTGCAAACGGCAAAATAGAAGGAATTTAGAAATTCACTTTATGTATTGATATAATATTTTCTCCATACCCGATCTTTATGATGTGATTTTACACTACAGCATCGTTACGAACTTTGTTGCACAATTTGTCACTCTGCTTGACACAATTTTCCTGGCTGGTGCGCGTAATTCTTTTTTATTCACCATCCCGCAAATGGACTATTAAATGTGATTTTTATATCCATTCCGAGTATGGATCAATGTAACGATTGAAGGAGCAAACACACCTCGACCAGCGCATTTGGCTTTCAAATGAGTGAGATTTATTTTCTAGCCGAACTAGATAATAAAAATCCCTATTGAGAATTTGTCTAGACTGCCTACAAATGGAAATGTGATTTGCAATATTGATAAGCCAAGAAATGGTTTAAAATAGAGTAAACTACTTGCTATCAGACATTCAATATATCGTTGGGTTTAGACTAAAGTATATTGCGATCACTTATAATGTACAAAAGTGATTTTGAAAATAAAATAGTTATGATCTGAAGTCAAATTACTATCGAGCACTTGAAACATCAAGTCCCCATGTGAACAATGAGCAGTTTAGGTACCTCCAGTATGGTTTTTGTTTTGAGAAGATTTAGGAAAGCCAGGGATAAATTATTTCTAAGATACGTAAAACAAACACCTACCATCCGAATTTAATGATATTTCTTTAAGGCAATAATCTAAAATGACTATAAAAACAACTGAAACCTTGACGAAATCGTAATGTATAGACAAATTGTATGGATAAACACTAATTTGTTATTTGATCTTCCTGGACTTATCGAATATTTGTCTTTCGATACTTTACTTTCGACCCGACAATATTGTCATTAAGACATTATAGGTTTCAAGTTGTATGCAAGTCGAATGTTTTGGATTGCTTTATTCTGCTAAACAATCCCAGTTGATTGAGATCATTTCCACTGATGTCACATCGTCTGAAATGAAACACCTGGAGATATAAGATTTCTTGCGTTACATTTCGACAGATTTCAGGCGGAAATGTAAAAGGAAATGTGAGTGTTTGGCAGTGGATTTCACCCGCCTCCGAGGCATCGCATCACAGTGTTGAGATAAGCCCATGATATTCCTGCCCATGTTACATAACAATTTCGACATTTTATCGCACAACACTATTTTATTAGTCGCACACCGCGGATGACAGTGTGGCACACATTTTGGTCTTGATCCATTAGAATGTATTGATTGAATGATCAAACCACACACGCAAAAATCCATCGTGGTGATCTCACGATTGTATTTTTACAGCTTGATCGTTTTTGTGCCTCTTCCTCTTCTTCTTCTCTCACCCAAAACAACCAGCGTGCTTGTTATATCGCACGTCTCCTAATCGCCACCTGATGAAGTCAGTGTGGTGTGACACAATTAAGGAAGTTTTCTTGTGCGCTGATCGATTTTTTTCGCCTCAAAGCCATTCCCGTAAATGGCAGAAATTCAGCTTCACTGTCATTGAATTCTTTTCACGTCTCATTGACTTGCAAATTCCCTCTCGTGAGGACTCTTTGCTCAAACAATTGGCTCTTACATGAAAATTTCACCTTCGGCAAGTTCCTCAGCACATCGTCGGACCAAAATTAGACAATTTATGTGCTGATGATTGTGGAATTCACTGACCACGCCAAATATGATGAATCCCATTAGGTTTGTGTGCACAGAAGAACCTTCAAAAATGTTCGAGCGCAATTCTAAAAGCTCAGTCACTGATCTTCACAGTAAACCAAAACACTCTTTGAAGACGAGTTAGAGGAAAAAAAGAGAACAATTTATGCAATTTACGTGTGAAATACCCACAGTATGAAGTAATGTAACAGTGAATTCTAGCTCGAGTCACTGTTTGATCAAATTTTACTTTCCCACCTCACACATATTCAGAGAGGATTTTTTCTCCACCACCTGTACATTATTAAAATATAATTTTTTGCCCTCTCCGCGCAACATCCAAGCCATGTGAAGAAGCGCTCCACGAAAAAGAGCATCAGCAGCAAAGCGTGAGATTTTACACAGCGACAATAGAGAGCTTTTTCTAGCGAAGAAGAGATTGAAATAATCAGTGTTGTGTTTTTTTTGCTTCGCAACTCTTCAACGCCAAATAAAGCATTCTGGCGGGAGATTTATGCTTTATATTCCTCACCATATCTCTCCGCACCTCAACTGTGTCAATTTTCTGGCCGTTCTGCAAGGAAATCCAGTGCTGGCGCGTAGGAAATGACGTGGGAGGGTGCGCAGATCACATTGTGGTCAGTTGTATTCTTCACCAACTGATCGCCAGCAGTTCGATTACTGAGAAAAAAGTGGAGCTATTTTGTGTGTGCACAAATCATAAATATGTTGAACAGCACTTTCGCGTGTACGGCATGGATGGAATGTAATCAATAATTTGCGATAAATGGCCAAGAGCGATGGGGGAGACGCGGAAAATGGCCTCAGCACGCGAAATTATTATAAAATTAAATGGAGAGTGAAGAGAGAAATTTCTTCATCAAATAAATTAATTCACTGAGCACAACATCTCTTTTTTCGGGCGATGAGGAAGCTGACCACCCTTTCGCCATGTTCAACAGATTACCATACAGCAACACAGCAATCTCATACTAAATAGTACAGAAATGTTTAATTGCAGCACAGATTACTCTTGATAACTCTTGCAGAAGTTGCCGCGCGGAGTGCACTTGGCCATCAATCCCACAGCTGAGGTGCGGAGTGTGCATGATTAAATGGTGTGAGCGCGATTCAGCCTCATGACGACCATGTATCGCCCAAATTTCTACGAGTCCACGTGCCTGAGATGCAACGAGATTGTCTACCAGGTGGACCGCGTGGGACCGCTCAAGGACTTCACATTCTTCCACTCGGGCTGCTTCAAGTGCATCCACTGTGGCACCAAATTGACCCTCAAGACCTACTACAACAATCAGCACAAGCAGGAGGACAAAGAGGTGAGTCGCTTGCACTCATGCTTGATAAGAGACAATTTCCATTTATAAACGGCCCAACACTAGATTTACCATTGTTATGAGCAAGCATTCTTCTCGGCCTACTCTATCTTCTACGGACATACACTAATTAGTGGCTAATACTCCTGCCGAGATATCTTAACACTTTACACACTAAAACAATCCAGTTGTCTTTCCAAAATATCATTCTCTTCATGATCTGTACTCGAATACTAAGTACACTTTATTACTCCATAGAGTATCGTAAGGATTTTGTGAAACTACTATTAAAATTCAAGGGTGTATAAATAAAGTATCAAATTCTCTGGTAAATCTAGTGTTAATCGCGCTCTTTGAAAAAATCAAACACCGTTTTTCGAGCGATCACTCGATCAACAATGCGTGATTGTATCAAAATAGTGGGCTCAATTAATCATGCTGGATTTGAGATTTTCTCGGAGTTGCGCCGCGAAGAGGTTGGCAGCATAGAAAAATTGCCTATTGGCCCACCCACTTGAAACATTCCTCGTCTAATGGCAAATTGTCTTGTCGCCCACTGAAAGGTCTACTGCTCGTCACACGTACCAAAAAGTGGTCCTGGTCACTTGGATCAGACATCCGTGGGAATACGGCAGGCGCTCAACGTACCCAAAACCAACAAGTTCATCAATGAGCAGATCAGAGGTCAGAGAACAGATCAGGACGGTGAGTGCGAACAAAGGTGGTGAAGAAGGGCAGAAAAGAGAAATTTTTACCCGAGCAAATAGACGGGGCTCTCGCGCCTGATACGCTTCATCGAGAGACTTCTTGGTCACTCCTGAGGTCTGTTTTGTGTGCAAATGACCCATTGTTGGCGATAGATAAGTTATTAACTATTTAATCGCCATACATTTTGAGAACACAGAAAAAAGAAGCGAAAATATTGGTGCGGAGAGTTTCTCTTTTTCCACTTGGCTCTCTCTCTATCGCCTTTGTCGCGATCGCGATGCATGTGATAATGTTTTCTAACGAGAAAATTGATTGCCACAGAGTGAGCAATCAATTTATGCTCTCTTATTCAATCCACTCTAGATTGAATATTTGCTATGATTCCAACTTTTAATCAAATGGATGAACTATCCCATGAAAAAATGATCATCTTTCGTCAATTTTAATGTCAAAGATGCCACATTTGAATTGACGGCAGTTGAACAATCGATCTCTAATTAGATTTCTTCTCCTGCTTTGCCCCAAAAAGGATCCCGTCAATCCACACCAAATGGTTACCACAGAGGCCGAGATTTGAATTCATCGGCAAATGACAGTGACTACAAATATGGTAGATTCGACGCCAGTGCACTCCACATTGCGCACGCCCTCAAGCAGACGGAGATCCAGAAGGCATACAACAAGAGACGCGAGAAGCCTATTGACTTATATTTGGTGAGTGTTCGAGAGCATAATTTCCATGTGATTTGTTCGCCAATTTGGCAAAGTAGCAATTTTCAGCCACAACCATCGGCAATCTCTCACGTTCGCGTTTGGAGTGCGTGCGTCTCATTTTGGATGGGCTCGAAAAGAGCGCGCCATATATTTTTGCCATTCATGTGAAATGCAAAGTATCCAACTGACCGAGAGACACTCTTTTCTGAGAGGCCACGAGAGAAAACCGTATTCAAATGCGGCGCACTATCGTGACGATAGAATATTGTGGATCAATTTAGAAATTATCCACGAAAGAATTTCTCATAATTTCAAGTAATTTCGCATCCGACTCTCTTGATGACTTTCTTGTGGTGAGGCAAAAAATATCGTTGATTGATCCTCTCCCGAGCCAAGTGCACCGTGGAGAAAAGGTCATTTAAAATTCATTTTTTACACTTTCCAGAGCCCAAACATTCAGTGTAACGCGCAATGGATGAAAGAAAAAAGATCCCAAACAGTTGAATGAAAGTAAAAATGAAAATGACTAATTTACGCCTCTTTTTCACCACACATTTTCACCCAACAATGTCTTTACAGTCTCTCTCTCTCTATCTCTCCCTCTCATTCTCCCAGCTATGGCAAATTGATGAAAATCAAGCCAACAACAATAAGTAAATGAAGAAGAAAATCTTGCAGGCAATAATGGCGCACAAACAATGATAGAGAGTGAGGAAAAATGCAAATTGATAGCACTAGTATTTCCCATTCATGTGATATCTTGTGCGTTAAATACCTACCATCTGTTGGACAACATTAACTTACAAGATGAATAAACGTAGTGCAATAATTGCCGCTGAAAAGACTCGATTTGCTTAAGTAAAACGTGTTCAAGTGCTTGGACGAAAAAGCGTACGAAATTTTCATTGATATTTCCTACCGATCATAATAATGAAGTGCATGCGAAATCCCTCAATTGACTCATGTTCAATTTAATGGCATAGCAAATAATTCCATAAATCACCTTTCATGTCATGTGGGAAATGTTTATTTACCGACGAACGCGCGCCTCTGGACAAAATCCTCGAGTTGAATTGATCCCAAAACAGGGTGCTTTGTTCAAGAAGACAAGCTTGAGGAACACAAAGAAGCTTATGAATGATTGAGACACTCTTTCCAACGAAAACACCCTGCATGTGAAAACCATTTCGGTGAACAAGATGATCAGAGGGAAGTCACGAAGTTGTTCTCGCAAAGTACAATATCGCGTCATGAACCGTGAAAATAAATCAATTGATTAAGAAATTCACTGCGACTCAACTTATGCATAAAAATGAAAGTATTTCGGTTGTGAAATGCAAATAGCAGACGGAAAAAAGCAGAGCAGATTAAGTTAATTTCTCTGTGAGACATTTAAAAGAAAAAAACGACACTTGAAGAGCTCGAAAAAATGCCTAATCGAAAAATATTCAAATGAGTGTTTGAAAATGTTATTTTCCTAAAGATTCCACCTTCCACGAGGAGATATTTTTATGATTGTATACATTCTGTAATCTCTCTCTCTCTCTCTTTCTCTTCACTTAGTAATTATATGGATAGCAAGTCTTAACGGCTGTTGCGCATCGTTAATGAATTTTTTAGTAGAGCGTTGAAAAATATCAAAACATCATCATGAGCTCTACCTCTCGAAAAAAAATGTACTTCAAGACATTCTAATTTATCGCTCAGCGCATTTAAATACCGACAATCTTGCACTCAACGCGCAAAGTTCCTTCATGTGAAACTCACTGGAAATTTTTGGAGGATCGATGAATTTGAAGAATGGAAGAAAGTTCTCGTCAAAGCACTTTTCATCAAATTTAATAATAATTGCACAGTAAAAGTGCTGAGAAATTTCGTCGCATTAGAGGCTTTTTAGGATCCCGGCACACTTTCCAGCTAAAGTTAAGACCAGAAAATATTGATGGATAAGTCGTGACTTACTTTATCAGTCACACAAGAAGACAATATAAACTTCCCAATAAATTAAGACTCGTCTCACGAATCAAAATCCAATGCAATCCAATTGACATAAGCGTGCGTCTTTCATCACGTTTCGTTTGGGACTCACCCAAAAATCGCAATTATGCTAATGATGTTTGATACATTGGGAGTGTCTCTAAATTGCAGATGGACTAATTTCTTAATTTGATCTGAACTCCAGATTAACTTTCTCACCAACATCTCCCAAAATGTTGGATTTCCACTTTTGATTTCGTTCTTTCCTCGCGCGTTCATCCAACAAGACGTCGCGCAAAAAAGTGATTTGGCTTTTTGCATGTTCAATGTAAATATTTTCAAGAGAGCGCGCAAAAAACGTTGAACCGAAAAACACTTTCTCCGTTCAGTTTCATTGAGGGAATAAATATTAAGTTTTTAGCTCTCTTTATCGATCAACTCCCAAACTGAAATGCAATATAATTTCATCGAGCAAGAAAGATCTAAAAAATGCGTGAGGCAAGTTTGACGAGAATTTGGAGGCTGAGATTTGTTAAAATATGCAAAAATTGCCATCTGGGTGGTGATATTTGTCCTACAAATCCACCCACTTGAGTGGCTTCCAAATAAAGCCCACAAGATTGTCACTGGTTTGCACGCCCGATCTGAGCGCCTAGCAAATTTCAATTGTAAATTCCAAAAAACAATCTGGATTAGCAAAGTATCGAGAGGGCCTCTCATCGACAGCCCAAAAGCACAGTCATATCATCAAACAATGCCACGATAAATCACACCAACTCTTCTCTCTCTCTCGCGTACAAAACTCTGTCTCCAAATTATTTCTTCACACACTTGTTACCATTCTTGGTGAGATCTCTTCGTGGCGCCAATTTATTCCCCTGCTCATCCGCCCACAATTGCCCGTCAATGGAGAGACGCTTATTGAATTAATTATGCGGATCAATTTTCCATTAAAATTCCATCAGTGTGTGTGCGCGCCTGATTTTTACTCAACAAACCACACTCTGTCAATTTTTGCCACCACGCCATCGCAAAATGCAACATTTTCTGAGGAATAATATCAAATCACTTTCATCGCACGCCTCATGCCAGCACTCACTGAGACAAACACATGCTTTTCTTTCTCAAATATTGCAATTAAAAATCAATTTGCCTCACAAAATCATAATTTTCGACAATAAATCCTCGACACGTTTGTGCATTTATTTCAAGTCACAAGTATTAATTTCGGCTGAACCTGGCATCACAAATCTGGCATTTGAATGATTTTCGGGATTTTCACCTGTGTGAGTACGACGATGACTTTTCAATATATCAATATATGAAACTTTCGCACTTTTTCTAGATAATCACTTAGTATTCAGAATAAATTGTGTCTTTAACGCAAGTACTGCAATAATCAATCATATTATAAGTATAAAATGGTCGAGGAAAAATGAAGAGTTTGTGCGATACATAAAGTCAAGCATTAAATAAAGCATTCTGTTGATAACTGAATTACTGGTTTTATGAGTGTGATACCAAGGAGTTAACCTGGAAAACCATTAGAAAATTATTGATTTCGCTATATCAACATAATAAAGCTGGCCGAAACAACTCAACAGCATCGCTAATCGATATGCCCAATACACCGGAGTCTTAAGACGCCCAAGTATCATAGTAGATGGCAATACTTGAGTGCGTTTTGCACAAATAAGCCATATTTTCATGTCCAGATGCTCAAAAATATCTCACCCATTCATCCTCGTGTCTTACAAAGCCACTTCTGGGCCTACATTTAATTACACATTCCCCCTTCTTCAGCACTCGCTCCGAACAAGTGCTTCTGCAGTTCAAAATAAACAAACTCGCCCGAAATGTAATTTTCCTCCTACGCGATTTTTACACGGCACCCGCGCGGGCTCGCAATTAGACGAAGGCACGAGATGAAGATCTGAGAAAGTCACCATGTGGAGCGCTCTTTTGGCGCCACACTCGTGAAAATTGTGGTAGAAAGTACAATTCTTTTCACACCACGAGGGAGAGAGAGAAAGAAGAGAAAATAGCCGGGCAGAGTGACAAAAACCCACACGTAACAATTGCATCACACCGGAGGGCAGAAGTGTGGATGCAATTTCTCAACATTGTGGATATATATAGAGTTTTATGGAGCACGAGATGATCATCGAAAAGTAAAAATGTCCCGTTGTTCATTTGGCCAAGCAATTGTGGGAGAGATTGAACTGAGAAGGGCCTCTCAATGGTGGCTAATTAAAGCCGCGTTGGATGTGCAATTACTCGCCTTTTCCTCTGCACTTGACTGACTCCACAAAGAAAATGCTCATAGAGCTGAGGCGCCATTAACAGTTTTCCACACTCCCACGAGATTACGCTGCCATTTCTTGGAATGAATCAATGCTTGCAACTCACTATTTTTCTCCTCATTGCAGGATCGAGCTGAGCAGGCGCGCTTGGAAATGAAGCACCGGAAGGAGGAGGATGATCTGTATAGGAAGTTTGCGCGCAAGAGAGAAGAGGAAGACCGCAAAGTGCAGGCAGAGATTCAGGATGAGTGGGAGCGTGAGTTGCAGCGCCTCACGCATAAATTCGAGAAAGAATTGGCAACATCGCGACGCAGCCGCGACGAGCAGAACATCCTCACGATGCGCCATGAGCAGCAGAAGGAGGATCTGGAGAAGAACATGACGTTGCGTCGCAACAAGAAGAAGGAGAGCCTCACGCGGAAGATGCTGGAGCATGAGCGCAGCGAGACCGCCGCTCTGGTGGATCGCCAATCCAGCGAGATGCTGGAGCTCATTAGTGCGCGCCGCAGTGAGTACATGCAGACGGAGAGCATCTTCCTGGACGACGAGTTCACGGAGGGCACGCTACCGCTCGAGTATCCCAATGTGGCGCCGCCGCCGGCTCCGCCAACAGTCAGCAAGTTCCAAATCTACACGGATCCCATAGAGTTCGAGGATGTGGACCGTGTGGCCATCACGGTGGCCAAGGAGGACCAGAAGACCTTCACAGATCTCGTGCGACAGCTGGTCGGTCGGTGCACCAGCGACATCGAGAAGGCGCGCACGATCTTCCGCTGGATCACCGTGAAGAACCTCAACACGATGCACTTCGATGACGATCTGCGCGGCGACACGCCCATGGGACTCCTGCGCGGCATCAAGTACGGCACCGAAAGTTACCACGTCCTGTTCAAGCGCCTCTGCAGCTATGCCGGCCTGCACTGCGTCGTGATCAAGGGCTACTCCAAGAGCGCCGGCTATCAGCCCGGCGTTCGCTTCCAGGACTCTCGCTTCCGCAACTCCTGGAACGCTGTCTACGTTGCCGGAGCGTGGCGCTTCGTGCAGTGCAATTGGGGAGCGCGTCATCTGGTGAATGCCAAGGAGGCGCCCAAGACGGGGCGCGGGAAGAATGACAGCCTTCGCTACGAGTATGACGATCACTACTTCCTTACGGACCCGCGAGAGTTCATCTACGAGTTCTTCCCACTGCAGGAAGAGTGGCAATTGCTGAAGCGTCCCATCACACTCAAAGAGTTCGAGAATTTGCCCTTTGTGCGCTCTCTCTTCTTCCGCTATGGCCTCCACTTCGCCGACGAGGGCTATGGCGCTGTGGTCTTCACCGACGACACAGGAGCGGCCACTGTCCGGATCGCCATGCCCGCCGACATGCAAGGCTGCCTTATCTTCCACTACAACCTCAAGTTCTACGACAGCGAGGAGGATTCCTATGACAGCGTCTCACTCAAGCGCTTCGTCATGCAGGTCAGTTGCCGAATGAGCAGCTCAAGTCCATCAATAATAGCTTTTCCTCTTCAATTTTCCAGTCGGTGATTGGAAACATCGTGGCGTTCAGAGTGCATGCGCCCTGTTCCGGGGCTTTTCTCCTGGACATCTTCGCCAATGTGGTCACGCCGCAAGAGTACTTGACCGGGGAGCCCATGAAGTTCAAGTCTGTGTGCAAATTTAAGGTGAGTTCCTCTCACTTGTCTCATAAAGCACAATATTATACTCACAAAACATCTTCTAGATTTGCTGCGAAGAACTACAGACAGTCATGGTGCCCCTGCCGGATTGCGCGAGTGGCGAATGGGGCCCCACCAAAGCCACTCGCCTCTTTGGCCTCGTGCCAATAACTCATCAGGTGAGTTTCTATGTCGTCTCTCCACTGTTCAACTCTTAATCCAGTGTCTTATCACTGCAGGAACCTCTGATATTTGCCGGGAGGATAATTGAGTTGCAGTTCCGGATGTCGCGGCCACTCACAGACTTCATGGCGACACTGCACAAGAACGGAATTGAGGAGAAAAAGCTGGCCAAGTACATTTCCCACAGCATCATCGACGATGTCGTCACGTTTACAATCAGGTAGACTTGTCCAATTGATTTGTGTTCCTTTTCCTTAACTCTGGATGTCTTTGCAGCTTCCCGGAAGAGGGTCAGTATGGCCTGGACATCTACACACGAGAAGTGGGCGCTGTTTCTCACTATCACAACAACAACTCATCGAGTGAGAAGCACTTGCTCACGCATTGCTGTAAATATTTGATAAATTCATCAAAGCGCAACTAAATTGATAATGTTCTGGGGATGCAGTAAGCATTATTAACAGATCCTCCTCACTGTCTTAACACCCAAAAATCTCTCTTCACAACGACATGGTGCTAATCGATCAAAAAACTACAAGAGATCAACTTGTTTGAACGATATAACTAAAAACTCTTTTCCCCGTTTGTTACTGTATATAATGGAGACAAAAGAAATTCAATGTATATTATAGACAATCAAATAAACCATTATTATTCTCGAATTCTGTCCAATAAATCATCAACTTTATCCGATAACTTCTGCAACTCTGTGGACTCCTGAGTTTGACTCTGGTGAACTTTCATGAGATCAGTGAGGACAGACCGATTAGTCTTCAGCGTCTCCAGACTTTCTTGAATCTCCATGAGCTTTGGGACGCATTCCTTAAGCTGGGTGTCTTGGAATTGCAGCTGCATGTTCAGATATTCGAACTTCTTCTGTAGAGTTTTCATTACAAACGGACGAAGCTGCTCCTGAGGCGTCTTGCCCGTGGGTCTCCTGTAAAAGACGTCAGCTTAGGCTTGCTCTCATTCCCTCCTCACGCTCCTCACCATTGTACACCCGCTTTATCTGGGGCCTCCTTTCGCAGACACTCCAGACCTGCCAAAGTCTCAGTGAATTCCGCCTCTTCCCACATCTGATCGAACTCACTCAAAACGCTCTTCTGTGCAAACTTCCTGAACTGAGCATTAAAATCCTCAACATCCACTGCATCGTTGGGATCCTCCAGAAAAACTTCCGTCATTGGCTGGAAGACGCTGGGGCTGCGAGAAAAATACAGTAAGACCTCTCCAGGCACTATCAACTCACATCTCGGTGATATTTGGACTCACCAACAGGCCGGAAGTGGTGCAATACATTGTCAAACGCACTGTTTTGCCCCACGACCGACCCACAAGGAAGTCCACGAGGAGAATGAGAGAAATTCCTGGAAATTTGTTATTTCATAAATGGAACCTAACCTCAATCCGTCGACAACCTTGCTGAGATCCTGCATTAACTCCCTTTTCGCTGATTTTGCGTAATTCTCGTAGATGAGCTCTTTGATCTTGAACTCATTATTCTCCCCCATGCTTGTAAATCAGAGGAAAATCGTGGAAAACCAGAGAAATGTGAAAAATCTCACCGTTTTGCCTCCAAATGCCGCTTCACTCCTCAAATCGCCAGCAACTGAACGAGCCGACGAACTGAACGAAGCATTTTTCCGGAAGACGAAAGCATGATTTGCACATTCGGAGCCGCGTGGTGGCGCGACAGTCGATCACAGAGTTTTTCGGTGGTCAGCGCAGAGAAAAGTGTTTTCAGTGTTGGTTCTCGTCTTAAAATTAAATTTTCATAGGTAAGTCCCTCAATAATTCGTGAGCTATTGATTAGAAAATAGGCGGTGATGTCCACCCCACAGAGTGGAATACATAATTGTGGGAGAAACGGTGAAAAATGGTGTGTTCGCTCGGCTTCCCCTCACCTCCGGCCATTGGAGTTTGTGGAAAATGGCATTTTTGCATAAATTCTTAATTACTCGTCCGTGCACGCTGTCTCACGCCGCAAATCGCCTCAATTATTCACTGGCCGATGTGTTCCACCGCGTGGGGTGATCTGGGGGCGCACGGGTGGCTTGGGAGGGTGAGTTTTGGGGTGTCCGGAAGCCTCCTTGGCTACTGCGTCGCCTTTGTCCCGGAGAGAAAATAGCACCTTGCCCGAATGGGGAGCAATGGCGTGGGTGCTCTTTTAACTGTATTTTGCGTGAGATTTTGCGTGGCTTCACCCAGAAATGCTCAGCCAGACACTGTCCTCGTGACCTGAGCTATTTTTCACGCCTCCGCTGGCCGCCCAGAAGGGCGCAGCGGCTGGCAGATTGATTGGAGAGCGTTTTTCATTGGAGAACTCCCTCGAGGAGCGCCCCCGATGACTCACTCTTCCGCTGGCTCGTGTGCGCGTTTTAATGAAATAATCGATGAAGATGAGGGAAGGACACTGCGCGCTCCCCCGGGCCAAAATCCCATCGCTTCTCCAAGCCGCTGAGTGCCAGAGGAAGCCCCAGAAGACCGGCAGAATGGCAGGGAAATATCCCGGTTCCCTGGTCGCGGTAGGCCTTGGCAAGCTTACGTGAGTTGTGATTCTCTTCTGTGCCGTTCTGCTCGCTTCTTACGTGGAGAAACTGCGCGCCTCTATTGATTGATCTGGGAAATAGAGAGCGATAATCCAATTAAATTTATCACTTTCGAGCGAGAAGAGATTATACACTCTCCTCCCCGAAATCTTAAGACGCGCTTCAGTATTTTCTTATGGACTTGTAATGAAAGATAAGCAAAAAGTGTTTTGCTTGCCAATAACACTGTTTAAACATCCTTTTAATTCAATGCCAGCATATTTTAAACACTCGTTCGTGTAGTATTTTGATAATTCAATGAATTGGAAGAATTCTTTTTACGCATGGTGTGACTTCTAGGAGTTTTGCTGATGAGGATTTTTTTTTTCACAATTTGGGCCTCTGCTTTTCCGCCAAATTCTGTGAAATTGTGTGCATGAGAAAAGTATATTTTGCATGTTAATAGGAGCTTTTGGTTTTCTCGTTGATCACAACTAGCTTTGACAGCTGCCGGAATTTGAAAATTCTCCCAGTAACGTCGATTTGCTGATTTCTGAGCATTTTCCGGGGTGTTCCCATTTTCTTTGAAATACCTGATATATTTTGTTGGATGAGGGGGAGATCAATAAGTTATATTACCGCTGCAGAAATCACATAAATGCCACAATATATAAAATCACGGAGCATTAAATCTTGAGATTCAATTTAAAATGAAATTTCCGAACGATGTGGCGGAAGCATGAGTGTACACATGTGAAGGCAAAAAGTGCAGGTGCAAAAGCAATTTTGATATAAAATATTGTGCACAGACAAAGGTAAATGGTGAGACACACCATAAGGCAGGCGGTATTTTGTGTGTTGGAGAGAAGATGATGGAGAAGAAAAGCGAGAGAGACGCTGAAATTCAAGCTCTGAGGCCTTAAATAATAGGAACCGGCTGACTCTGCTCTGACCACACAATCACACACTCATTTTAATCTCAAATCTGTCTCTATCTCGCGGTGGAATTTTCAAGTGTTTCCTAACATAATGCTTCCACAGGGAATTCTTCGCGCCTCTTGGCGCGTCTCATGCAATGCGAAATATACACAGAGAAAAAATAATTCATTATTTTGTTAGTAAAAGTTTGTACTTCTCTCACTGTCGGATTGTTTCTTTAACAATTCTTGTAGATTCATAAGGAATTTTCCTGTTCCAAATACTATTTTCACTCTGAGAGACTTTTCAATTGAGTAAGATTTATCCAATTTAAGTTTATTTGACAGAAATCATAAGAATAAGTTTTGCGGATTGTCCGCAGTGAACAATAAAAACTGCTTGATATTGTGCTAAAATTTGTTCGCTTCTGAGCATAATAACATAACATTTTCTTGCAACAGATAGTAAAACGTGTTTGAAATCCAATTTTTATAAATAAAAATTTGTGATATTTACAACTAATGAATGACACAAATTTCTGCTAAACTTGTTGGTTCTCTCTGTGTGTCAGACAGCAAGCAAATTCACGTGTCTCCTTTTGATATCACGAATATTGGTTTCTTGTTGGAATTGAGACACAGTTGAAAGCACGTCTGGGTTGAAAAATGAACTTGAATCGTGTGCACAGGAGATTCGCGGCGCGCTCCAAAAGCATTGATCCATTTTTGGAAGTGTATCTCGTGCCAAGATCAATGCTTAAGTGGTCAGACTACAAAGTCATCGTTGGCATGGTTGTTTCGACAAAAGTAATGCTTCTTTGAGCAAGTTGGTGTGGAGTTGAGACAACCTTGAGAGGTATTTTAATATTTTTCTTTGCATTTTTTCTCATGTCGCGCAATTGCTTGTAGCACCGAAAAAAAAGAGTGGAAGGTAGACGAGATGGTTTGTGCGCTAATCTCACTCTCAATTGTTCCACGACAAATTGGTGAATTTGGATAAATTTCAGTGTGTCCGGGTCTTGCTATTAAATTAAATATTTACACGATGATCATGCGAAAAGGAAATATAATTTTGCTTTTTGCTTTTTATCTCTGAAAGTGTGTTATAAAAATGTCATCTGTGAGCTTTTTGAAAACATAATAAAGACTGTTGGGCTATAGCATTCTGCACATTATGTACAAAATACATAAATAGGGGGAAGACATTAAATTTCTCATGGAGTTCATAGATGATGATGACACGGTTTAGCTTTTATACTGCAAAAGACGAGAGTGGAAAAATAGCAACTGCCATACAGAAGAAGTAATTCAATAAAATTGTATTCACATATAGCAATTTTATTTAATTAAACTTTGACGCACTGCAACGTGAATAAATGTCAAGTATATAAAGTGTATTATATGATATGAACGACGGTATGAGAGAGAAGCGAGTGAATTGAAAGATTCCTCAAAGGAAATGGTGAAAATTGTCTGGAGAAAACTCCGTCTTTACTCACACATGGCGATATGGTGGAAGAAGGCGAATGCATGTCAGTAATTTGCCGCTTGTTGGAGTGAAGAATGTATGGTGTATCTCTGTCAGAATATATATGGTTAGGTAAATTGCAAACTGTTTATTTTTAACGCCTCCCCCTTTTATACTAAAATTCATTAATAAAATGGTGGAAGGACAAAACACGATAAGCATGGTGTAGGAATTGAAGAATAATAACACTCATTTTCAGATATAACATCATCCTGTATATATTGCATAAAATTAAACATCCATTTTTTATCTCTTCTCAGTTTTGAACTTCTATGAGGAAAGGCTTCAACATGACTAGCAACGAAGAATTGTATGTCCCCATTTTATCACATTGTACAATATAAATTTACATATGCTTATTGTTCTTCTAAAAATGGTGGTTGAAATGCGACGTGATTGGCAAGTTTTCGTCTGAATTTCGAATTAGACACAGTCTAAGAAGCGAGAAGTTTGAGAAAAATGATTGAAACCTGAAACAAATCATCTCTTGAGCTGCGAAAACGCCCTGATTATAATATAACTTTGCTGTGTAGCGATTTCAAAATCATTAAAACCGGACTATTAGAATGTGGAAGTTATGGCCTGTGTCTTCATGAAGCGCCCAATGTGGCGATTCAATGAAGTTCACATATTTAGATAAAGTGAATAATGAATTTTGCTATCGTGTCGCATCGCACCATTGGCTTGGAGATGATTGTTTAACTATGTGAAAAGTCGACATAGCTGTAGCTGGGCAAAGACTTAACGGGAAGAAGAATAATAATTTTCCAGCGCACACCTAAATTATGTGTCTCCTTGTTGACTGTATAAACTTTCAACATTTTATCCATATTGATTTTTCTCTTTACACGAGCTCACGGTTGTAATTGAAAAGGCAAACATTAAAATGTTGAACGCGATAATTTATTATGAAATGTATTAATGAGTGTGTAAAATGGTTCTCGTGAATTGGGAAGATGTTGAATGCGGAGGTAAAAAATGAGTAAATGTGTGGAGGTAATTAAAATTGATTGAGAATGATGCTAAAATAATTTCATGAATAGCAGCGTCTGTTTTTGGTGTATTATGTGAATTAATTGTGCAGAAGAATAGGAAGGATGGATGTAGAGGAGTGGAAAGTGATGAGAATGAAGGTGGTTTCTTTGTAATGTATCACAATAAATATGGATTTCACATTGGCTCACATCTCATTTAGCGGCATCGCCTGCATTTGATTGGTATTAAATAATATAAATTGGAATTCAGTGGATTTGTTTTGCAAAAGTAATGTGGGTCAATGCAGATGGCAATAATTTCTGTGTTCTTGTCATTGTTGGCAAAATTGAAGAGGCGGTTTTCAACTACGCATTTGTGTGCTTGCAGATTGCAAAATGAGTGGTATTATGAGGAATATTTAACGCACGTGTAATTACAATGAATGTTTATATTGATTTTTTTCCATGCTTTTAATACCAATGAAACTCTCGTGTCAATTGATAGATTCTCTCGTTAGTTTCCAATTCACTTTGATGCTCACTAGTAATTTTGATAATTAGATTCTCACGAAAATCCACCCTCCACTAGGTGCTTAAATGTTTAATCAGTGAGACTGTGTGTGTTGTGTGCTCTTCTACATGTGTATACCTGCAAATGG